GGTTGCAAAGAATCTTGGGAGCTCATATATGTCCATGCAGGGCAGGGTCTGTTACAGTCTTTCCCAATGTGGCACCCTCCAGATGTTGTTGGACTACAACTCCCATCAGCCCCAGCATCATCCAGACGTGCTGGCTGGGGTTGATGGGAGTTGCAGTCCAAAAACATCTGGTATTTTAGGCCACACTGCTGCTCCTGCTGCTCCATGGGGATTAAGAAACCAATGTTATCCTCAGGCTGCGTCTTGCAGGTTAAGTGGTTTGCAAGCTGTCTTAACAGGTAAGCTGGCCCGCAGTTACTAAGGTCATTGCAATGCTTTCTAGAGTACCTGCAGTTTGATAGCCATGGGTAGTCAGGCACATAACTCAAGATGAAGCGGTGGCGTAGCGTGGGTTGTCAGGGCCCGTGGCAAGTGCAAAATGTACCTGGCTGATTTTGAACAATGCACGGAAGGCAGTGATGATCACCAACCTCAATGACTTTGTTATAAGAATTGTAAGGTCTCACATATAGAATAAATATTCATAAATGCACACATATCTAAAAATATGAACCATGAAGCCATTTTGACTCTCCCAATGACCTCAAATATTCCTCTGCAGTAAGGGAGGCAAATGGAGAAAGCCTTCCCATTGCCTTTTTGCTTGCAAATCCTGTCTTAAGGGAGTATTTGTGTATGAATAGGGTGAGCTTGTGACCTAGATTCAGGAACTAAAGTATTAACCACCACAAAAGAATGGCCAGGCTGCCCAGGTAATGGAATCAGTGACCGTTATTAGGTATCCTGGCAGACACCTCCTCTGCTGTAGACGGCCTCCTTCTGTGATGTATGTATGATGTTTTGGGGTGGTGGTCTCGAGCTACAGGGTAGGCAATTTCAAAAGTCTATATTAGGGCTTGCACACTATTGTTTAGGGTTCTCTCCTCCCTCCTGTGTGTGGTGAGTGAGGACCCTGTTGCAACAGTTCCTTTAATAAAGGATCAGGCTTACTAGTTGCTTTGCTTCTAATTATTCTCTGGTTGGTGACTGTTTTCTCTTACCGATAGGGAACCCACTTAAGGACTCTATATAGGCTCCAGAATACCCGATAAGTGAAAAGGAGCAGTTTTTCTTATAACAACTTTAAAATAGAGTCGACAAATGAATGGAGGAGAGGCCTATCAAAGGCTACTAGCCGCAATTGCCTATACAGTGGTACCTCAGGTTAAGTACTTAATTCGTTCCAGAGGTCCGTTCTCAACCTGAAACTGTTCTTAACCTGAAGCACCACTTTAGCTAATGGGGCCTCCTGCTGCCGCCGCGCTGCCAAAGCACGATTTCTGTTCTCATCCTGAAGCAAAGTTCTTAACCCGAGGTAATATTTCTGGGTTAGTGGAGTCTGTAACCTGAAGCGTATGTAACCTGAAGCGTATGTAACCTGAGGTACCACTGTACTTTGCTTCCACGCTTGGAGGCAGAAAAGCTTTTTAGTACCAGCTGCTGGTAGCCACAGGAGAGGAGGGTGCCCTCATGTTTGGGTCCTGTTTGCCGGTTTCCCACAGACATCTGGGTTTGAGAACAGCTTTGAGAACAGGGCTGCTGAACTAGATGGATACCCTTTGGTCCGATTGATTGGGCTCTTCTGCTGTTCTTACATTTACGTTCTTATGACAATGACCACTTACCGTATTTTTCGCTCTATAAGACGCACCAGACCACAAGACGCACCTAGTTTTTGGAGGAGGAAAACAAGAAAAAAAATATTCTGAATCTCAGAAGCCAGAACAGCAAGAGGGATCGCTGCGCAGTGAAAGCAGCAATCCCTCTTGCTGTTCTGGCTTCTGGGATAGCTGCACAGCCTGCATTCGCCCCATAAGACGCACACACATTTCCCCTTAATTTTTAGGAGGGAAAAAGTGAGCCTTATAGAGCAAAAAATACGGTATCTGCATTCATCCAGATTTGCTTGCAGCGTGTTTACACGTCATCCTGTTCATCATTCATTCATCCCACACTTTTCAATGCATTTCCCCACTGCTTTCCAAACTGCAATTAAAAACCCAAAAAAGTGTTTTGTTGCACTAGGGTGAGACAAAACGCTTCAACCCACTTTAAATGCGCAACCCTGAAGTTCTGGTATGCGCTGGATTCCCTCCTGTGAAATAATGACAGTCCCTCGGATGCTATTGCCAGCTCTCATACAAAGGCGCTGTTGACATGTGGCCATCCAAATCGCGTTCCAGGGTTTTCTTCTCTCTCCTCTGATTACCCCTCTGACAGATAAGGAGAACAAGCTGTTCTTTTCCTCTTCGCCTTTTGCGGAAAGGTAACATCACGCGGCCTTGCCTGCTCAACAGAAAACAATTCCTTCCCTTCTCTCTCCCGTTTCTCGCCGTACATTTCTCTCTGCTTCAGGAATGCCGGCCAAAGCGAGCAGTGCACACATGAACTCTTGAGGGCAGAGGTGTGCGGGAGAGAAACTCTTGCACGATTTCCCAGCGAGATCTAATAAGTGATTCAAGTGCCCCAGACTTGAATGCTGGTTTAAAGTTTAGGGCCCACCTTATCGTCTTCCAAAGCAACTACAGTGGTACCTCAGGTTAAGTACTTAATTTGTTCCGGAGGTCTGTTCTTAACCTGAAGCACCACTTTAGCTAATGGGGCCTCCTGCTGCTGCTGCTGCTGCGCCGCCGCTGCACGATTTCTGTTCTCATCCTGAAGCAAAGTTCTTAACCCGAGGTAATATTTCTGAGTTAGCGGCATATGTAACCTGAAGCATATGTAACCCGAGGTACCACTGTACGCTATTCCAAACTTAAAAATGGAAGAGGTAATGCTGGTGGTCAACAAATGAAGTTTAAAGACTCTCTCAAGGCAAATCTAAAAAAATGTAGTATAAACATCGACAACTGGGAAACACTGGCTTGCGAGTGCTCAAATTGGAGAACAGCCTTTACCAAAGGTGTCATGGACTTTGAAGACGCTCGAACTCAGGACGCAAGGGAGAAACGTGCTAAGAGGAAGGCACGCTTGGCAAATCCACATCGTGATCAACTCCCGCCTGGAAGCCAATGTCCCCACTGTGGAAGGACATGAATGGGCTGCTTGTACAGTGGTACCTCAGGTTAAGTACTTAACTCGTTCCAGAGGTTCGTACTTAACCTGAAACTGTTCTTAACCTGAAGCACCACTTTAGCTAATGGGGCCTCCCGCTGCCGCCGGAGCACGATTTCTGTTCTCATCCTGAAGCAAAGTTCTTAACCTGAAGCACTATTTCTGGGTTAGCGGAGTCTGTAACCTGAAGCGTATGTAACCTGAGGTACCACTGTATTTGAAGCTGATACCACCAGCTTCAGCTACTATAGCATGATGGGAGTTGTAGTCCAAAACACCTGGAGGGTTCCAGTTTGGAGAAGCCTGCCTTATTCTTTTTAATTGTTTGTAAATCGTCACAGATAAACAGATGTGTGTATCACATGATTTTAAACATCTTTTTTTCCCCACAGCAAGGTTCTATTAACATGCCAGTAACTTTATGTTCTCCTCGAACTGTTTCCATCCCAGTTAGTCATTATAAAAACTTGGTCACTGAAAACCAGTGCCTGTGCTTGTTTTCTCCCTCCCAGTAGCCCTTTCCTTTTATGCTGTGCCTTTTAGATTACAAGCAGGAACTGACTTTTAAATCTGTTCCTTGGAAGTCTTTTTAAGCTAAAAAGCAAAGTACACCAAGTTTTTACATCTTTAATGATTTTCTTATATGGCTTTAAACTGCTTTGAGATATATATATATATATATATATATATATATATATATATTTATGATATAGTGGCATGCAAATATTTTTAAAAATAAACGACAGCAAATGCTTTTAATAAATTATAAAAGAAAAACAAAACATACACAAACAAACATACATACACATATTTTTCAGTTTTAAAAATTATATCATGAAATGTAACATATATATATATATATAGAAATATACATATCATGATTTAAGTTGCAATTGCATATCTGGTAAATTTCTGCACTTGCAGGAGTGTATGGTAACTTTTTTCTCAAACACACACACACACACACACACACACGTGTATGGTGCACAGAACAACCAATTCTCTTTCACGCACCTGGGTGCAGCCACGGAAAAGCTCTTGTTTCCAGAGCAGAGTTTATTTATAGTCCTCCTGGCCTCCTTGTGAATGTGAAAAGGAGGAAGGGCCTCTTCCTCCCTCATCCCAACAGCCCCTCTTCCCTCAGGGCTCCTTTCATGTGGAAATTGGAGAGTCTAGCTAGCCCCACCAGGGTCAGAGGAGAAGGGCTCGACTCAATTACTCCCAGAGAAAGAAGCAGGCAGGGGGCTTTCTCAGGCTAAGCGGGACTCTGGCTTTTTGTGGATGGGCGAGGCAGGCACTTCTCCTGTCCTCCTTTTGTGTCAAGAATCGGGATCCCTGCGGCGTATTCTTCTGAACTCTCTTCTACCAGAGACATGGCAGATGGAGACGTGCCAGCAAAATATCCTCTAAACATCTGAGAGCTGAAACACCCCCGTTAAAAGTGGAGGCAGTTTCCCACCCAAAAAGGCAAAGATATAAGGTGCCCCCATCTACAGAGGAACCCATATCATGCAGGGAGGCAGCAGGAATACGCCTTTGAGGGAGCGATGGAAGACACCTCCCAGAACAACCACAGAGGCTAGTTACCTCTGCTCAGTTGAGGCTGGCAGGAAGGAAGGAGGCCAGGCTTGAGCATGCAGAGACGCAACGAGCACCTTACTCTCTGGATAGGTAGATTAGGCTCACAGGAACATTTGATTGTGTGTTTCAGGCTTGTGTGGCCTACTTTGTTCTTTAACTAGAGCCCCCAAGTCCACCAACCCGAGGCTGGTGCGAAGGACACAGGAATTCTGAGCTCAGGGATTGGTTTGGAGTGCCAATACTGAATGGAGCTTGCTTAACGCTCAAACCAAGCTGTCTTCATTTCAGCAATATAATTAAGGCAGGAGGAGTCGGCCACTGTGAGAAAAGGATTCTAGGCTAGATGGGCCATTGCCTGATCCAGCAGGCTATTGGGTTGTTGCTGTTGCTGTTGCTGTTGCTGTTGCTGCTAAACCATTGTGGCAGCTTCAGAAATGCCCTCTGACCTACAGCAAACCACTCGGGAGATGTACCCGTACATCCAGTTCTGCTTTCTCTTCACCCTGGCTTGATTTTTTTCTCTTAACGTGGTGTGCCAGCTGCTCTGTCGTGGCACGTGGCTTGGGACTTGGTGTCTCTAAGGACCCCCTATGGAACGTCAAATCAAAATCCACCAATCCTCTCTCTTTTTTAAATTGCGCTTTCGTGATGACTTGCACTCGCGATGGTGTCAGGGTGGTTATACGCGGTCCTGCTTTTAATGCAGTTTGCAAATGTTTTTTGGGGGGACAAACCGCTTCGTTGGCAGCAGATGCGGCTCCTGCATCAGTCCCTGCTGAAATCCTGTCACTTTTTATGCCACAGATGTCCTGGGTTGTTGCTTTTTTGGCCCGTTTTCGGTGCTGCAGTGCAAGAATTGACCCTGCAGGTGGCAATGATGCAATAATGTTGGGGAAACATTGCATAGCCGCTAATAAAGCTGTATGGACAGTCCAGTTTAAATCCACCACCAATGCTGTGTTGTTTTGTCACTGCTACGTTGCAGTTGAGAGCCGCTGTTTTGTAGTTGAGCTAAGATTTTATTTTTTTTAATACAGTGATATTATAACTACAAAAATGCAAATTGAATGAGCAGAATATGGTGTCCTCTCTTAAAAGTAATTCTTCGCTCTTATCACCCACAAAGGACAATAGCTCCTCCCAGCTCTCACCTGGGAACTTTCCTTTCCCCTCCCAGCCTCTCACCCTGGGAGACCCACATTTCCCAGGGTCCTCCATTGATTATCACCCCCATGATGAGTATACATATTCTAGACCTTAACATAAAGGCCCCAGGCATAGGACTCCAAAGAAAGAAGAAAAAGAAGAAGAACAAAGGAGAGCAACAGAAGAAAGAAAGGGAAAATAGAAAGAAGGGGGGGGGAAGATAAAATACGAAAGAAAAAGAAACATTAGGAAAAGATACCAAAAAAAAGAAAACTACTAATTTCCCATCTGCAAATTACATTAAAAAAAGAAGAAATGGTTAATTTAAAATATTCAGCCCATGCTAACATCCATCTTTTCTATCTTCAGTTAAACAATATTTCTTTTAATTCAAGGTCTCTGAGATTCATCCCCCCCCCCCCCCCCCCGCAACAAAGAGCCACTGTGGTGCAGTGGTTAGAGCATTGGGAGCGCTGGGAGACCAGGGTTCAAATCTGCACTCAACCATGAAGCTTATTGGATGTGACTTCAGGGGCCAGTCACTCAGCCTAACCTACCTCACAGGGTTGTTGTAAGGATAAAACGAGAAGTCTTTAACCCACCTTGGAGGACAGACAGGATAGGAATGTAATAAAGGATATAAATAATAAAAATGTTCCAGAATACATCTCCCAGCTGCTCCCCTCCCCGCGTCTGGAAGGGCTCGAAGATTAAATGTCTTCGAAATATTTGTTTATTGTTCCATTTATATCCCACTTTTCCTACGAGGACCTCAAGAAATGATTCTCCTCTGTATTTCATCCTCACCAGAGCCCGGTGAGATAGGTTAGGCTGAGAGGCCCAAGGTCCCCCAGTGAGCTTCATGACTCAGTGGGGATTTGAACCCTGGTCTCTCAGGTCTCTGGGACGCAGGTGGCACTGTGGGTTCAACCACAGAGCCTAGGACTTGCCGATCAGAAGGTCGGCGGTTCAAATCGCGCGACGGAGTGAGCTCCCGTTCCTCGGTCCCTGCTCCTGCCAACCTAGCAGTTCGAAAGCACGTCAAAGTGCAAGTAGATAAATAGGTACCGCTCTGGCGGGAAGGTAAACGGCGTTTCCGTGTGCTGCTCTGGTTCGCCAGAAGCAGCTTAGTCATGCTGGCCACATGACCCGGAAGCTGTACGGCGGCTCCCTCGGCCAATAAAGCGAGATGAGCGCCGCAACCCCAGAGTCGGCCACGACTCGACCTAATGGTCAGGGGTCCCTTTACCCTTTACCTCTCAGGTTCTAGTCTGACCCTCTAACCACTCTGCCACACTGTTCCACGGACAGGGGTGAGGTTGCAAGCCTCACAATGCCTCCCTTTTCAGTCTTGGGTTGCCGCTGCTCCTGGAAGCAGCTCTCCTCTTTAGAAGAAGGAAACGAGCTAAGCTGGTTCAAGTGCTGTTCCTAATTGGTGTCCTCGTTAGGGGCAGTAATTAGTGCAGGCTCTGGCCAAGTGCTCACCATGTCCCAGGCTTACACTGAGAAAGGCCTGACCTTCCCGTAAACCCCCTTCTTGCGTTAATGCCCAACCAGATTCCTCTTGGAAGACTCCCCCAAGTCCCATTTACTGCATCTCAACAACAAGGATACTGTGGAAGGTGCGGGAAAAGGGTACCTGTTCTCTGGGAGGAAAAGCTGAAACGTCGTTTGCTTCCCAGTTCAGAAATGAAGGTGCTGGAGAGGATGTAAAACCAAGGTTTATAAAATGATGCACAGTGTGGGGAATGTCGATAGATGGGGAGAAAACCCCCTCATCGCGCTAGAACTGGTTGACATACAGTGGTGCCTCGGGTTACAGACGCTTCAGGTTACAGACCCTGCTAACCCAGAAATAGTACCTCAGGTTAAGAACTTTGCTTTAGGATGAGAACAGAAATTGCATGGCAGCGGCACGGCAACAGCGGGAGGCCCCATTAGCTAAAGTGGTACCTCAGGTTAAGAACAGTTTCAGGTTAAGAACGGACCTCCAGAACGAACTAAGTTCTTAACCCAAGGTACCACTGTACAGTGAAGCTGCTCAGGACAGATAAAGGGGGAAATCGTTCCTCAAAGTTAACCTACAGAACTCACTCCCACAGGAGGCAGTGACCATCCGTCTCCTCTTCTCCAGGCTAAATATACCCTACCCTGGCTGATGGGAGTTGTAGTCCAAAACTTTTGGAGGGCAGGATCTGGTTGCAGGCTGTGCTATGGGCTGTTCTCTGGTGCTCTAGACTGTGCCTGGGCCAAATTGCCTCCCACCATCCAGATTTTGATGCTCATTGTATAATCTTACAAAAGCCGTGCACCTGATTTTGGATCCGCTGAGCTCCCGGCAAGCACCCTTTCCCTGGACAGCTAAAATCTGAGCCTCTCCTCACATGTTTAATGCTGGCAGAGGGAAATCCATCTCTACAGTCCCGCTCCCTCCCCGCAACCACCCTGAATAATTCATCAAGAGCATAATTGTTAGGTCCGTCCGAGAACCAGTTCCTCTCCTCTTTCTCTCTGTTTCCTTCCTTTCTTCAGCCCGACAGCCTTTCAGGGGTAAAGTTTTTAATTACAGCTCAGGGAGGCTTCTCCGCCAGACAGCAGGGGCCTTGATGCCGGCTGCTGGGCCGCAGAGATGGCTATTTATACAACCCGAATTAATCAGGTGCAACATTTCAGCTGGGAAGAATAAGGGAGGGCTATTTGGTTTCCCATTTGTATGTGTGTGTGTCTGAAACAAGCTGCACTGGATTTTCAGTGTAGCAGAAGAAAAAGCAGGTGACTGCACTATGGGGCCAGTCTGGGAACCTGGGGAAAGCCAAGAGAGAAGCTACAGTGGGGAGAGACACAGTTGACTAAGGGTTATAGTAAAGCAAAGGATATTGCAGAGCTGTGGAAGGCTCAGAAAAGGGCACTGATCTGCGAAACTGTCCCTGTTACAGATGCCACATACTGTAATACCTATTCAGCATTTGCAAGAAATAAATATGTTACAGAGTGACAGCGCTTAAACTTTGGAACCATTGACGTCAGGCTGGTTTCTTCACTGTACTGTTTTGGGCACCTGCTAAAAATATAGAATTGTTGGAAAGGACCCTGAGAATCATCTAGTCCAACCCTCTGCAATGCAGCAATATTCAGCTGTCCCATACAGGGATCGAACCTGCAACCTTGCTGTTATCAGCACCACACCCTAACCAAATGAGCTATTAAGACCACCCAGGTGTTTAGAAAGTGGGTGTGAGTTTTGATCTATTGCTGTTTTAACTTTCTCAAACCTTAAATTGTTGTTATTTTTTCTTATTGATAATTTTTTAAAATCTTTTTTGTAAACCGCTTGGAGGTTTTTTTTAAAAAAAAATCAAGCATTGTGTATATTTTATGAAGTACAATAAATAAAATCTCTAAGCAGGGCATGCAAGGTACAACCCCGAAACCACAAACAAAAGGTCCATACATAGCATCAGCAAACGAGAAGAAACCTATAAAGCATTTAAGCAAAACATTGAGACCTAAATCCTGTGCTTTGAAGAAAAACCATAGTGACTCATGTTCAAACCCTAAACTGTGGCCTGTCGTAACTACTGCCCGTTGAAACAAGCCTACTTCGCAACCCGCAAGTTGAGTTTCTCTTGTCTCAAACAAGCCATTGCCTTAAAAACTGACTTTTTGCTCGTCCGCAGTGTGTTCAGAGGGCGGAAGTGGAAGGGATGGAAGCAGGGAGAGTCTGCCTCTTGCCTTGTGGGGAGGGCAGGTCCCTGCTCTCAAAATAGGAAGATGTCAGATGAGGTTGGCCAGTTAGAGAAGCAATTAGCAGCTGCTGGTCGTATTTCCAGACAAGGCACCTGTAAAGCACTCTAAGCCTGTAAGCAGCAACCTATTAAACTGCTTTCACCTTGGCAACTCCTCCCTGGCTGCTGCGTAGCCTCTTTGCTGAGCCCATGCTATAATCTGCTTCTCACACGCCCAGGTTCGCCAGGCAGCCCGTAGCCGTCTCTCTGCATCCAGCGATCATAGCTTGGGTGGCACTAGCAACTGCCAGGCGCTGGAGAGCCAGGGAAGGGGTGGTGGTGCTGGCAACCAAGCTACACTGGGGAACAGGTGCAGTTCAGAGGAAGAGTGTCTTGCCTTCCGTACAGAAAGTCCCAGATTCTATCCCTAACAACATATCCCGGTGGTACTGCAAGAAGTCTGAAATGCTGGAGCAGGGGTCAGCAAACTTTTTCAGCAGGGGGCTGGTCCACTGTCCCTCAGACCTTGTCAGGGGCTGGACTATATTTTTTGGGGGGGTGGGGGTGGGAAATGAACAAATTCCTATGCCCCACAACTAACCCAGAGATGCATTTTAAATAAAAGCACACATTCTACTCATGTCAAAACGCCAGGCAGGCCCCACAAATAACCCAGAGGTGCATTTTAAATAAAAGGACACATTCTACTCATGTAAAAACATGCTGATTCCTGCACCGTCCGTGGGCCGGATTTAGAAGGCGATTGAACCAGATCCGACCCCCGGGCCTTAGGTTGCCTACCCATGGGCTGAAGGCCTGCTGCCACTCAGAGTAGAGGACACTGAGATATATGGACCAGTGATCTGGCTTGGTGTAAGGCTGTTTCCTACGATCCCATTTGTGAAGGAATGCAGCTTAGCGGGGCGTCTGCTTTGCATGCAGGAGAAGGTCCCAGATTCAATCTCTGGTATAGTATCTGCTATGAATGCAGAAGGCCGCAGGTTCAATCCCAGACCCTCCGTGTCCCTATTTTCAAGGGACATTCCCGGTTTCTGATTTGATCTTGGAATGTCCCGCTTTTCCTTAGGATATCCCTATTTTTTTCAGAGAAATGTTGGAGGGTATAGAGTTATGCAACCCCTGAGCCAAGGAGAGTCTAACGGAAGTCTAACGGAATCCGTTCAGGAAGGCCATTCAACTTCCAAAACATTCGGAAACCAAGGCACGGCTTCTGATTGGCTACCGGAAGCTCCTGCAGCCAATCGGAAGCCACGTCAGACATTCGGGTTCCAAAGAACATTTGCAAACCGGAACACTCACTGCCAGGTTTGCGGCATTTGGGAGCCAAAACATTTGACTCGCAAGGCGTTCAGGATCCAAGGTACGACTGTACAACCTTTAGAAGACATCTGAAGGCAGCCCTGTATAGGGAAGTTTTTTAATGTTAAATGTTTTATTATGTTTTTATATGTGTTGGTAGCCGGCATGCCATTGGGGACTGAACCTGCGACCTTCTACATGCAAGGTTGGTGCTCTGCCCCTGAGCTACAGATCTGCTCCCATTACCTTGTGCATCACATCACCTGGGACTGATGGGAATTATAGTTCCAAACATCTGGAGGGCACCAGGCTGGCAAATGCTGGTCTCCACAGTCATAAGGTGAAGATTCTAGAGCAGGGGTCAGCAACGTGAGGCCCGTTGGCTGGAAGTGGCCCACGAGAACCATTTTACCGGCCCAGGAGCCACCCTCGAACCGAGCTGCCCGCTTGGCAAGTCCCCCACGCACTGCACTAAACCAGCGCAGCGCAGCACGGGGACTCACCAAGTGGCGCCAGAAATCACGCCTGCGCATGTCCAGACGCTGAAAATTGCTTCTGCTCAGGCATGATTTTTGGCCTCTGGGCATGTGCAGAAGCGATTGTTGGTGCCACGGACATGCACAGACCTGATTTCCGGCATCGCGCTGTGCCAGTCCAGCCCACGGACAGTCTCCGTAGGAATGATCCGGCCCATGGCTGGTAAACTTTGCCAACCCCTGTTCTAGAGCCTTGGGGAGCTCAAAGGGTGCTGTAATTTTCATCTGGCCAATTCCCACCCCCACCCCCCACAGTGAAAGGTTTGGGACTTCATCATCTCCTTTAAGTCGTTTGCTTGGATTGCTGCCAAAGATTTCAACAAATTTGGGGCCTGGGCGAGAAGCTGAATTATTTATTATCAATTAGAACTTTTCAGGGTTTTTGACGTGGCGCTCAGAGCTCGTATTGTTTGGGACCTGCATTTAACGCTCCCGCAGATAAAAGAACGAAATTATCACTCGGGAAGCTTTTATTCCAAGCCGGCTCTGAGATACCTCCTTTGCATATTTGGCGAGATTTTCCAGCTACAATTCAGTGTGTTAATGCTACATCTTGTGGCAGGCTGTAGCGTTGGGAGGAATAAATTTAGAAACACAGACACGTTAAAATGCACCTGAAGACCATCCAGTCCTTCTGTGCCTCTTCGCAGATCAGGTTTGTGCTGATCTCGAAGCAGGATCGGTGGAGCAAAATGGGCTTCCAAATGCAACCTGGAAAAGACCTGTGTTTAAATATAACCTTTGCCCACAAGCTGGTAGGCAGGAGAGCAGGGAGCCTGACAGTAGGGGGCGCCAGAGAGCTGATGACAAGGGAGAGAGTTCATTCTAGTTTCACCCCAGCTGAGTTCTTCAGGGGCAACACTGATACCTAAAGGAGGATGCTGACCGGCCGGGCCACCCTCTGGGCTGCATGTAAGTAGGAAGGCAGGCTGGTGGCAGCTGGCTCAGATTGGTGCAAGCAGTGCCTCATTTGCCCTCATGGATAATCTACGAGATCATATGCGCCTACTAGACCGCTTCAGTTGGCAGAACTGCCCCTGTTACAGGTGCCGCAGAATACCTGTTCTACATTTGTAGAAACTTGACATTTGGCAGCATTACACATTGGAACTCCCTGCCTATTGATGTCAGTCAAGGCACCTTCACTCCTTTCAGTGCCCACTAAAAACATCATTTTTTAGACAAGCCCACCCAGATGTTTAAAAAGTTGGTGTGGCTTTTAATCTCTTTTTAGTCTGTGGTTATTTTAACTTTCTGAAAGTTTTATATTATTGCTGTTAATTTTTCTTATTGATAATTTTATTGTTTCATCTATTTTGTAAACCGCTTTTTGAGTTTTGTTTGTTTTCCTACAGTTAAGTGGTGCATAAATTTTGTGAAATAAATAGAATAGAATAGAATAGAATAGAATAGAATAATGGAGCAGCCTCTATTTCTAGGAAGCAAACTGCAGGTAAGGCAGTTGGGTGTAAGCATATTGAAATGCAACTTCCAGATTCTAGTCGGAATCTTCTGCCTTACCTCCTGCACCAGCAATGCTAGTAGTTCCAGCTCTGTCTTTAACTGGAGCTGAGATTCCCCTTGGGCAACAGATGTTCAGGAACATCATCTTTCTTCTGAGCCCCCTGCCATTCTCTTCTGTTGCCACATGGCCTTTCCTATCCATCCGTCCCCCCAACCTGGTCGTGTGCTGGAGGTTTGCAGTGGAAAATAGGAACATACATCTGACATTAGATCCATATAGCATTGCATGCTGGACCCTCATCAAATCCGGAACCAATTTTGAGAGGGGCTTCAGTCCCACACTGGTTTCAACACACGCCCTTCTGCTGCCCAACTGTTGCAGCTTTTGGTCAAATAGAAGCTTCAGTGGTTTTTAATTTTTTTTTTATACTTTTCAGATTTATAGGTAAAGGTAAAGGGACCCCTGACCATTAGGTCCAGTCATGGCCGACTTTGGGGTTGTGGCGCTCACTTTACTGGCCGAGGGAGCCGGCGTACAGCTTCCGGGTCATGTGGCCAGCATGACTAAGCCGCTTCTGGCGAACCAGAGCAGCGCCTTCCTGCTGGAGTGGTACCTATTTATCTACTTGCACTTTGACGTGCTTTTGAACTGCTAGGTTGGCAGGAGCAGGGACCGAGCAACGGGAGCTCACCCCATCGCGGGGATTCGAACCGCCAACCTTCTGATCGGCAAGTCCTAGGCTCTGTGGTTTAACCCACAGTGCCACCCGCGTCCCTTTCAGATTTATACATTTCACTAATTATTACAATCATCTTAACATTTCAAAACATGACTTCCTTCTCCCTCTTTCTGTGGTTCCTTAAATTTATTTTTAATATATTCTGCATATCCAGATTAACTTAACTTGCTCATTTATTCATCTTTTTTAAATATATACTCTTATGAAACTGCAGGTTATTACAATAATCCTGCCAATGTTCTTATCTGTTTACAATTTATCTGTAAATATTCAGTAAACCATTTCCATTCTTTTATAAAAAGTTTGTTCTCTTGATTTCTTATTCTTCTGGTATGTTTTGCCATTTCTATATATTCCATAAGTTTTTGTATCCATTCTTCCTTTGCTGGGACTTGTGCTTTTTTCCATTTGGGGGCAAGGAACATTCTTATGTTACATGAATAAGTTTCTATACGGCTTAGGTAGTTCTGTCCCTATAATTCCCAAAAGAAAGGCTGCTGGGTTTTTGTGTGTGGGTCTGTGTGTTGTTTTACAAAGGTTATTTTAAACATCCTTTTCATTATACAGTGGTACCTCGGGTTAAGTACTTAATTCGTTCCGGAGGTCTGTTCTTAACCTGAAACTGTTCTTAACCTGAAGCACCACTTTAGCTAATGGGGCCTCCTGCTGCTGCTGCGCCGCCAGAGCACGATTTTGTTCTCATCCTGAAGCAAAGTTCTTAACCCGAAGTAATATTTCTGGGTTAGCGGAGTCTGTAACCTGAAGCGTATGTAACCTGAACCGTATGTAACCCGAGGTACCACTGTATATCATTTCCCAGTAAGCTTTAACCTTACCACAAGACCACCACATATGATGAAAAGAACCTTCAGGAGCCACAGATTTTTGCAAGAATGCAAAAAGCTTGCTGAACCTGTTGAGCCAGCGCAAAAAGTAGAGTGTGCAAATATGCCATGGGCCACATTTTCCATCTTTCAAGGTACCTTCAACAACCCTGTTTGAAGGGGGGAACCTAACAACGCTTGCCTGTCTTAGAGGGAAGCCCTATGCCACCTGTTTGCTGGGAGTCCACTTCATTGTGCGTCATATTTGTCTGTCTCCCTCGATGTCCACCTTTGGTGGCAACCAAAACCCACTGCCGGAGGAGGCTGCTTCAGTGGCCCATCTAGTCCAGCTTCCTGTTCTCACAGTGACCAACCAAATGCCTCTTTTGGGAAGCCGGCCAGAAGCAGGACCCCAGCACAAGAGCCCTCTCCCCTCCTGCGGTTTCCAGCAACTGGTACAGCGGTACCTCGGGTTACAGATGCTTCAGGTTACAGACACTTCAGGTTACAGACTCCGCTAACCTGGAAATAGTACCTCGGGTTAAGAACTTTGCTTCAGGATGAGAACAGAAATTGCGCGGCAGCAGAGGGAGGCCCCATTAGCTAAAGTGGTACCTCAGGTTAAGAACAGTTTCAGGTTAAGAACGGACCTCCAGAACGAATTAGGTTCTTAACCCGAGGTACCACTGCACTCAGAAGCATCACTGCCTCCGACTGTGGGGACAGAGCATAGTTATCTTGGCTGGTAGGGGCGTGGGTGGCGCTGTGGCCTAAACCACTCAGCCTCTTGGGCTTGCCGATCGGAAGGTTGGCGGTTCAAATCCCCACGACGGGGTGAGCTCCCGTTCCTCGGTCCCCGCTCCTGCCAACCTAGCAGTTCGAAAGCACAGCAAAGTGCAAGTAGATAAATAGGTACCGCTGCGCTCTGGTTTCCGTCAGGGTGTTGCATAGCGCCAGAAGCGGTTTAGTCATGCTGGTCCCGTGACCCACCCGGAAAGCTGTCTGTGGACAAACGCCAGCTCCCTCGACCTAAAAGCGAGATGAGTGTCACAACCCCATAGTCTCCTTTGACTGGAATTAACCGTCCAGGGGTCCTGTATACCTGAAGGAGTGTCTCCACCCGCATAGTTCAGCCCAGACGCTGAGGTCCAGCTCCAAGGGCCTTCTGGCGGTTCCCTCATTGCGAGAAGTGAGGTTACAGGGAACCAGAGGGAGGGCCTTCTCGGTAGTGGCGCCCGCCTTATGGAACGCCCTCCCTTCAGATGTGAAGGGAGACATCTGAAAGCAGCCCTGTTTAGGGAAGTTTTTAAATATTTAATGCTGTATTGTTTTTAACACTCGATTGGAAGCCACCCAGAGTGGCTGGGGAAACTCAGCCTGATGGGTGGGGTATAAATAATAAATTATTATTATTATTTACCTTTACATTTTATCATGGCTGGTAGTAGCCATCAATAACCACCTCCAGCCTTTCCTGGCAGCCTGACCCTCTTCCCCAAAGCCCACCTCAGATGCCACCATTGGCATATTTCGCCCCTGTTGCCAGAGCCTCCTCTCCCCGCCCCCCCCGGCAACTGCTGCTGGGCATGGCTGCCATTTTAAACCCAGGCGTTCTGCTCTCCCTTGGGTCAGCAAACAAGGGTCTGAGGTGTGGGTGCTTTTTGGGGGGTGGGAATGGCTGCTCCTTTGTCTGCCCAGGGAACGGACATTCCTTCGGGTCTGCAACTCTGGGAGGCCTGACTTGAGCACAGATGGGACTTGGGGAAGGGGGTGTGGAGAGGGAAAAAACCCCTTTTCCTCACCCGCCCCCGCCTTTCCAGGAGGTGACAAAGAAGTAAAAGGGCAGAGCCTGATATTTAATTTGGGTTGGGGAGGGAGGGAGGTGGGAAAACACACATGCACACCCCTCGTCCCAACTCCCCGCAAGGAGTCTTCCCTCCGAAAGGCCTCTGTTGTGTCACCAGCTCCACAAAGCGCCCGTGATAAATGAAAGGAACTGAGTCAGGGCAGAGAGGAGGGGTGGGAAGGGTCCCTTTCTCTTCTGGGTCTCTTTCCCAGCTCCTGTTTGCCTGCCTGTCTCACCCTGCTCCCATTGATCAGGCATGCAGAAACATTCCCTCTCCTGGGCGCCCATTGTCGACACCCGGTTGCCAGGCTGCGGCTGGCTTGAATAGTTCCACTAAGCCCGGCTTCTCCAAAAACCCTGGCCATCCGGTGCTCTGGGTACAGGGGGCGGGGGCGGTGTAGGGGGCAGACAGAGCCGGCCCTCCTTCCCCCTCCCTTCTTCCAGGCAGAGATGGCGTGGAACACCCCTGAGTCCAGCTGGAAGGCGGAGGAGCAGGGAGGCAGGCGAGCAATGACATCACGCCTCTCCACAATCCCTTGCTGGTCTGGGTCACACATGGGAATGTAAGAGGAGCTGACTGGATCAGGTCCAGCATCCACTTCTCACAGTGGCCAACCCCCACTTGACTTTAGAATGTATATAAAGGTAAAGGTAAAGGTACCCCGACCGTTAGGTCCAGTCGCGAATGACTCTGGGGTTGCGGCACTCATCTCGCTCTATAGGCCGAGGGAGCCGGCGTTTGTCCGCAGACAGCTTCCGGGTCATGTGGCCAGCATGACTAAGCCGCTTCTGGCGAGCCAGAGCAGCGCACGGAAACACCGTTTACCTTCCCGCCAGAGCGGTACCTATTTATCTACTTGCACCTTGACGTGCTTTCGAACTGCTAGGTGGGCAGGAGCTGGGACCGAACAACAGGCGCTCACCCTGTCACAGGGATTTGAACCGCCAACCTTCTGATCGGCGAGCCCTAGGCTCCGTGGTTTAGACCACAGCGTCACCCGTGTCCCTTTATAATGTATATAGAATCATAGAATTGTAGGGACCAATTAGAGTCATCTAGTCCAACCCCTCTACACTGCAGAAATCTTTTGCCCGACATGGGGCTCAAACCCACAACCCTGAGGTTAAGAGTCTCGTGCTCTACTGGCTGAGCCATAAGTTATGATGTATGCTGCTGCTGAAATATAGTACAGTCTTGGCTGGTATGGCTATGACCAGGTCTTTGACCCGCTTTGCACGAACCTTATGCTTTACCCATAAAGGAGAAGAAGAGAGAGTCATCATTGTTTACTATCTGAACATTCTTTTTTTTTTTTAATGAAGTTTTCTTAACACTTTTCACAATGCAATAAAAGACAAGCTAAATCTATACAAGGAATAATAAAAAGAAAAGAAAAGAAAAGAAAAGAAAAGGAGATAGGAGAATACAATATCCTCTTTCACAAATATATCTTAACTTTTGTCCCATGCAGAAAAAGATGTGTCTTCCTAGCTCTCACCTGAGAGCATCCTTCTCTTTGCCTAGCCTTTTACCTGGAGAGATCTCACCTTCCTTGCTTCTCACACAGGGGCTTTCTGAACATTCTAAATTCAACTTGCCCATCCAGAAAACCATAAGAAACGTGATGTCTTGTGTTTCTTTATTTGATGTATGAATGCGCCGCAAATATATGGTTGTAATTTTTACCTTTTCTTAAATCGTTGTTTATTTAATGTTCAACTGTTTCATTTTCAACTGTTGTCATACTTTGATAAAAATTATATTAACACAGTTAAAAAGTTGGCTCGCTATTGCATAGTTGCATAATTTTATTTAGTTTTTTAAAGTAAAAATAGCAGTGCACCCACAATTTCCTCTAAGCGCCCCTGAATTTGTACTGCCTCAGGTAAGGAAAGTTAGGGTTGCAATCATAACTGCAGAAAGATCTTATTGATATTTATATCCCCGCTTTCCCCCAAGAAGATCAAGGTAGCTTACATGGCTGTCCCTGCTTTATGTGTACAACAGCCCTGTGAAGTAGGCTAGACTGGGAGACCGTGAGAAGCCAAAGGTCACCCTCTGAGCTTCCCCGCAGACTGGGGATTTGAATCCTGGTCTCCTAGGCCTAACACTCTAACCACTAAACTCTACTGGAATGTGCAAAGGAGGAGCGGGTGGAATCCAGTAGATCACACAAGACTGAAGCCAGTTCTCCCCTCTGTTAGTTTGGTCCACTGGGGAGTGGGGTGAAAATGCACAATTGGGAAATATACCTTTATTTGAGTCAACCACAGTGTTGCAAAACAGCAGGCAGCTGAGGAACTGAAACTGAAAAACAAGGAAGAGGTGATGATGTTCTGGTCCAGTGGAAAACAAACAAACCAGGAGAGGGCCCAGGAAGGCTCCCATTTGCTCTCCACTCTGAACTCAAAGGGTGATGGAAGTCCAGCACTCAGGTGATTAGCATAACAATCCTTACAGATCCAGCTTGGTCCTGAGCCCAGGGCTGGCTCAGTCCAATTTCCACTCTCTGCTCTTTCTTTAGAAGCCTAATTCCTGCCACCGGGATGGTTTTTTTAAAAAAAGAAAAACGGACCTTCTTAAAGAGACAGGCACCTTCTTGCTCCTCCCGCTTTGCTCACAACAAACACCTGCCGCTTTCCAGAAATAATAGTTGCGTCAGGCACATCATACCTTTAAAACACATCCGACGCACATTTCAAGCACACGACCTCCGCCAAGAAATCCCAGGGACTGTATGTCATTTTATTTGAGACAGTGGTTTAGAAGGTGAGTCACAAATCAGTGATATCATCACCATCGTCTCTAGTTTGTTAAGGGTGCTGGGAATTGTAGCGCTGTGAACTACAGTTCCCAGGACTCTTGGGGGGGGGGATTCATGTGTTTTCAATGTGTGTGGATGTTCTTTCAACGTACGGTGTGGATCTGCTTAACTATCGGATAACGTAGCCTACCCTAACCCCACAAATCTTAAATATTATAATTGTTGTGGGGTTCATTATTTAATATATCTTCCACTATGGCGGTAAATTAATACACATGACACAGCCCTTCCCCTATGCACTTCATATCCTACATAATCTCAGCATTCCTTACAGGGTAGATAACGTGGTACGGTGCCCTCTGCTTTTAGGACTCCAGTTTCCATCAGCCCCAGCAAATATGGAAAATGGTGATGGATGATGAGATATGTAGTTCAGCACCATCTGGAGGGCCCATTCATTCCCTAAGGAAGAAGGTGAGCATGACATCATCGAACTAACTCATTAAAAGAGGATTGCACCAATTCAGGGAGGAAAAGGCTACCAATGGCTACTAGCCATTATTAACAGCTGGGGTAGCTCAGTGGGTAGAGCATGGACCTCTCAATCTCAGGGTTGTGGGTTCGAGCCCCATGTTGGGCAAAAGATTCCTGCATTGCAGGGGGTTGGACTAGATGACCCTTGGGGTCCCTTCCAACTCTACAATTCTATTATTCTATATACTGTGCCTCCTTGGCTGGAAGCAGTGATGCTTCTGGATACTGGTTGCTGGAAGTTGCAGGAGGGGAGAGTGCTGTTGCGCTCAGTCACTGCTTGTCGATTTCCCAGAAGAGGCTTCTTTTTTCTAATTTTTTAATCAAAATTAAAACAAGACATATTATCCAAAAACATATCATCCTTGTCCCCCCCCCCATTTTTCCTCCCTCCCCCCACCCTCCCACACAACCCCCCCACCCCCTGACTTTCCTCATTTCCAGTCTTTGGTTTCTCTGAGACTGCTGTTTTCTGCATGTTACAAAGTTGTATAGATCCTCAAACTATTTAGCTGATTATTATCAATAAAAAGTTTGTGAATCTTTATTCAAAACCTGCCAGGCAGTCCAGTTCGCTTTGTTGCATCTTCAGATACTTTGTAAAGGGTTCCCATTCATCCTTAAAGTCACAGTTATCCTTGTCCCGTAGCTTATATGTCAGTTTTGCCAGTTCTGCATAGTCCGTCAATTTTTCTTGCCATGATTCTTTAGTTGGGGTTTCTTCAGTCTTCCATCCTTGTGCTACCAGAACTCTCGCGGCCGTTGTCGCATACATGAAGATGTTTTTCAGCTTTTTTGGCAGGTGTTTCCCTACAATCCCCAACAAAAATGCCTCGGGTTTTTTAAAAAAAATGTTAAATGGAACATTTTCTTCAATTCACTGTATATCATTTCCCAAAATTTTTTAATTACATTACAATCCCACCACATATGATAAAATGTCCCTTCCTTTTCCTTACACTTCCAACATATATTTGAACTAGTTTTGTACATTTTCCCTAACTGCACTGGTGTTGTGTACCATCTATAACCCAGAAGAGGCTTCTGATTGGCTACTGCAAGAACAGGATGCTGGACTAAATGGGCCACTCAGTGGCCTGATCCAGCAGCTTCTTCTGACATTCCTAACTCTCCTTGAGCTCCATGTGGGCCATGTTGCCCAGAAATCATGGGCTACACAGAGCCCAGCAAAACTGGGTTGGTTGGAGAGTCTTAGGATAAGCAAGTCTTTGCTTTGGAGGGTGGGGGCAGAGAAAGTACTGTTTGCAAAGAAAGTGTTAAGTGATGAGGTATGATGTCTTCAAAGCCAACAGTTCAAGCAAGGTAAACTTTCGACTCTCCAAGTTTTGTGCCTTTCCTTTTACTTCCTCTCTCAGTTAGCAAGGCTTGTTTCTGTTTTTGTTTGCTTGTTTGCTTGTTTTGGCCTGGACTCCCAAGCCTTTTGAGTGTACTAACTGGGGTTACCAATTCCTTCTCCCGCTCCACACACAGAGAGAGTTTTTGCTTTTTAAACAGCAGCAGGAGGTGCAAAGATTTAACAGCTGAGATGCTATCCCCCATAACTGGAACTTTATCTATGTTCACACTCCCGTTTAACTTTGCATCCAGGGTGCTCCCGGCGCTGATTTGGGACACGTTGTGTGGGCAACCTTTGCCACAATTTTATTTATTTATTTATTAAATTTATATCCCGCCCTTCCTCCCGAAAGAGCCCAGGGAGGCAAATGTAACACCCTAGAACTCGCGGACATCCGCTGAAGCTGAATGTTGGAAGATTCAGGACCGATAACACAGAGGATTTATTGACACGGTGCAGAGTGAGTTAACCTATGGAACTCCCTCCCACAAGAGGCGATGGTGGCCACCAATTTGGATGGCTTTAAAAGAGGATTAGATCATTTCGTGGAGGAGAGGGCTGCCGATGGCTACTGGCCACAATAGCTCAGATCTGCTATGGAGGAAGCAATGCTTCTGAACACAAGTTGCGGGAAGCCACAGCGGGGGACATTAATAGGGTGCTTGGGTGCTGCTTGCGGGTTCCCCACTGCGAGGACAGGGTGCTGGGCTAGATGGGCCTGATCCAGCCACCTTCTCTTACTTTCTTATGTTAAATGTTGTAAACAAAATTCCTATCACATAAAACAATAAAAGCACATTGAAAACACTTCCAGGAAAGATGTGGGTAGATCCTTATCTTCCCTGCCTTCTCTTACAAAATGCTTCTTTTTGATGTGTTCTCTCTCTCTTGCCCCAAACCAGCTTCAATCCCAATTGAGAAAAAGAAAGACTTTGCTGTGTTTTAAGCCAGTGTACCCAGCATTCATGTTCTGAGTAGCTAAAGCAGCACCAGTTACCAAGAAACCTTGGCAGCCCTCTCAGGCTGGCTCAAGGGAGGCAAAACAGCTTGATCTGAAGAAGATAGGAGGGGGGCTATTTGTTTTGTTTTTTTACAGCACAGATAGATAGACAAACAGGATTGCCCAGAAAAAGTCTGCAGGCAGAGCTTGTTGAGAAAGCCACGGTTTCAGGAACTGTTTCCAAAAGTTCACCACGGTGCAGTGTGTGATTCTTAATCTTCTGGGGCGAGAGTTCAAGGAGGCCCAATCTCTTTGGGGGTTTGTGTGTGTTGGTGTGTGTGTGCCTTTAAGGAATCCGGCTTGGCTGTGCCCCCTCTCCTCCCCCACCTGAGAACCAATTAAAACTCCATGAATTCAAGTGGGGGGCTTTTGTCCTTGGCAGGGGCTGGCCTGACAAAAGACTTCTCCAGGCAGGGATGAAAGCTGTTATTCAGCAAGCTGGGGGTTTGTTCCCATTCAAATCACTTCCACTCCACTCTCCTTTTCTCGCTTGCTCTCCTCTGAGTTCCCAGGCCGGGCTCCCTGCCCGAATGGACCCCCCCCCTCAAAAAAAAATCCCTGCCACCATCCCCCTGTGCTGAGTTTCTCCCTCCCCATCCCAAGTGGCCATATGCAAGCTTGGGGGATGGCCAGCAGTGGCAGGAGCCCCAGAGGCTGAGCTGGAAGCTGCCTTGCAAAACTTAAAGGCGGCTGGTTCTGGCCACACAAGGTGCCCATAAGGAGAGCAGCTGGATCAGGGCAGCACCTGGTATTCAGAAGCAGAGGCTGAGCCAAGCCAATGTAGATTTATCCTTCATGAAACTGTCCAATCTTCCATCGTTCCACCCCCATCGCTCAGCCCGGACACCGGGGTCCAGATTTGAGGGCCTTCTGGCAGTTCCCTCCCTGCGAGAAGTGAGGTTACAGGGAACCAGGCAGAGGGCCTTCTTGGTAGTGGCGCCCGCCCTGTGGAACGCGCTCCTATCTGATGTCAAGGAAATAAACAACTAACTGATTTTCAGAAGACATCTGAAGTCAGCCCTGTTTAGGGAAGTTTTTAATGTTGGATGTTTTAGCATGTTTTTAATGCAGGTGGTACCTCTGGATGCGAACGGGATCCGTTCCGGAGCCCCGTTCACAACCAGAAGCGAACGCAACCCGCATCCCCGTGTGCGCGGGTCACGATTCGCCGCTTCTGTGCATGAGCGTGACGTCATTTTGACCGTCTGCGCATGCGTGAGTGGCAAAACCCGGAAGTAACACACTCTGTTACTTCTGAGTCACCGCAGCGCGCAACCCAAAAATACTTATCCCGAAGCTACTTCAACCCGAGATATGACTGTATTCTGTTGGGAACTGCCCAGAGTGGCTGGGGAAACCCAGCCAGATGGGCAGGGTATTAACAACAACAACAACATTTCCCCAATAACCCTTGACTATTCTGCATGACCCTCCTCCGTGTGTCATGGCTTTGTTTCCAGTTGGTGCACGTTCCGTAACTTCGTGCTGAAATCCTGTAACATTTGGCAGATCCAAGCCGCACATTTAAAGCGCATCCGACACACATTTAAAGCACATGACTCCCCACCCCTGTAGAATCTGGGAATTGTAGTTCTCCCCGCACAGTGCTACAACTCCCAGCATCCCTGACTACAGCCATCCAGGTGAGTGGCCATCACTGGCTTCTATGGGAGCCAGTTACCTAGTTTAGCTATGTACAGTATGAAGCAGTCCTTTTTACCTGTCCCGAGTCTTCCAACATTCAGCTTCCTTGGATGTCCACATGTTCCATACCCTCCAACATTTCTCCGATGAAAATAGGAACGTCCTATTCAATTATTATACTATTTATATCCCGCCCATCTGACTGGGTTGCCCCAGCCACTTTGGGCAGCTTCCAACATATATCAAAACATAACAGAACATTAAACTTTTTTAAAAACTTCGCTATATGCGGCTCTCTTCAGATGGCTTAGTGGGGTCGGATAACTCCATACCCTTCAACATTTCTCTGATGAAAATAGGGATGTCTTAAGGAAAAGCAGGACATTACAGGATCAAATCAGAAACCAGGACAGCTGTAAATCTGGGGTAGTCCCTGGGAAATAGGGGCACTTGGAGAGTTTGATTTATGAAAAAGGGAGAAAAACCTTTATCTGCTTTCCTTATGCCATGCATAATTTCACAATATTCCACCATGCTGCCTGTTGCTCTCCTTCTCTCTAAACTAAAAAGTCCCGGAGGCTGCAACCTTCCCACAGAGGGAAGTTGCAGATCTTGGGCTGATTGGCAGTGGCCATTCTCGTGTGCTTCAGGAGGGCTGAGCTAACACTCTCCTGCACCTGAGGGCTCCCTGGATAAGTCCTTGGTTTGAAGGGAACAGAAGCAAACTCTGTACTTGGGCATTTCCGCTATCCAAAGCGTAGCAGCCCCTTGTGGAACACATTGACCTTTGCCTCCTGTGTGCTTCCTTGAGGAGTGTGTGTGTGTGTGTGTGTGTGTGTGCTCATTGGTGTGTTATGTTTCTCATCAGTGGGACGAAATTGATGCCCCCAATCCCTTCCGTGTGGGGAAAAGGGCCTCCATCCCTACACAAATGCCAGTCCTTAAGAGGAGAGTTCCGGGTCTGACCTCAGGGGAAATTACATCTGGGACCCTGCTCCCCCAGGTGCCAAGGAGGCCCCCTCCCCGACAGTTCCTCGAATCTGGAACTTTGCTCCCTAGTTAGCCGACGACCATGTCAGACGAGTCTCCTTGTTTTAATTACCGTGTTGTTTTAATGGGACTGTTTTATTGCATATTTTAATTATGGATGTTTAAATGTTAACGTTTTAATGGGATTGCTTTATTGTGCGTTTTAATTATGGATGGTTGTAATTTTCATGCTTGCACAGTTGGTTTTTTTTTTTTTAAAATGCTTGTAAGCCGATTTTGGTAAAAAAGCGGTAAATAAATAAAAAAACCAAATCGCCCGACGGCATTCCTGGCCTCGGAGACAGAAAGACCTGGACCGAACAGGAAGGAAGGGGTTAACAGAAGAGACGGGCTGCTGGATCAGGCCCAAAGACATTCTGTTCCCACATAGACCAAAATGCCCCTAAGAACATAGGAACCTAGATAGAATGCCTCTGGACTTGGAGGTTCTATAAGAACATAAGAAGAGTCCTTTTGGATCAGGCCAAAGGGGTCTACCGTATTTTTCGCTCTATAAGACGCACCAGACCACAAGGCGCACCTAGTTTTTGGAGGAGGAAAACAAGAAAAAAAATATTCTGAATCTCAGAAGCCAGAACAGCAAGAGGGATCGCTGCGCAGTGAAAGCAGCAATCACTCTTGCTGTTCTGGCTTCTGGGATAGCTGCGCAGCCTGCATTTGCTCCATAAGACGCACGCACATTTCCCCTTACTTTTTAGGAGGGAAAAAGTGAGTCTTATAGAGAAAAAAATAAGGTAATTTTATTCCAGCATCCCATTCTCAAAATGGCCAATCAGATGTCTAGAGTAAGCTTGCAAGCAGAACCTGAGAGCAACAGCGCTCTCTCAACTTTTGATTCCCAACAACTGGCATTCAGAGGCATACTGCCTTCGCCTCCAAGGGTTCATCCTTTTCCCTTTGATAAACCATGTCCCCTTTCAGAACGGATTTCTAGGGGGCAATTACAGTACAAGTAAGTGGTTTACTAGTCATCAGGCTGTAGATGCTGAATCAGGGTTAATGCTACTGACATTCTGGTGCCTGAAGGTGAACATCTAAGGCATCCTCTGCCATCCAATAATGATTACCGGGCCAGGAGGAAAAGTTGAACTAATTGGGGCAGGGGGACAGGAGTGCAATTAAAATTAGCAAGGCTGAGAGTTAAGTGCACACTTGTTTATTTTTCAGAGCTGTATTGGTTCCGGTGTGTTTATTCTTCAAAGCTATATTGGTTCTAGTGTGTTTGAGGAGGGGCTCCAAACACAAAAAACATGCTGAAAAGAGCCTTTGTTTCCTAAGAAAGAGTGGCAGTCACGTAATGCCTTAATTAGGAGCAAAAAGGAACATCATAAAAAAATGAGCAAGCTTTTGAGTTCACCAGAACTAATATCTTCTAGATTGAACATTCCTGATAAAACTGAAAGCTTCCTTGTGATGCTGTGAAGGTTCAGTTGGTCCTAATGAAGGTATTACACATTTGTTTTTGATTCCTGTTATTTTCATGAGCTTATGAGTTCTTTTATTTTTTTAATGAACAAATAGAATTTATTTCACACCTCCTACAATATCCGGAAAACAAGTGTCACATCCATACCATACATTTAAAATTGCTTTAGCCATCCTGGAGAATTCTGGGAACTGTAGGTTGTTGAGATTGCTGATAATTTTTGGTCTGCGAGGTCAGCACCCTTAAACTACAGTCCCCATGATTCTTTGTAGTGGCGGTCATGACTGCTAAAGTGGTTTAAAGATATGGGTTTGGATGTGAGCAGAGGCCCATTTTTTGTGCTGGGCAGATTGATCAATTTATTTATTTATCTATCTTCATGCAGCATAGTTAGAAGTATGTAACTTGGGGGCAGAGATAGCCACTAGCCTTGATGGCTTCAAAAGGAGATTGGACGTATGACGTGGGTGGTGCTGTGGGTTAAACTACAGAGCCTAGGACTTGCTGACCAGAAGGTTGGCGGTTCGAATCCCCGCGACGGGGTGAGCTCCCGTTGCTCGGTCCCAGCTCCTGCCCACCTAGCAGTTCGAAAGCACGTCAAAGTGCAAGTAGACAAATAGTTACCGCTCTGGCAGGAAGGTAAACGTTTTCGTGCGCTGCTTAGGTTCGCCAGAAGCGGCTTAGTCCTGTATGCCGGCTCCCTCGGCCAATAAAGCGAGATGAGCGCCGCAACCCCAGAGTCGGTTATGACTGGACCTAATGGTCAGGGGTCCCTTTACCTTAAAAAAAAAAAGGAGATTGGACGAATCAGTGAACTTAGATAGCTCAGTTAGTTAGAGCATGGCGGCGATTAACGCCAAGGTTGCAGGTTCGATCCCCGTATGGGGCAGTTGCATATTCCTGCATTGCAGGGGGTTGGACTAGAGATTATTCTCAGGGTCCCTTCCAACTCTGCCATTCTGTGATTCTATTATGGTTGCTATGCTCTGCCTCCATGGTCAGAGGCAGCAATTCTTCCGAATACCGGTCGTTGGAAACTGCAGGAGGGGATCGCTCTTGTGCTCAGGTTCCGCTTGCTGGTCGGCCACTGTGAGAACAGGTTGTTGGACTAGACAAGTCCCCTTTGGCCTGATCCAGCAGGCTTTTCTTATGTTCTTGTGTGTAGCAACTACTATACTGTACAAAGGAAGAAATGTACAATAATGGTACTACCCAGTGTTGCCCCAGGCCCTGCACCCCACTGGTGTGTGTTCCCCAAAAGATTGCCCTCAAGGGGCTTGCAGCCCTTGGGCGGAATAAGGTTCTCCTGAAACAAAGTCCCTTCTCTCCTCTCAGGGTTATCTTTCCTCAGGAAGGTGTCCGTCTCAATTAGGAGATGCAGATTGACCTGTCAGGTGGTTGATGCAAAGAAAATACCTTTGCAAAGCCACGGGGAAGCAAGGCTGTCACCCTGAGCTGCTTAGAGAGGGATTTGGGGCATGTATTTCTGTCTAAGCATCTGGATTGGGTCTTAGCCTGTTAGCTTGCTCTGTTTCTGCAGACTGCTTCCTGCAGGACGGGGACTGGAAGCCGGGCTGGCTCTGCCATTAGGCATGATGAGGCTTGCCTTAGGCGGCAATTTGTTTGAGGCTACTGTAAAAAGGCAGCCATTTATTTGGAGAATTTCTTTTTTTAAAAAAACCAAAAAAGTATTGAAGCAATTATAAATCACTAAGACAAATAAACAAAAGCTGTCCCTGTCCTGAGGCCTACAATCTAAATAAAAAAGACATGACACAAAAGGAAAATGGAGGGAGGATATCAGTTCCTAGAAACAGGAAGTAGAATGCTCTTGTACTTGGGCCCTCCTTTTGGACCTCCCACAGGCATCTAGTTGACCGCTGGACTAGGTGAGACTCTGGCATGATCCATTAGGGATCTTCTTGTGTTCAAACACAGTGAATACTACTCTTTTGTGGAGGAAAATGGTATCCTAAAGTGGGTAGTTCACTGGTTAGAGCTTGGTGCTGATAATGTCAAGGTTGCAGGTTCAATTCCCATAGGAGTTTCTTGCTAGACCTGTGTTCCAGACTTCTGGGCAACCTCCCAGGGGCTGCATGCCAGTGGTGGGTGGAGCCAGATGCAAAAGAGGACGGAGCAATAAATGCAAATGTTACCTTTGTACAGTAGGCTAGTTTCGTACATCACAACCCCTCTCTGTCCCTCCACTCAGGCAAACATGCAGCACCATCAGGATTCAAGGACATATCCCAGACAGGGTAAAACACTGCAAGGTGCAAAGCAGGGCCAGTAAAGAGTGTGGCTCAGGGAAGAGTTCTGAGGGCCAGATAGAAATCTTCGGAGGGCTACATTCAGCAACCTGGACCTTCTCATCCGTGTTTTAGGATGCAAACACACCAACATGGAAGATTTGTGCATCTTTAGGGGAGTCTGGAGATAACACAGATCTGCCAAGAGGCTCGTTTTACTCTTTGTAAGGGACATGAGTCTTTCCTGCAGTGGTGCTTTGCTGTGGAATCCCCTCCCTTATGAACATAGGCATGTACCAATGCAGGACATTCCAGCGCCTTTTGCAATTGGCTCCCTGGATTTTACTAGCTCTTCATTCCATCGGGTAACTAGGATACACACCCTGATTTACCAGTTGAATTTATTTTATTTGCTTTCAATGTATTTTAAAACTATTGTACATCACCCCAAAAGATTTTCTGTGAATACAATATAGAAATGCTTGAATACTACTTATAGTATGATGCTACTGATATCATTGACAGCACAGATGTGGACTGAACTAAAAGAAAGCATGTTTACCTGCCCACCTGGATAAGTTGTCCAGGAGGCAACTGACCAAAGGAACAATTCCAAGCAGAATAAGAAACAAGGACTCATTTTTTTTTTATCATGTATATAGCACAAGCAATGCACATGGCTCAGTAGAAACTTAAGTGTTTTTTAAATAAAAAAAAGAGGCAGATGCTTTTGCCAGAATCCTCATGCACACCAATTTAATTACCTACTTCCACACTGAGCTACACACAAAGGTGATTGGAGGGTCCTATAAACTGCACCATTTCAGACAGCAAGGTGGGAGGGTTGAAAGCTCCAAGCACTCCATTGTTAGCTGGGCAAGTGATTATGGGAGTACGGGAAAGTTCTTCCTTTTTTCTGATGGTATAGATTCCCAGGTGGGGAACTTATATTTATTGCATTTATATCCAACCTTTTCCTCCAAGGAGTTCAAGGTGGCGTACATGGAGCTCCCCCTCCTCACTTAATCCTCACAACCACCCTGTGAGGAGTCAGTGACTGGCCCCCAAGGTCACACCCAATGAGCTTCATAGAGGAGTAGTGATTCAGATCCTGGTCTCCCAGGTTCTAGTTTCACACCACGCTGACATCTCTTACTTGGCCTGAAGCCGCACAACCTCGAGCCCTGCATGTAAATCAGGCATGTGGGGATCTGTGGGCCCGTGAAGATGTTGCAGGACTACAACTCCATCAGCTGGACCAATGGCCAGGGATGATGGGAGCTGTGTTTCCACAAACAAAAGGTGCAGGGGCAAAACTTCTCTGCACCTGGTGTATAAATCCCAGCAATGGGGGGCGGGCTGAGACCCCCAAATGCTGTGGGACCCAAACTCCCAGCAGGCCCAGTCGAGGTGGCCATCCTGTGGGGTTCTGAAGGTTGTGAGCCCAGCGCCATGTGGAGATCACCCACCCAGAGGTGACTTGTGCCCTGGATCGAGATGGTTAAAAGTGGCAAAAGGAACTCCCCCACTTTTCCCCTCTCAAGGTCCGGCCCGCTTGGTCCAACGAGGTTCCGGGCAGGACCACTTTCCGGGGAGGGGGGGATGCACTGCCCACTCATTCGCGGCTCCCCAAACCAAAATGGCACCTTCTCCCTCTCTCACCCCCCCCTAAAAGGCACCACGTTCCCGTCTTTCCCGAGGCCCTCGCGCGAGAGAAGCTCCATCCCGCGCGCCTTTCTGAGGCGGGCCGAGCGAGCGAAAAGGCCGCGCCTGAGGGGGTAACTTGGGCGCTGAGGGTCGCCAGGGCGCTGAGGCGGCCAGTAAGCTAGCCTAGCGGGCGAACCCCGCAGCTGCCCCACGAGCGAGCGAGCGAGCCGGCCGGCCGGCCACCCTCCCCCTCCTCCCTCAAGCGCGCCGGTCCCCCGCCATGTCACATGCTGTTTATTGTTGCCGGCTAGATGGGCTTTAACCCTTTCCTGCGTGGGCTCCCCCGCTCCTGCCGCCAAGCTGGGCTCCAGCGGCGGGGCGAGCGAGGCATGAGGCGCCAGGTGGGCCCAGGCAGCGGAGGGAGGAGGGCGGCCCCGTCCTCCGCCCGGCGCCCTTGACCATGGACGCCGCCGCCGCCTCCTCCGTGGCCGCCTTCAGCAGGTAGAGCAGGACAAAAGCCCCGCCGGCATCCCCCGGCCTCCGGACCCGCCTGAGAGGCCAAGGTGGACCCGGCGCCGGCCCCCCGCCCGCCTTTGTTCCCCGGCGAGGCCTTCTCCCTCGCCGGCCCCGGGCGCCCTGAGCGCACAGCCGTGTTGCGCGCCGCCTTTGCCGCCGCCCTGAGCGCGCTGCCCGGCGGCGGGCCGGCTTTTATGCTCACGCCGGCTGCCGCGGGTGGGAGGAGCCGGGCAGGTTGTCCCCGGCGCTGCTGCTGCTGCTGCTGCTGCCGTTGCCCGGCCTCCTCCTCCTCCTCCTCCTCCTTCCCCATCATCATCTCCACCTCCTCCTCCCCGCCCGGCTGAGAGGGGTCGGGGGAGGGGGCAGCATGGCCTGGCCGTCCGGCCCCTTTTCCAACGCTCAGCTGCCCCGGGAGTGTGGCGCTGCGCCTCGCAGGGAGAAGAGGTCCGAATGGAGACAGAAGCCAGCCAGCCCGGCCTCGCCTCCCCGGACTCCCCCCACGACCCCTGGTACTCGGCCCGGCCCACCCTCGCCTCCGACGCTGCCTCCTCCTCCTGCTCCGACGCCGACGCTCTCGGCCGGCCGGCAGCCTCCCCGCCATGCCCGATTGCTGGCGGCGGCGGCGGCGGCCGGGGCAGGCTCTCTCCTCTGCCTGGCTGCGGGGAGCCGCCAACATGGCCGATTCCCCCGCGCGCTCGCCTCCTCCATCCACGCCTCCGCCGAGCCGGGCAGCCCACTCGCGCCCGCCGCATCCCCGGGGCGCCCTGGCGCCGCTGCCGCCGCCCCGATCCGCCATCCCGAGCGCTCTGGAGGCGGCGCACACACGCCCCCCCCTTTCTCCCCAACGCCACGCTCGCCGCCCGCCATGGACGGAGGAGTTCCGGGGGTCCCCCAGGCTGCCTCCCGTCCTCTCCCCCTGCGCCCGCGCCGCCCTTGATCGGGGGGCTTTCCCTCCTCTCCGAAGACGAAACGCTTAACTTTTATGGCCGTCTTGTTGCTCTCGCGTGCTGATTTAAAACCCCGTGTCTCTCTCTCTCTTTTTGTGTTTTCTTCCCTCTCTCGTTAGCAAAATGTTCATCGGGGGATTGAGCTGGCAAACCACGCAAGGTGAGAGCAAGGCGGCGGTAGCGGCCCGGCATGGGGAGTATTGGGGCGGATGGGGGGGGGTAGGGAGAGAGTTACTGGGCCGGAGGCCGGGGGTCTTCTGGGTTCGGTTCTGGCCGAGCCGCACCTGCAACCCAAACTTTCCCAACTCCTCTGACGCCTTTTCTCCTGCCCCTCCCCAAATCTTCTCTGCGATGTACAGAACTTAGATGCGCCTTTTCATGGCGGGGGTGGGGGGAGCGGGCTTCTCCCATGTGGGTCTTTGTGAATAGCTTTGGGTAAGGGGCGCTGTTCGGACTCGTTTGCAAGGGTTCCCCCCCCCACTCCCTCTCTCCCTCTCTGTTGGGGGGGGGGGAGCTTCCCCTCGAGCATGCCCCTCTTCCTCTTCTCTCTCCACCTCCAAGTGTTGTAGGATCTACCCCACTCTTTGCCAGCAGAGGTCGAATAGCCCCCTCCCTCTTTTCTGTAAGCTGTGGGGAGGAAAGAGGCATCACCCGGGGACACCCCCCCCCACAGTGCCGCCACCTGCCTAGGGGACCCATTTGTGTCCTTCTCTTGTGCTTTGCAGAAGGCTTGCGGGAGTATTTTAGCCAGTTTGGCGAGGTGAAAGAGTGCCTGGTCATGAGGGACCCGCTGACAAAGCGATCCAGGTGAGATGCCCCCCCTCGCTCCCCCCCCACCCGCGATCCCTCCAGTACCAGATCCATTCTTTCTAACCAACTTCCTTTCGGTCTCTTTCTCTCTCCTTTCCACCTCCTCTCCCTGGTCCAGAGGATTCGGGTTTGTCACTTTCATGGACCAAGCTGGTGTAGACAAGGTACTGGCCCAATCTAGACACGAACTGGACTCCAAGACGGTGAGTCTCCTTCTCCCATCTCCAGAGGGCTGTGTGTGTGTGTGTGTGTGTGTGTGTGTGTGCAATAGCCAGCGACCTATCAACTATTGACTAGAGCTATATTGATCCTGTCTGGCTATTGGGTTTTGAAACAGGCATTGAAACCAATGACTTCTCTAGTCTGCGCAAGGACCTGATGTGTTTCTTGGCTTAGGGGTTGTGTTTTTCAAAACTTTTTAACTCAACAAAGTTCTCTTTGCAGAACAGTTCTAGGGAGGTAATGAATTGAAAAGTATTGTACTGGGGCAGGCTGAATGCCTGTGTGATGCTGGTTGGATATTTTGGAGGAAAGTCTAGTGCTTCAGTGGTGGGGTGAGGGCAGACCCTAAGCCTTTTGTCTGGCTTGGCCCATGGGGTGCTGCTGGAGCTTTTGCTGAACCTAAGATATACTGAAGGATGCTTGATTTCTCCCTGAAGATTAGGCCTATTATTTTGGATCTTCATTAGGCATCAGAAAGTGACTGGGTTTTTTTGTTTTTGTTTTTTTGGGAGGGGGTATTTTATTTTGATTTTGGATTTTCCACCTTGGCCTAACCCTTTCAAGCTGGATCTTCTTCCCCCAATATCTGGGACCTGAGTGGTTGACTGGCAGATCCCCTTCTCGCTTGCAAAATAAAAATAAAATTAAGCTCTTTTGGTCCAAGGTTGTGTGGAATGCCAGCTATGATGTCTCAGGGCTCCCTCCCCATTAATTCTGGGTATTGGAAGAAGATGTCAGTGTCTCTGTTAAAGAGGGAGAGTCACTCTGCATATGGTCAGAGACACAGTTTTCAAACATTCCATGGATGTGGCCCTGGGGCTCATGTTCTGGGTCTCAAATGGAGACATGGCTTTACAACACAATGTTCTTTGCAGTAGTGAAGGCTTTTTTATTACAAGAAACCAGTAATTTTCCAAAATAACATATGCAGCAATAAATACATCTAAACAGCATAGCTATATATAGCGATGCATGATAATTTCAAATCCCAGGTGCAGGTGAGGAGAAGGATTTCTAGAGTATATCTCTCTTTTGCGTTTCTCTAACATTTAGGTCACCTTGGGGACTATTTTTAAAAGTAGCATCTCCTAACTCCTGTTACAAATCAGAATGAACCTTTCATGTGCATCTGTGTCTGTCTGGGCTGGGACTTGTCTCTCACCATCTTTCTGATTTAATGTAAGAAATAAAGTCATTCCAAAGTTGTTGAGAATTAGTCTGTTGCCTTCGTGTTTCTGAGCAGCTTAAGGAGGCATGTTAGTTTCTCCGTGATTGCCAAGTCCCAAAGTTCAGTGGTGAACTTTGATAAGTATTTGTTTTAAAGTGGGGGTCTTTTTGATGACCAACAGGTGTTTTGGGGACTTCTCTCTCTCTCTCTGTTGTGAAATTGGGGATCTTGTACACTTAATTTACCTAACTGTTTAAAAGTTATCTCTTTTGTGTCCCTTTGCCGTTGTGGTTGGGAGAGGTACCACCAGAAAACTGAGGCGGGAAGAGTATGTTTGGGGAATCTGCAACCTTTCACCTGGGAGTCACCCTACCCCCTTGGCAAATGCCCCTCCTCCTAGGAACTACATAAATGACTTTCTGACATATTTCACCAATCACCACCCTCCCCTCAAGCCTATTTGCATGTTCAGCAAGCAAGAAGACTTGCCCTGGGGTGTGTGCAGAGGAAAGTAGCAGGTCTGGAAGCAAAGAACTAGGAAGCAAGGCGGGGAGGGGGGTGGGCTATAGAAGTGATCAACAGCCAGCGCAGCTGTTCCATTCCTATTCCCAACATATGGTGGCTCTTTGGTTGTCTAATAACAGAGAGCTGAGTCCGGATCCAACTAGTGTTTTAGTCCAAGTAGATTTGGGGCCCTGAGGTGGACAATCCAGATGAGAATACCCAAATCAAATCCCCTCCCGACTTTCCAAATTTGGATTTTCAGATTGGGTTTTCTACCTCTAGGCCTTAAAATGACTGGACCCCAAATAGTTGGACCCCCCCCAATTTTGGGGGCCTAAATAGGGACTTAAAATGCTTGCTCAGCTAAAGGTCTTTGTTCAAGTTGGTTAATAATAATAATAATAATAATAATAATAATAATTTTATTGCTATTTATATCCTACCCATCTGGCTGGTTTCCCCAGCCACTCTGGGCAGCTTCTAGCACATATAAAAACATAATAAAATGGCAAGCATTGAAAACTTCCTGATACGGGGCTGCCTTCAGATTACTTCTAAAAGTTGCGTAGTTCTTTATCTTTGATTTGAACCGTTGTCACCCAGAACTGGGTTGAGCGCTCTTTTGAACAGTTTGTGAGACCTGTAGTGCATCTTAGTATAGCATCATAGAAATGTAGAGTTGAAAGGGGAACCATAGCATCATCTAGTCCAAACCTCTGCATTGCATGTGTCTTTTGCTCAATGTCGGGCTTGAACCCACAACTGTTAGTTTTTCACTCTTAGTTTTTCAGGGCGGGGGGTGGTGGTGTTTGTGAATGTGGATACACATTTTGGTGATGGATTGCAGTGGCTGGGAGTCTTTTCTTGAGGATACTTTTAAGTCATTTTTCCTGTGGTTGAAATCTGAGATATGGGGCTCAAGGTTAGAACTCTGCCTAGAGGAAACAATGTCCCGCCGCCCCTTGCGGGTCATGACTTTTAAAGGAACAATTCTGCTCAAAACCCACAGAAATAAAGGGGAACCTATGCAGTCCCCCTTCATTTTGGGGCGAGGGGCTTACGAAAGAGAACTTTGCCAGCGGCTAATGTCACAGTGCGTGCCGTTTTAATCCAATTTCTGGTAGAGTTCAGTATCCAAGGTGAACAGAAGGCATTCCAAAGGGAGACCTTTCCTTGAGGCTGCCTGGGGGAGTTGCAGGAAAGTTGATCACTGCCCTCCTTTCTTCAGGGGATCGTTCCCTTTCCCGTGTCCAGGAATCTCCTCTCTCTGCTGAATGCATGTGCCCTGTGTTCCTTAAAAGTGTAATGAAAGTTTATCCTGAAAGTTAGGCACAAGTTTTCATTATTTTTTCTTTATTTTTAACCCGTTAAAAAGACTTGATACAATGAAGCAGGCCACGCAAGTTGTGCTGTGCTAAATGGGTTAGTCTTTCAAAAGTCTCTGTTAGTTTGGGAAGAGGATATGATGGTCTACTACTTGGAAGTAATCCTCACCTAAATCACTGAGGTTGTTGTAGGATTGGGTTGTAATAAAGCTAGTCCTATTGGGGTATGTATGCAGAGTAGGGTTTTTCGGGGGGGGGGGCCAGGCCATCTCCTCTCTCTCTAAACCAGTCTCCAACTGGGTGCCCTCCAGCTGTTTGGAACTACAACTCCCATCAGCCCCAGCTGACTGGCTGGGGCTGATGGGATTTGTAGTCCAAAACAGCTGGAGGACACTCAGTTAAGGAAAAGCCTGCCTCTGAACTTTGCTATGGTGCCTAATCAGCTAAGCCCATCCTGGATCTCTGTGGGAGCAGCAAGGTCACCCCACCCCTGAAAGAAAGGAGTGAGTGATGAATGAATATCCATGGCGGCTGGCCTAATCCTTGGGAACAGTTTCCTGGGGATACAAAGTGAGATGAAAGCCGTGGTCGCTGATCCCTATTCTTTTCTCTGCCTCCTCCGAACAGTGTGCTCTGTCTCTCTCTCTCCCTCTTGTCTCTTACAACCTTGCTGTGGGGCCTCCCCTTCGAGGTGGAGCGGTTGGGGGGAGGGGTTAAGTGAGCCGAGGGAGAGAACAGAAGGGGTCTCATGCTGTACGGATTGGTGGGGTGGTGGGGGGTTGTTGGCCGGCTATTGAAATCTCCTGATGCGTCTGCTTTGCTGGGTTGAAGGGGAGGAGGGCGGGAATTGTGGGGAGCAATTTCAGTAGAGGATAGCCCTCTTTTTTAAAAAATACCCTCTTTTGTTTGGAGCTCAAACCCTTCTGAGCTATCTATCCTCTTTCTCTGCCCTTCCACCCCACCTGGGTCAGCCAGTGTTTCAGGTCCTGAGATGGAAAATCTAAATGGCATTACACACACACACACACACACACACACACAAACACACATATTTAACATCTTCTGGGACATTCTCCTTCTCACACCCCATTGGAATGAATGGGAGTTGCAGGAGAGCACAGACTCCCGCCCCCATAAAATCTTTCCTAACGAGGCATGTGCAGAATAACTTCACAGTATTTATTTATTTAGTTATTTCATTTATATCCCACCTTTTTCTCCAAAGAGCTAAGGTGTTGTACATGGCTCTTTCCCCTCATTTAATTCCCACAGCAACCCTGTGAGGTAGGATGGGCTGAGAGAATGTGATTGCCCCAAGGTCACCCAGCGAGCTTCATAGCTGAGTGGGGATTTAAACCCTTGTCTCCCATGTCCTAGTCCAGTACTCTTAACTGCTACACCACATGGGCTCTCCCATACTTTAATGGTGCCCTGAAACTGCCACCTTGCCTTGTTTTATTGCAAGTACAGCTCTGCTCCTTCCTTCCTCTTTTTTTTAAAAAAAACAAACAAACACTTTTTCAGATATTAGACGAACATAAGAGCAATCAAACTCTCTCCTCCTTTTTTAAGTAAAAAAAGTCTGTTTGGAAACATTGTTCAAAACATGTGCACAGTCTTAGGCTGGTGCAAGTTTCCAATACTATTTATTTGTTAAGTGTATACAGTGGTACCTCAGGTTACAGATGCTTCAGGTTACAGACACTTCAGGTTACAGACTCCACTAACCCAGAAATAGTACCTCGGGTTAAGAACTTTGCTTCAGGATGAGAATAGAAATCATGCTCCGGCAGTGCGGCGGCTGCAGGAGGCCCCATTAGCTAAAGTGGTACTTCAGGTTAAGAACAGTTTCAGGTTAAGAACGGACCTCCAGAACGAATTAAGTTCTTAACCCGAGGTACCACTGTATTGTGTTATCTAACCCATCCTAATCCTGGAATTTAGGAATCATTGGAGTAGGGATGTAGCTCAGCAGTGGAGCATTTGTTTTGCACACAGAAGGTCCCAGATTCAACCCTCAACACCTCCAGGTAGAGCTGGGAGAGAACCCTGCCTGAAGCCCCGGAGAGCCCCTGCCAGCCAGTGTAGACAGAACTGAGGTACATGGACCCCAAATGGTCTGACTTGGTATAAGGCCACTTCCTGTATTCCTAAAACATCCCAAGGGCATCAGGTTGGCAAAGGCTGGTCTTCTGTGACTAGATAGTGGCTTTCTAGGGACTCAGCCAAAGCTATTTCCATTTACCCCCTATCTGATCCATTTTAAACTGGAAGTGCCCTGGGGTTAAAGCTGAGACCTCCAGGATGCAAAGCCCGGGTTTTTCTACCAAGTTCTGAACCCTCTTTGGGAAACCCTGGTCCAGACCTAAACGTCTGAGTTCATTGACCGCTTTCATGAGCTTATTAAGCTGTCCTTGCCCCAGTGTGAGAAACTCAGATATAGAAGCTAATTGGCAAATGGCATCTTAAACCTAGGTTGTGGTAGCCACAGTGGAATGTCTAGTCACCTTTTTTGCAGCGGCATTTATTATTATTATTATTATTTATTTCATTTCTGTAATGCTTTGTATTTTAAAGTAAATTTTTTTACAGCCGTTTACGACACATTAAAACATCAAATGAAACAAACTCATGCTTCAAGGAAAATATTTCAGATCCTTCTCTAAGTGACATTTGGCTTTCCCCATATTTATTTACCTACTTAATTTATATAGCTGCCCCATAGCAGAAGTACTCTAGGGAGCTAGTGTGGTGTAGTCATGAAGCTCACAGCGTGATCTTGGTCCAGTCATAACATCTTAACCTACCTCACAGGGCCATTGTTTAATTGAGGGGGGGTGAACCTTGTAGTCCTTGGAGAAAAAGGTGGGATATAAAGGCAATAAATAAGCTATTCTGATTACCTATGAAAGCTGGAGGGGTCAACCAGCTGGAGATGTCAGTTACCAACCTGGCACCCAGAGATTGCCATGTTATCACAGTTGGGACCTGTGCTAGTCGCAAAATGCACCTGGCGCTTGGCTAGTTTCGAACACTGCTTATCCCCCAACCCATATTATTAGAAATGGAAGTGAAATAACGTCAATAAATAGCAATACAGGTTTTTTTTTAGCAGCATGGTCTGACAGTAGTGTTGTATTGTGTAATCATCTTATTAATCACAGAGGTTTCTCGTTGGCAAGGGAGTGCACTCTGTACATGCACATGCCGTTGATTTCTGAGGCTCATAGTTACTGATTAATTTTTTTGCACTATACTCTGTGAACTTTTTTCACCACTAGACCCTTGCTGACCCCCTTTTGACCCCCGGGTCTTTAATCATCCACTGCACAGTCCCATTGACCACTTTGGAGACCCTAGTCTGGGAGGTGTCTCCTGAGGTCCACATATGCTTCCCATGTGACTTGATTACTCTCCAGTTGACTGGCTGGCAGCTTCCCATGTACAAATGGGATCCTGTTGAAAGGCAGAATTGAACTCAAGTAGGCGAAGTAGGCGTTCCTCTCTGGTGATGAATCTGTTCCGGCTCATAAGAACGTAAGAAGAGGCTGCTGGATCAGGCCAGTGGCCCATCTGGTCCAGCATCCTGTTCTCCCAGTGGCCAACCAGGTGCCTAACGGAAACCTGCAAGCAGGATTCAAGCACAAGAGTCGTCTCCCCTCCATTGGTTTCCAGCAACGGGTACTTGGAAGCATTGCTGCCTCTGACTGTGAAGGCAGATTAGAGCCATCATGGCTAGTAGCCGTTGATAGCTTTATCCATTTGTCCAATCCTCTTATAAAGCCATCTAGGTTGGTGGCCACCACTGCCTCCTGTGGGAGGGAGTTCCATAGTTCCACTATGCATGAGGAAGTCCTTTGGTTTTTTTCCCCTTATCCTGAGTCTTCCAACATCCAGCTTCATTGGTCGTCCATAGTTCTAAGGTTATGAGAGAGGGAGAAAAACCTTTTCTTTGTGCCATGTATCTTATTATAAACTTAAATCATGTCACCTCTTTGTCTCTCTTTCTCTAAACTAAAAAGTCCCAAACCCTGCAACCTTTCCTCAATGGTGTGTGTTTGTGTGTGTGTGTCACTCTATCCCCTTGATCGTTTTTTGTTGTCCCTTTCTGAACTTTGTCCAACTCTATAATCTCATTTTGGAGTTGAGGGAGCCGCAACTGTACACAGCAATCCAAATGCGGTTTCACCATTCAGCAAGCCCATTCAGTTTTCAGTGTGGCTGTGAAGTGATGAATGAGCCTGTGTGAACCAGCCCTGATGGCTGATGGCCTCTGCATTTCCCCCTGCTCCCTAGGAGCCTGGAGTGATTTTGAGGTGGAAGAAACTTAAGTGCAGTGTTTCCTCAATGGCCTTTATTTGTAAGCAACGTAGAAACACGCTGAGGTCTGTTTACGCGAATGCTAAGTCTTAATAGGTACCTTTGCTAGGCTGGAAGATAACCATTGCTGAGGGGGCAGGAGGAAAGTGGGGCATTTTGGATTCAGGGTGAAGCAATTTGCAGCATAGCTGGCACCGCAGGTCTTGCCGACGTGTCTTCTGTGGCTCCGCTTGGCTACGGTATCGCTTTGGCAATAGATAACCTCAGAGGATGATTCCAGCAAGTTAAATGTGGTTACACGGGCTTTAACGGTAATTACACAGTGTTTGGAGCAGTAGTAGGATTGCGAGGAAGCGGATTGTGCCCTTGGCTCCCGCCTGTAAGGTCACTAGTCCTCATGATTAGAAGTGAGAGCAAAGGGTATTGGTTCAATAAAGTGCCTTTTTAAAAACCGTGCAAACATATAGGGTTCTGGGGGTATTGAGAGTGCTTCACTCAGTTGCCCTTACAATAGCCTTGTCAGGTTGGAGAGTCTTATCCCCCACCCCGAGGGAAAAGCCAGACCAAAAATGCCTACTGTGGGGTGTTTTGCAGGGAGGATTGGTCAGAGGACGAAGAGTTATGGACCTCATCCTGCCCTCCAGTCCTTTCCTGCAAGCAGGAACCCCACCCCCAAAATATTAGTAGCTTTATTTTTATTATTACATTTGTATCCCATCTTTTTCTCCAAAGAGGTCAAGGTGGCATAAACTATTCTCCCCCATGTCATTTGAGTCCCCACAACAACCCTGTGAGGTAGGTTAGGCTGAAAGGCTGTGATTGGCCCAAGGTCACCCAGTGAGCTTCACATGGCATGTGGATTTGAACCCTGGTCTCCCAGGTCCTAGACCGGCACTCTTAACCACTGCACCAGGCTGAAGGACGCTTGGGTGTGATGTCATTCCTCTCTGATGCCACCTAGTGGTGGAGGCATGACTCGCACCAGTGGCTTCCTGGCTCACATCTCCCCTACTTATGCACAGTTTTGGGTGCCCCGTCAGATGCAAGGGGAGAGGGCAGAAGTGCCTTCCTCCTGCCCTGTGGGTCTCTGCTGAGTGTCCACCTGGCTGGGTTGAGCTGCTTCAATGCACTTATTTCAGGAACTGTGGGCAGCCAGCCTCTGCTTTCAGTTCCCAGCTAAAGCAATGCACTGGCTGGCCTGTCATAGGAGGTTTATGGGGTTGGTTGTAAGGCCGCCTGAGATAATGTGTCCAAAAGAACTCCAGGCATGCTGGAACGCTGCTGCATACATATTAACAGCAATTATGATGATGATTAGGGTTGCTCTTAGCTGGGAGGTAAATAACTTCTCCCTCGGCCCTGGTTTGCATGGAGGTATTTTTTGGAGAAAGGAAGGAGAGGGAGGGAAATTTGGCCAGCCTTGCAAATAAGTTATGAAAGTTACTAGCCTGCAAAAAAACAGTAACCAGACAGAGAACTGAATTTCTGTGCTGGGCTTGTGGAGGAGGGGCTCCACTCCCCCCGTCCTGAACCTCATTGGTTTCTATGCTGGCCTGCCCACACATCTGCACAGGACATCATTCACTCACCTGCATGCAATTCCTTGTTGCCTGTGGCTACCAACGTGGTGCTTAACCTGATATAACCTTTATGTTTTAAATCTGGCCTTCACTTTTCATAATCTGTTTGCAACTAAATGCCCAACTTAAATTTCTAGACTTTGCTGCAATCGGATCAGGTGACCCTGAGAAAGAGCTGAGCCAGTAGTAGCCAATATGGTTCCCCTCCAGATGTTGCTGGCTCTAAACCTCCCATTATTCCTGACCTTTGGGCATCCTGACTGGGGCTTGCGGGAGTAACTGTAGTCCAACAATGTCTGGAAGTGTTGGCTCTCACCGCGGGATGAAGACTGGGAACTTTCAGAACTGTTTCTGCCAAAGGCTTTAATGTGAAAAGTCAGGTTCAACAGGTACACCAGGTACATCAGAGGCATGGGGCTTCAAAAGGCTATCTGCACAGCAGCGTTTGAAATTCACCAGACTCCAGGCACATTTTGCACCTGGCTCTTGGCCACTTGCAACCAAGTGGAGATGCCCAGGCGCCAGGATGTCACCCGATGTCTCCACCATCTGGTGGTGCATGCCTGGGGATCCTTGGATCTTGCCTGTTTTCATATGACAGCAATATATCCTGTAGAATTCTATCCGTTACATTTTATCTGCACAATCAGAATGAATTTCAGGAACTAAAAAGTCATATTGAAAAGTACGACTTTTGAGCCATCTGGCCCCAAAATTGCAGCTAGGCATTCTGTTTTGGCGACTGTAACCTGGTTTAAGGAGCCATTTGATGCCTAGCTTATACAGTGGTACTTCGGGTTACGTAGGTTCAGGTTACAGACTCGGCTAACCCAGAAATAGTACCTCGGGTTAAGAACTTTGCTTCAGGATGAGAACAGAAATCACGCAGTGGCGGCGTGGCAGTAGCGGGAGGCCCCATTAGCTAAAGTGGTGCTTCAGGTTAAGAACAGTTTCAGGTTAAGAACGGACCTCCAGAACGGATTAAGTACTTAACCCGAGGTGCCACTGTATATCTGAGTTTCTAATACTGTATGCACAGCAAACATCCCAAGTCCCAGGTCTGGGCAAACAAATGGGCACTCCTATGAGCAGGTCGGCTTTGCGAGGCATCTTCTCACTGGTGCTGACTCCAGCATATCCTTGGAGATGGGAGTGACATCAGGACTGGCTTTGCATTGATCTTTAAGTTGCCTCTCCAGGCGGGAGGGGCTGTTCAATGACAAGAGGCAGCACCAGGGATGGCTTCATTGCAGGTCGTTTTGGGCTTGGGATACCTAGCGTCTTGGAGGAAGAAGGTTCGGGCCGGCTTGGGCCCAAACTCCCTCTCTCAGCCCACTGGGCTCCTCCTCAGGGTCAGGCACCGACTGAGGTCCCTATCTATCCTCCACAAGTTTGCTAGGAGCCTCACAGTGAGTCATCCAGCTCCAGCTCCCCAGTCTCTCCCCATTCGTCTTCCGCGTCCGGCTGCCCTCTCCAAGGCATCTTTTGCAGCGGACTCATGACAGGAGGGAACTGTGCTGGCAGTCCTTGAGCCAGACAGATTCATGGAGGGCAAGTTTTGTGAACAGTTGTTAGCAGTGTCAGCTAATTAGAATCCCTGTGTTTATGAAACATACTTGTTTCATAAAAATTATATACTGCTTGATAGTTTAAAAACAGAATATTATGTGCACCTGTTAACAGTACCAGTTCCGCAGATTAAAGCCAGTTGACTAGGCATATGGGTGTGTGTGTGCAAGGTGATCTTGCAGCTGTGTGTAAAACCTTTAGCCTCCCAGATGTTTCTTGGGACTACATCTTCTATGGGCCTTTAACAGGAGATGCACCAACTGGAAACAAAACAGAAGCTTTTGCAGACACAAACAGTGTCAAATGTGGGATTGTGTATAAATTTTCCCGTGCCGTTGTGTGGTTAAGAGTGTTGGACTAGGAATTGGAAGAGACCAGGGTTCAAATTCCCACGCAGCCGTGAAGCTCACAGGGTGTGACCTTGGGGGCCAGTCACCCACTCCCAGCCTGTGCCCACTTCACAGGGTTGTTGTGAGGATAACTATGTGCACCACCTTGAGCTCCCTGGAGAAAAAGGTAGGATGCAAGTGTGGTAAATAACCTAATAACTCATGAGCAGGTGTCCTCAGGAGCGTCCAGTGAAAAGGATGTCTGGATAGGCCCAAGGGCGTTTGAATTTACTTTTTTATTTTATTGTGTTTATGCCCCACTTTTTTCTCCATGGAGCACAGGCTAGTATACATCGTCCCCCCGCTCCTCATTTAATCCCCACAACGACCCTGTGGGGTAGGCTAGGCTGAGAGGCAGCGACTACCCCTCTGCAAGGTCACACGTAGTGAACTTCACGCCCTGGTGGGGATGAATATTGTAGCTGAATATTGGTGCTTTTAAGTTGAACCCAGGATCAAATAAGGTAACCAATGCAGGTGATACATGAGCCCTGTAAGATAATATGATAAATGATCAGGCGCGAAAGAGTTGAGTAACGCTTTGCCAGGCTGAAGCAGGCTGTCTAACCTGACAGCCGTTTCCTGTACAGTTTTTACAAAAAAAAAGCTGTTTGCTTCTCGGGAGCATCAAACACAACCTTCCTCTTTTCTCTCTTGGGGTTCTTTATATTCTTTGCTTCTGTTTTTACGGGTTCTGACTCCAAACGCACCCTGTATTGTTCCCACTTCTTAAATAACTTGCTCACTTCTAGTTACACCTTCTCTAGCCCCTTTTTTTAAAAAAAGGAAAAGAAAACCCTTCCAGCCTCAGTTTTCCTCCAACACTTGCTAGCCAGACGGCCTAGCTGCATAATTTGAATAACAGCCGGCCTCACCCAGCTTACAGCAAGCAGGCTCTCTTTTCTGCCTAGTGAATTGTGCTGGGAAAAGGAAGGCCTGGGTTAACTTTTGTTGAAATAGGGGAGTATCTTCTTGGCAGGAGCTGAATGTCTCTGGCTGGGAACTGAACAAGACAGGGGACAATTGTTTGTGCTTGGTATCTTCCATCAGCCTCCTGCTGTCCCGCGAGGCCTTGGAAACTCACTGTGGGCTTTCGCTAATGCCACAATGCAAAGGGATTGAGTGTGTTTTTGTTTGTTATGTGTTTTAGAAACTTGTCTCCTACCTATTCTCCCTCCCTGCCAACCCTCTCTGAACAAGGATGTGCTTGTGTGATTATAAGCGTTCAGGGATGATCGGGAGCAGAGGTGGCCCTGGTGAAACACAGAAATGATTGAAGAGCATTGGAGCATCTTCTGTACAAGGAGAGGTGATGCAGCAGCCTTTTGCCAACCTGGCACCCTCCAGGTGTTTTGGGCTACAACTTCCATCACCCTCAGCAGCATATGGCTTGTAGGCTGGGGTTGATGGGAACTGTAATGCAAAACACTTCGAGGGCAGCAAGTGTGGAGTTCTTTAATTTAGGGGCAGGAAAATGATAATTTTGGGGTGGGGTAAAGGTGTCTAAACTCAGTGGTGCGGCGAGTGGAAGGCTACTCCGTTTCTCCTCTCACAGTAGTTGGCCACTTGTGAAAACTTATTGAGGAAAGGGGCACAGAGCAACCTACTTCTTCCCCTCCGCACACAATTGACTGATGGGGTCTCCTTGCCAAGCTATGTGTTTTTGGCGGTACGCCTGGATGCTGGTTTTAAACAAAGGATTAGGCAAATCCGTGGAGGATAGGCGTAATTTAACGGCTCCTGGCCACAGTAGCTAAATGGACCAATCCCCTGTCAACAGGAGCACTGCAGCTCTGATGGACCTGATGATAGGGATGAAGAAGCAGGGCAAGGCTGCTTCCCTACCTGTGAGCATCCAGAGGCAGCTATTTGCATACAAAACCTACAAAATTTAAAATACGAAGTAGGACGTTAGAGCAATATTCATAGTGGAAAGAAACATAGGAAGCTGCCTATTGCAGCTGGTCCATGTAGCTCAATATGACACTGACTAGCAGAGGCTCTCCAGTGTTTCAGATGGGACTGTTTCCAGCCTCACCTGGAGATCTCATCTGAGACCTTCTGCTGGCAAAGCAGATGCTCTACCGCTAACTTATGGTTTTGCCCCTGAAAATAAAGGTTCTAGAATAAAGCTGCTTCATTCCAAGTCAGACCACTGGTCCTCTTACTCATAATTGTCAATGTTGACCGGCAGTGATTCTCCTTGGTTTCAGGCGGGGATCTTTCCGGGTTGTACCTAGTGATGCAGTTGGGGATTGAACCTGGGACCTTCTGCATGCAAAGCAGGTGCTTGACCACTGAGCCATGGTGCTTCCCCAAAGACCTACTGAAATAAAACTATTTCAGACTGGTGCCTGAAACTTAGCAGGGCTGGTGGCTGCCTGGTTTCTGATGGGATTGAGTGCCGTGGAGTTGGGCCCTCTATGCTGCAGGCACGACTCCTTGATGGCATGACGCATGCTTCTGGATCATGGGGGAACCACAAACAGTGCTCCTGCAGGTGTTCTCAGCTTGTGACAACAATAAGGGTGAGGCAGTCCTTAAGGTGTATCCTTAAGGCAGAGGTTTTCAAACTTTTGAGTCCACGGCTCCCTTTACCAACTTCATTCTTTCTGTAGCATCCATGTGGGGCTCAGGAGCTCAGTTATGTCGCCCCTTGCCTGCAGAGCTGGCAGCCTCTCGCCCTTTTTCAAACACCCTCGCTTGTGGAGTGTTCCCTCTTCCTCCTCTCTTCTCGTCTCCCTTCTCCTTGGGAGTCCTCTGGGCAGCCGCTGCTGCTGCCTGTGGTCTCTGAGCTGCCCCACCCCACTCACCCCAAAAAGAGGTGCCTCCTCAAGCTGCCCCACAGGGGCCTGGGACTTGTCTGTCATTCCCGGCAGCAAGGGCTGGAGGATTAGCTGGTTGGGATCCCTCACCCACTTGCTTGCTTACTCTGAGGCTGCCTCAGCTCCTGGCAACAAGCACCACCTGACCAGCCCCAGAGGCACCATTTGCCTGGGGAGCTTGTAGCCAGGGCTGTTGCACAAACAGCCACACAAGTCTTTGGGAGGCAGAGACACAAGAGGAACATCAGAGGAGGGAGGGAAGGAAAGAGGAACAGAGGCCAGTGTTGCCCGTGGCTCCCCTGACTATCATTGAAGGCACTCCAAGGTGCCACAGCACACTGGTTGAAAACCTCTGCCTTAAGGTGTATCCAAAGCTGCTCAGGGGGTTTGTACACTAGTACAAGAACCTGGAATATGGGTGAGAAGCCACTGCAGATCTTTTAACTCTGACTAGTTGGGCACTGTTGGTAGCAGGTACTTTCAGCTTCGCATCTGTTGCTGTGCCTTTGTTGGCATGTGGCCCTTGGAAGGTTGCCAGCTGGGGAATGCGGCCCTCTGGCTGAAGATGTTTACACATCCCTGCCTTTACATGCCAAGTCTGAGTGATATCCAGAGTTAGTCATACTCAGACCTGTTGAAATTTATGGCCACAGCAACATTAGGAATTGGTGTAAAAGGCGCCTTAAAAAAAAGGTAAAGGGACCTCTGACTGTTAGGTCCAGTTGTGGATGACTCTGGGGTTGCGGCGCTCATCTCGCTTTACTGGCCAAGGGAGTCGGCGTACAGCTTCCAGGTCATGTGGCCAGCATGACTAAGCCACTTCTGGCGAACCAGAGCAGCACACGGAAACGCCGAACAAGATTGCAATAAGATGGGCAGGTGCGTGAACAGATACGAGTGATAGCCACTGTTGTGGCTGCCTCTTCTATTCCCTGGTTCGAGGCTGTGATTTTCCTGGGCAAAACAATTCTGCCTTGGTCAGACCCCACGTGGAGTCTTGGGTACCACAGTTTAAGATACTGAAAGCTGGAACACATGCAGAGGAGGGTGACAAAGACGATCAGGGGTTTGGAAACCAAGCCTTATGAGGAATGGTTGAGGGAACTGGGTATGTTTAGCCTGGAGAAGGCAATGGGGTGATATAATAGCCATCTTAAAATATCTCAAGGGCTGTCACGTAGAAAATGGAGCAAGTTTGTTTTCTGCTGCTCCATCGGGTAGGACCCAAACTAATAGATTCAAATGACAAAGATTCCAATTAAACATTAGGAAGAATTTTCTGATGGCCAGAGCTGTTTCACAGTGCAAAGGATACCCTTGGAAGGTAGTGGACTCTCCTTTGTTGCAGGTTTTTAAACAGGCTGGATGGCCATCTGTCAGGGATTCTTTAGCTGCGACTCCTGCTTTGCAGGGGGTTGGACTAGAATGACCCTTGCAATCCCTTCCAGTACTACAGTTCTGCGAAAAGTGCATGCGCAAAAGTCCAATCGGGAGTATCAATGGTTGCAGCAAACTGTGTGGTCTTTGCCGATTGAGAGTTCACTTGCGTATGTGGGATACCTGCCCTGTGGGTAAGGTACACAGTGTCTGCCTGTCATGGCAGGGAGGAAGAGTCTTGGAGCAAGTCACAACACACTCATATGGCAAAGGTGCTTTTTTGGGGGTGTGATCATGGAGACTGTGGTACAAAGTGGGAGTGCTGCCAGACTTTGCAGTGTGGCTGCCCCCTTCCCTTACTAAACAGTGGGGCTGGGTGCTCTGTTCTGGCATCCCCAGCTTTAAGACTGGAGTTGCTGATGAGTGTCTTACGCCTGGAGTCACCCAGCAAGCGTTGTAGGGAGAGAAGCATTTGCAACGTGCTCAATTCCTGGTCTGGAGCCAGGTGGCTTGGTGCTAAGTGTTCTCTTTCCTCTGGTGTCCATCACCAGAGTTCCTCCTTGTGTTCTCTGTGTGTGGCATGAGGGAGAGAGCAAGAGCATACAGGACATCACTCTGTGTGGGCTTTTTATATATTGGTGCTATGAATGCTGTATTGCAATTGGGTCTTGAATTGCACCATAGCCTATTGTGCATTCGGAGGTGTGCGCAGGGTCATCCCTGGGTCAGGGTCCTTACATCATTGTGGGGGTGGCTATTCTTATCCCCTCTCCTGAAGCCAGGGGGAAATACATGTCTTACGTTCAGGGGTGTATCTAGGGGTTGGTTAGGTTGGACCTGCCAATGGCTCAGGCGCAGGGGTTTGTGAAAAAATTACGCCTCACCACTCTGGCTCAAGAGTGCCTAGGAGCCTGCCCGTGTGCTCCCTGGGCTGCTCCTCGGCTGTTCTGGGTGGCTGGGAAGGCACACAGCCTCCTCTGGGTGCCTTGTTAGAGGAATCTGGTCACAAGTGATGGAGGTGGGGGGCCCAGGACTGATACAGCTCCTTGCCAAGGGTGCAAGGCAGACTCGGTAAGCCTCTACTTGTGCCATGTCCTGGTTTCTTGTAAAGATACCCTATGATGATGGTGATGAGGGTTTGGTATAGCAGCCTTCATCAACCTGGTGCTCTCTAGAAGTTTTGGACTACATGCTAGCTGGGTCTGATGAGAGTTCTAGTCCAAAACATCTGGTGTAGCGTCAGCTACAGCATAAATTTGATGTCCCATCGTATCCATGACTCCACACTATTTTAGGCACCCCACGGGTGGATCTTTGGTAGAATGTCTGCACCTGTGGAATGTCCTGCTGGCATACCTGGGCAGTCCCACTGGTGCATCTGTCATGGTGGCAGCAGGCCTGGTATTCCATCAGTGTAGCATCCACCAGATCTTATAGCCCTTCATCCAGCATCTGCTAGTGTGGTGTATCAAGTGTTTTTTCCCCCTCCCCTAATCAAATAGCCCTGTTCAAATACTTATGGTTCTTTTGAAAAGCTTTTTTTAAAGAATACAATGATTTTATATGGTGGATAAATTAATGCAGCATACTTTCTGAGTTTGATTGTTTGTCTTAAACATAAGCCCAGTGAATAAGCCAAAATGCAACAGTTTCTGATTCTGGCAAGTTTTTTATTCAAATTTTTTCCAGGAAACCCCACAATGCTAGGGAAGGTAGTATTTCTGATGCACAGCTTCTCCTTCCTGATATAGGATTACTCTGTAAATCAGTTAAAACACTATTGCAGCATAAGCACCATTGATTTCTGTAGCACTTCCTCACAGACAAGGATGCATGGCAGCCTTCACCAGATGTTTGATGCCGTCCAGATATTTTGGACTCCCAGCAGCCCCAGCAGCAAGCATGGGCAGTGGCTAAGGATGATGGGAATTGCAGTCCAGCAACACCTGGAGGGCACCACTTTGACTACCGTAAACTACCAGTGAGAGTGAACTTAGAAAATCCAGCTCCTATCTGTGCCCCCGGATGCAAATCAGAACAAAATTTGGGAGGGGAAGCATGGCAAGACTTTGCAGCAATTTGAAATGGCTCTGAAGGGCCTGAATTCTACACCATAAGTGAAAGAAAAGGAGACAGGAAAATAAATGAGGGGGAGTGGGAAGCAGGACGTCTACAGCCAGGCAGTCCTCCCTCCCTTTAATCCTTTGGAGTTTGCCGAACTTGTGGTCCGAAGGGAGTGAAGGAACCCACAGGATGGTTCCAGCTTCGCACTGAGCTGAACCTGTTGTTTGCAAGCACCAGCCTCTGTTTGTTTGTTTGTTTAAACCATTTTTACTCTGCTCTTTAGCCAAAAAGGCTCCCAGAGTGGCTCACATACAATCAATTAAAAACAAGACAGTTCTTGCCCGCCGGCTTACAATCTACAAGGCACAACACCCGAAGGGAAAGGGACACAGAGGGAAGAGAGGAAAAAATAAGCAAACTTGGGCACCAATTCTTAAACAGCAGTTCTTATCATGATGAACTGACTTAGTTCCGCGATTGGAAGAAAGTGATGCTGAACTTAGTGTGGACACCCGATTCAAAAGTACCCCTAAGCTGTGTCCCCTACTCCTTCAGAGGGAGTTTAACCCCATCAAGAGTAGGCAGGCTCCCATCCTTCTGGAACAACAGTCTGAGTTAAGGTTGTCTTCTCTTCTAGTTTTTATCAGTCAAGTGGGGCAAGGGTCCAGAGTGCAAGTGGTTGCCCTGACTGATTACAAGCACCATGTCCACATCCTTGAGCCCTACTAACTGAAACTCATCCAGCATAACAGGACTGGACAGTGCTCTAGACTCCTCAAGATTCATTTGCTGTAACAGTGGAGTCATGATCCTTGGAGGATGCAAACAAATTTATCTTCAAAATGCTTTGCAAACAAAGTCACAGTGAGCTACCATTGGTTCTGCCACCTTCTTTGAGCCAGAATGTCAAAGGCCCCACACTACCTGCAAAAGCTCTGCTGGACAGCACAATGAGAATTCAAAGGAGACAGCAACGTATGCCTTCTTTTCTGGCTTGATGAGCTTTCACCAGTGTTGGCTTACCTTTGACTGGAGTTTTCCTCCATTTGCATTCAAGTCATCTCCCAGCTTTGTTTCCTCGCCCTAAGCTCTGGAATATACTAGGGAACCAAACAGGCTCCATGAAGTGGGAGAGGGTCATTGGCCCAAGCCACTTGGATCTTCCAGAGATTGGCCAGGGCTTCGAGAGCAGCACCAATCACATCTGCCAGAAATCCCCTAGAGCCATCTGGAAATCCATTGGATCCATCAACCCCAAAGGATGGATGATCCTAATAAAGTCCCTGACCCTATACTGAAAGCCTAAATCTCAGCAGGAATTGATCAGACCATGACAAGTGACTGGTGTCAATATCCCCTACTTTCAGATCACCCTCTTCCTGCCCAGTTGAGAAAACAAGGTCCAGAGTGTGGCCTGCCACGTGTGTTGGGCTGGTGACATGTTGGCACAGCCCCATGATTGTCATGGCAGCCATGAAGTCCTGAACCACCCCAGAGCCAGTCCCCTTGGCATGGATGTTGATGTACACCCCCAAACCAGCAGTCTGGGAGTCCGCAACACCCCCTCTGAGACCAGTTCTGCCAGTTCAGGCAGAGAGATTGATGGGCAGCGAGGCAGGTTGTAAACTATCCCAAGTTACAGAACAGGACATGTTCAATGCCTCCTGGTTCTTACAGAGGCCCTATTCTTAAGGAAAGAGGGATGCCCCGTATACCTGCCCCAAAGTATTTGGGGTAGAAGAACATTAAATCTGACCAGAATAAAGGCTCTGCAACATTCAACAACATGCAGATCCCTAAGGTATGCAGCTAAATGGAATGGATCATCAGAAGAGATGCCCAAGGAGTGAGGTGAGCAGGTTGTCCCTGAACAAGACCTGTGTTGTCTAATCCTCTTTTTAAAGCATCCGAATCAGTTTCCATCACTTCCTCTCTTGTGGGAATGAATTCCATAGCTGAACTATGCGCTGTGTCATTCTCCAATGAAGGGCTATTCTAAGCAAGAATAAGAACATCAGAAGATCCTGCTGGATTGGGCCAGTCCCCCTTCTAGTCTAGCATCCTGTTCCCATAATGACCAACCAGATGCCTGCAAGAAGGACCCAGGCACAAGAACCCTCTTGCCTCCTGTTCTTTTCCTGCCACTGGTATTCAGAAGCATTAATGCCTCCCAAACCTTTCAGAATCTTCAGTTTAGTTCGGCTATCCTGTAATAGTCAATATCGACCCCCTGGGGTCTAAGGGATTGTGCAGGGGGTGGATAAAGACCTAAGGGTCAAGGTATCGTTTGGAAATTTTAAATTAGGAATTAAGAGCTTCTGAAATAAGGGATGTGGGCACTGTCAGAGTGATATTGTTATTATTTTTGCTTGCTTTACTTCCCTATTTATTTATTTTTTACTTTTTATGATTCCTAGTATGATAGTGATCTATGATTTGTAAATATTGATGTAAACATTGATATTTCTTGTTTTATTTTGTTTACATCCCTAAGAATCTGGGCTGGAGTTGATGGTAACTTTGTAAGCTCATCAAGGAGTCAATGAACTCAGGGGTCTGGGAAAACCCAATTTAGTTGAAAGACCTATCTGCTTGCCTAGGTATCTGTGGGATGTTAGCTGCAATTTTGGAACCGGCAGGAGGCTGTATGTGTATTTTTATCATTGAAATTTTAGCTCTGTGGTCTTTCTCTCTTGCCTGCTCTTAATTCTCCAGAATTGATGATGTTGTTACTCCCCCCTGAGATTATGTGATGAACAGAGTGCTAAAAATATACTTAATAAATAGATTCCCCTGGGATCTTTGGGTGGCGGAGGAAGCTACATGTTGGAAGATACAGGGCAGATAAAAGAAAGAGCTTCTTCATGTAGCACATAGTGAAACTATGGAACTCGCTTCCACAGGAGCCAGCGATGGCCACCAACTTGGATGTCTTTAAAAGAGGATTAGAGCAATTCATGGAAGAGAGGGTCATCGATGTCTACTAGCCAAGATGGCTATGCTCTGCCTCCACGGTCAGAGGCAAGAATGCTTCTGAATGCCAGTAGCTGGAAACCACAGGAGGAGAGAATATTCTTGTCCTTGAATCCTGCTTGCAGGTTTCCCTTTGGAGCATCTGGTTGGCCATTGTGAGAACAGGCTGTTGGCCTGATCCAGCAGGCTTTACTTATGTGGAGTCATAGAGGCTAAACTGTTTCAAAACAGATTTGGATTTCTAGCGTAGATGTGCCTTTGCTCAAGCAGTCAAGATAGCCTTCCTCTTGTGGAACAGGGATGGTGAAACTGTGGCCCACCAGCTGTTTCTGGACTATTGCTCCCAGCATCCCTGACCACTAATTGTGCTGGTCAGGGTTAATGGGAGGAGGAGTCCCACAGTGCGTGGAGAGCCAAACATTTCCCATCCTTGTACTTGAGCAGTCTTCCCTAGCCTGATGCCTTCCAGCTGTATTACAGGTCTGGACATGCTTGTTGTGCGGATTATGGGACCATAAGTTGAGCCTAGTGGATCAGGCCAATGTCCCATCTAGTTCCTCTTCTCACAGTGACCACCCAGGTGCCCCAAAGTGAACCCAGAAACCAACTGTGGTTTCCAGCAACTGGTATTTATAAATTTTCACCATGTCAAATTTTAAAGAATAAAACAAGGATGAAGTGATTGACAGCAATGTTTTTCTTCCTCACGTCTTCTCTATACGCAGCTGGGGGTGTGGAGTTTTATAAGTTGTGTGTCTTTGTTTCTTTTTTAAAAATAATTTTTATTAAAGATTTTCTTAGTTTACGAAAGTACATGCATTGTCTCTTTTTTCAGGTTGTGTTTCTTTGTTTCTCAATTTGTTTCTTTTACATGGTTTTGTATGTATTGTGGTATTTTATGAATTATGCCTTGCAGTTATTCTATTGATCAATTATTTTTCATAATTGTTAAGAGTGAATTTCTGTTTAATGATCATTTGCTGATGTTTCCAGAGTTAATTTTACTCTGTGCTGTTACATGCTAATAGATTATTGAATATTACTTTATTTGATATAAGTCGTTCCATTTTAAAGTTATGCTTTATTATGACTTTTTGTATTTAATCAGATTATTATAAGCTGTGTGTTCTTTGTTGTATATTTTTGTTGCTGTCAACCAGCTTGTGTATAGCAATATGGAAAGGCAGTATAGTCATGCCTCGGGTTGAAGTAGCTTCAGGATGAGTATTTTGGGGTTGCGCTCCGTGGCGACCCGGAAGTAACGGAGCGCCTTACTTCTGGGTTTCGCCGCTCGCACATGCGCAGACGCTCAAAATGAGGTCATGCGCAGAAGCGGCGAATCGCGACCAGCGCACATGCAGGCGCGGGTTGCGTTCACTTCAGGATGCAAACGGGGCTCCAGAATGGATCCTGTTCGCATCCAGAGGTGCCACTGTATGCAAATTAAAAGTGAAAAAATGAAATCAAATGTAAAAACTGAACAGGAAAATGGGTACCATCTCCAGGAATTGCTCAGCTGCTAGCCCCAATAATATGAATGGGAACCTTGCAAAATCCTGTTTTTGGCTAGCTCCTCTTTATTTCACTGTAGCTTGTGCACAAGGAGTGTGGCATCCCAAAAATGCTCTTTACATTGACATGTTTCTTGTTGCTTTGTTCTATTCTCCCGTAAGGTCTTCTAGCACGCTAGAAAGCTTCTATTGTGCCGAGAGTTGTTGTCTCCACATGTGTGTGTGCTGTTATTTCTTAAAGGAAAGTTTTGTGTAGTAGTTTTTTTTACCTGCCTCTCCTTGTCTTTCAGATTGACCCAAAGGTTGCATTTCCCCGCAGAGCACAGCCCAAGGTAGGTACTTGTTTACAACTTTTGAGAGTGACCTCTCCCCAACCAATCATACAGATGCTTTGGGGTCATCAAACTTTGGAACCGCTTCCTTGGCCACCAGGCAGATGCTGGGTGCTGGAGCTCTTCCTCTTGGGTCGATGTACAGATGAGCCCTGGGCTTTTCCAGCTCCTTGCAGCTGAAACCTCAATGTTTTTAGAGCATGCTGGTTATTGGGTTTATGCCTGTTGTTTCAACCACCAGTGGTCTTCCCTGATGATGGAACAGAGATGGAAACTGCACAAGAAGCACCTTTCAAAGCGGGACTCCTCACCTGGGGCTACCTTGCAGTGTTCCCTTCTGTCAAATGTGCCTTTCTTTTGAGTGTCCACACTTCATTTTTCTAAACCTCCCCGTGGCTCCAGTTTGTGTTGGTCTTGCTTCTTTTTGGGATTAAGATGTCCACTTGCATGCACTCGAAGCTTGGCTGCCCTCTTCTTAAGTAAGACCTTTGTCCTTGGCTCCTGATGGAAGGAAACAGTTTTATAAGTGACCCGAAGAGAAGCTTAGAGGCAACTGCTTGAACTGTGACCCGCTGCAAGCTTGAATGGTCTATATTTTACTTTTTACTAGAAACCAAAGGTTTAACCCTGGGGTCGGCAACCTAAGGCCCATGAGCCACAAGCGGCCCACGGGGGTCGTTTAACCAGCCCCCGAGCCGCCCCTGAACCAAGCCGCCTGCTTGGCAAGTCCCCGCGTGCTGCGCTAAACCAGCGCAGTCCAGGGACTCGCTTCCGCAGCGCTGAAAATCGCGTCTGTGCATGCGCAGACGCCGGAAATCATGGGTGCACGTGCATGAGCATGCACGATCCGGCCCACAGAGGGATCTCCACTGGAGTGAACCAGCCCAGGCGAGGTAAACCTTGCTGACCCCTGGTTTAACCATTTGGATGCAAAACGGTGGCTTCAGCAGGGGTGTGGGGTGTAAGACCTGTGATTCATATACTGGGCTGACCTGAATGAGTTCAGGAACCTGTGGCCCTCCAGAGAGCGAGCCTCATTTAGCAATACATTGGCTTGCATGGTGGTTTGCGAAAGTTCAAAGGGACAGGTCCTTGCTCCAGGGGACTAATCATCTAAAATTTGACATTGGGGGAGGGGAGGGAGAACTGAGGCAGGAGTGAAACGAGGAAAGAATATGCAGTTAGCTTGAGTTTTATTTTGTTGGGTTCTCGCTACTCTTTCCCTTGCTACAGACGCTTTACCTGCTGACATCCCCTCTTCTACGCGAATCTCAAAAGACCCAATTTTCATGCTGCTCTTAACTGCTTTTAATCAAAATGTTCAAATATTGCATTTAAAGCTTGTGAGCTGCCCAGAGAACATACGCCGTTGGGTGGCCACAGAAGTGTAGGAAGTAAAATAAAGGCACCTTTTCTGCCCTTTGTCCTTGGGCTTGATGCGCAAATGAGGAGGGTTGGGTGGATGGGTGAACCCAAGGAGAGGGAACGTGATGTGTGCCAGCCAGCGAAGCAGGGATCAGGGCAGTGAGTGCTCAGGTATCCCAAGTAACCAGCACCGCAAGCACATGGTTGGAATTGGGTTAATTCCATTAAGCAGTTTTGGTGACAGAAGGCGCTTTGCTGTTTGGGCGGGCTGTTCTCTAAGGCTTGGAATTGCTGCGGATTAGCTCTGTGCACTCCTTGGGGTAATTAGGAGCATGTGTTTCTTGCAGAGCGGGGATACAGCCATCCCGGGGGGGTGGGGTGGGGAGGGCAGCAGTGTGAAGAGAGAGCCTATTTGAAAAGAGCATCCCGGGCCCTTTCTGAGAACAGGGAGTTCTGCAGGGCTGAAGGGACCAGGAAGACGTACAGAGAAGTCTCTTTCCACAAATGCACTTGCCCTTTCTGAGCGTCTCAGAGTGAATGTTTTGCCAGCCATGCTTGGGGTGTGTGTCTGCCTGTCTCTCTTGCGGTGACTTACCAGCACTCCTGCATCAGATGCAGGGCCTTGTTGTGAGTCTCAGGTGGAAGGGAGAAAACACACACACACAGCGCTACAGTCCAACAGTTCTCCTATGCAAGTCCTGCTGAAGTGAATGGAATGAGCTGTTCAAAAGCACCCTGTTTAAAAGCTGTTGAAAACAGGATTTAATGGGTAGGCAAAGAAAGCAAAGCGGCGGGGGAATAAGTAGTTTGCAAGCAGACATTTCATGCAGGGGGTGTCACAGTGAAAATTCTGGATGAAGCGAAGCTGAATTCTGCAAATTGTATAAGTTATGCAGATTAAGTTTCTAGGTTGCATAGCTCCCTGCAATGCAGAAATCTCAACTAAAGCTAAGTTATTCTGCATAATTTAATTATTGGGAGGGGCAAAGAGCTAAGCAGAGGTCACCAAAGCACCACCTGTAACTGCTGTAAAGGTTGTTCATCACATCTAGCACTTATAATTGCACAAGGCAGCAAACCACCGGAACCTTAAGGACTGGAACTTGGCTTCTTGATTTTTTTTAAGGGAAAAAGAATATTTGTTGGTGTTCTTTCTCAGGAAGCAGGATTCTTAATATGCATGGGATAGTGGCTCATGGAAATGTCTTCCTTTAAACTTGCACATAAATCACGGGATGGTGATAGACAGCATATTTTCTTTAGCTGGCAAAGTGAAATGAAGTTTTTGTAGTTTTGAAGGAGTGGCCCTTTTTGCTGTCCTACTGCCTTCTTGTCCTTCTGTCTTCTAGATGGTGACACGGACCAAGAAGATATTTGTGGGTGGCCTCTCCGTGAACACCACCGTGGAGGATGTGAAACAGTATTTTGAACAATTTGGGAAGGTAAGTGCTTTGGGTCCAGTTAAGCAGCCAACTGCATCCCTCCTCCGGGTATATCTAAACTGCAGCCATAACCTGGTTAGCAATCTGGGAAATGTAGTTCAGTCAGTGGAGGCAGGGAGGTGTTAGAAAGCAGAATTTTCAGTACTCTCACCAAACTTGCAATTCCCAGGATACTTTGCAGGGAAGCTGTGATTGTATAAAACCAATATTACACCTTTTGGGGTTTGCTGAAGGAAAGGATTAGGAAATGCAATGTTTTCCTTGCTAAGACATCCACAGATAGCTTGGTGTTCTGTCAGCTGACCTGGGAAAAAGCTGCCTGGCCTGTTCTTCTGCCTTTAAGACCAGTCTAAAGTGCAGAAATCAGCAGGTGATCAGTGGTACCACTTCCTGCTAATCACCAGAGCTGCTAAAGGCAGAGCTACAAGGACTGCTTGTAAAGTTGGCGATTCCAGCTTCACGGGAGGTTTATTTTAAAGGTGTTTTGCCTTTGGGTGCCTCACAAATTCACAGAACGTGAAGTAACCCAACAAGTCAATGCTCCCTCTCCAACCCAGATTCTCCTGAGATGAGGCTGAGGACTAGTGGCATGGCCAGTTCATAGTTCTAGGTGATTTGTATTTTCATTAGAGCCCTAAACCATGTGATCTTCAACTAAGTTTGAAGTTCTGACCCTAAGAGTTATTCACTCCTAAGCCTTATAGTTGACTGAACCCCTTCCACACTCTTCAAATAGTTTCTCTCTCTCTCTCTCTCTCTCTCTCTCTCTCTCTCTCCCCTTCCCCAAACAATTAAGACATTTTGGTGCCTGAGATGGAAAGTGGCCCTTCCTGTTACTTGATGATGGTAATAAATTTAGCTTGTTGGTTACTGGACACATAAGGATTCTCCAGACAACTCAGAAAATGTTAAAAGCATAAAGCATGACGTGAAATCAGAAAAAAGAACAATGCGTTCACAAAAAGCCGTACAGTAATCCAGCTGAACAGCACCAGAATCATTCTATCAATAGGGAGCAAAGTCATGATAATCCTCCCAGTGCCTCAAGTTGTAAGTTTTTAACCTGGCGCTGAAAGGCTGTTAATTAAGAGACCCCAGTGCAGGGCTCAATCATCCAAGAAGCTCTTCCGTGAACTTGCACAGATCCCCCGGTGAATTAAGTTCCAGGGATCAGACCTGTTAGCCTCCCACACTGCCACCACAGTCTGATACCTGTGGTGGTCATCTTCCCTTTCTGGGCGTCTCCTGCCCTCTTATCTTTCAGAGACCTGTGATGCCACCTTATCCAGATTTCAGTTTCATCTAAGTTGCTCCCCAACTCTTGGTACCTTTTTTTTTTTTTTAAAGTTCTTAGTCTTCAGCAACTAGCCCAATTGCCTGCTTTCGGTTGTTGGGAGCTGAATCTGAGCCAGAACACTGATGCTGTGTGAACTTTTTTTGTTAGTGTATAGCCATCCTATTTTACTTTTTTATTTTATTTTATAAACATATAAATAACTTCCAGAGCGTGGCTCAGCCTTATCCCCCAACCTGGTACCCTCCAGATACTTTGGATTTGACAACTCCCATCAACCGTCAGCGTTATGTGCCATGCTGGCTGATGATCTGAAGGGGAAGGTTGGGGAAGACTGGCATAAAAACAATATAGTCATCAAAATACAGTTGTACCTTGCGAGTAGAACGTTTTGGTTCCTGAATGCCGCAAACCGGGAAGCGAGTGTTCCAGTTTGCAAACGTTCTTTGGAACCTGAACATCCGGCGTGGGTTCCGCGGGTTCTGATTGGCTGCAGGAAGCTCCTGCAGCCAATCGGAAGCCGCGCCTTGGTTTCTGAACATTTTGGAAGTCGAACAGACTTCCGGAACGGATTCCGTTCGACTTCTAAGGTACGACTGTAATATGAAGTGGTGGAAAGAATAAAACAGCAGGTCAAAAATACAGTGCCGAAACAAAAAATGGTTGGAAAAGTAGAAAGGTCTTTGTCTGGTATGCTGTGAGTGAGCTTCCCTCGAGAGATAGTTGCCCAGGCAGGGTGTCATAGGAACAAAGGAGGAACGTAGGAAGCTATCTTATACTGAGTCAGGTCATTGGTCCAGCTAGCTCAGTATTGTCTGCACTGACTGGCAGCAGCTTTCCAGGGTTTTAGGCAGGGGGTCTCTCTCGACTGTACCTGGAGATGCTGGGGATTGAACCCGGGACCTTCTGTGTGCAAGGCAGATGCTCTGTCACAGAGCTCTGGCCCACCATTAGTCACGCACCTCTATTCAGAAAGTGGGTTGGCTCCAGTAATGGGCCTCCGAAAACGACCTGAGTCCACCAGCAGGTTGTCCTTGTGGCACAAGTCCCAAGTGGCGTGTAGTGCTTTAAAGGCGATCTGCCAACACTCTGAATTCTGCTCGAAACCAGATGGTGAGCTCTGTCAACACTGGCATGGTGATGTGGTCCTAACAGCTGGTCCCAGTTAGCCGCCCAAAGCAGATGTGTTTTCAGGTACTCTCTTCTGTACAGTCTTCAAGGGCAGCCCCACAAACATTTTGCATATCTGTTTTCCTGTTATGGTCTATTAATAGCTTGTTCCAGTGTGAAGGATTATGGGGGGCACTTTAAAAGGGCTCAGATGGGCTAATTCTAACAAGTAACCATGTGCCTTTCTATAGCCACCAGGGTCTTTTGGGGGTGGGGGGATAGACCCAAGCTTGTGAATGCTTGCTAACTGCTGCCTGGTGATTCTTAGCTGAATGCAGGAGAGCTAAGTGGGAACCTTCTAAGGGTTTAAAGGAAAAAAATCATATAATTGTGCAGTTGGAAGGGACCCAATGCAGGAATCACACAACCAATGGCAATTTTGTGAGGTTTGTGAAATCCCCACCATTGTCTGTCCAACCCCACTCACAGGCTATGGGGTAGTGTGCCTCCTTGGAAGTGAATACCGTTCAATCTGTGGAACTTCCTTCTGAGCAAGTTTTTTAAAAGTTCATCAGGATTTAATGTGAAATGCATATTTTTTTAAAAGAAAGATTCCAGCAGAGATTAGGCACCACTGTCTGTTCTCTTTCTCAGGACCCCCATTTTTATTTTTATCTTACTTTTACTGGTTTGTTTACGTACCATGGTGTGATGCATTTGGATAACTATTCAGTCTCATTGACCCAAATGGCATAGGGTAGCCTTAGAAAAAGTCAGAACCATTGGGGTGGAGGTATTATGAGTACTCTTTCTAAGCGTAGGAGGCCATGGGAGGAAGGTTTGGTTAATGGAGTTACTACCTACTTTTGATGAAAAGAAAACTGGTAAACTGGAGGAGGATGGGAATCACAAGTGAGGAGAGTTGCTGCTGCATTCATGACCTGCTTGTGGGCTCCCCTTTGGGGCATCTCGTTGGCCACTGCGAGAACAGGATACTGAACTAGCTGGGGCATTGTCCTGATCCAGCTTCAGGGCTCTTTCTAACGTTCTTAACTGGGGGTGATGCCTTAACTTTCATGGAGGGAGAGACACATGGTGGGAGAGACCTCCTTGTTCCCTACAGGCCCTCTTGGGTGCTGAGATCAGCAGAGGGGGTCCTCTTGGTAGTTCCTCTGCCCTCAGATGCTCGGGGTGATGGTGGTGGCTTGGGCCAGGGCCTTCTTGTGGTGGCCCCTAAGCTGTGGAACTCCCTCCCCACAAAGGTGCGTCTAGCACCTTCTGGGGAATCCTGAAGACTGACCTCTTCATCCTGGCTTTTGACACTTTGGGGTGCATGTTTTTAAGACCCACCTTACGTTTATGATCGTAACCTGTTCAAAATTGTTTTTGAATATTGTGTTTCAATGCTGTAACCTGCCCTGGGGCCGCAGGGTGTGAAGGGCGGGAATTAATAATACTGAAATTGGCATGATCCAGGAGGAGCGGAACCACACCTTTGCCCGGGATCTTGCTGTTTGCCCAACTGCTGCCAGATTTCAAGTATCTGTAATCACAGAAAAGTAGAGTTGGAAGGGGTATCCAAAGGTGCAGGAATTACAGCGTAGTTGTCTGTGCAGGAGACGAATCTTCCCGAATGTGGGTTTGAGAGAGAGCTCACAGCCCTTTTGCTTTCCTTCCTTTGCCCCTGCTACACATCCTGCTGAACTCCTTACAAAATTACTTCCTGGGGCAGGCGGCTCCGGCGTTTGGATGGCATTTGATACTTGGCAGCTGCTGTCGGCCTTCCCTCCTGGCCAGGAGAGCCAGCCAGCTGCTGTTGCACATGACTCTGCGCCCTGTGTGGATCCTAAGCTCTCTTCTATGACGTTGCTTCCACAGAGCCCTCCCTTATGTGGCCATGGATGCTCTTTGATCAGTAGTTGGCAGTGAAGGGGGCACCTTCGTGTCCCAGCATAGATCAAAGGTACAGATATACAAATGTGTAGTTTCCCCCCTCCCCCTCACTCCCCCCCTCTGTCTTCTGGCTCAAAGAATCACAAAACCAGCTTCACCCTTTTCGTCTCTGTTGCTCGCCTAGTGTTGCCCAAAGACTTTTGTAGATAGTTTTATCATTATCTGTATAGTTAGACTTAGATGTAGGAAAAACAATAATAATAATACATTTCAGCTGTTTATAGTGATTTTTTTTCTTTTTTACCCTTTTCTTTCCCACTGTTGTTGTGTTTTAATTTTTTGTACGTAGCTTTGAAGGTCGCAGAGTGTAGATGACCGCGGTAGCACATGTGTGTTAGCGACGCTCCATTTTCATATCCACTTCCAAATCATATGCTTAGCCAATGAATGTAGAACTTGAAAACAGGTTCTTTTTTTGGGGGGGGAGCGAAGAGAAGTGGCTGTGTGTATATCTCTCCCCTGCAGCAAACTGATTTCAGAATTTGCCTCTGCCAGCAGCAGCTTGGTAGTGAAAGGATTCTACAGGACTTTTCTGCATGGAGCTCTTTCTTGGCCTAAGTAATGTATGAATACATGGAACAGGTGGGTCAGGGTTTAGCAGAGAGCTGGAATCAGAAGCCCATCCCTTGCCCAAACTTCTGGTTCATGCTGATTTGGTATCAGGATAGGCCCTGCTAAAGTGGTCCTCGTCCAGCCTCTGAGACCCAAGTATGTATTTATTTATTTCATGAAATTCATACACCTCTAGACTGTTTAAAAAACCTCAAAGTGGTTTGCAAAGAGAGTAAAACAATAAAGCTATCAGTAAAAACAACTCTTTAAAACATTCAAAAGATAAAATCGGCAATTAAGAAAAAACAAGATTTAAACATACACCAGCATTCTACATGACTGGGTTGGCTTATCAATAAATAAAAATGTTTCTAGCAGTACTGTACAGTGAAGGTGCCTGCCTGATGTCAATAGGCAGGGAGTTCCACAGTGTTGGTGCTGCCACACTACAATATTTATTTCTTAAAATGCGGAATGGGTATTACGTGGCACATGTAGCAGTGCCAGTTCCGCAAATCGAAGCAGTTGTGTGAGCATATTTGGGGTAATGAGATCTCACAGGTAAACTGGTCCCAAGTTGTTAAGGGCTTTATATACTAACACCTTGAACTTGGCCTGGTAGCAAATTGGCAATCTACCACAGCCAATCAAGTGCAATGGAAACCCCACATGAAACCTTGAAGTTATATCACTCCACAATGATTATTTTAATTTATTACCCATTCTTCGCTCTTAAGGTCCCAGGACACGTGCCAACAATTTAAAAGTCAGCTTAAAAAAACAGTTTTTAAAACTTGTACCTATAAAAAGAAATGCAGTCATGAAAATAAGGTGGATCCTGAAAATATACATCTCAAGTCCAAAGACCAGGATAGAGGACCCCTCCAGACCAGTGTTTATTTTTTAGTGGGTGTAATTCTGCAACATTCCATTGACACAATAACAGTGCATTAGAGGTGGATTTATGCAGGACTGATCACACATCATTCTGCTTTATTAGCTGACCTGTGATGCTTCCCCAGCGTTATTGCTGTCTGGCTGTGTGTGTGCTCTATAGTGGAACTGAACAACAACAAAAAAGCAACAACCCTAGAATATTCGTAATATTAAAAAGTTGCCTGATTTCAGCAGGAAGTTGCAGGACATCCACTGATTGTAAAGTAAGCAGTACGACCTCCCTGGAGATCTGCAGGTGCAAAGAGTATTGAAAGTGGATTGATGGCTGTTGGCTAAATAGTAAAGATTAGAGCATTGAAACCAGAATTACTTAGAACCACCCTGATACCATTGTGAGCTCAGATCGTAATGGATGCACAAGAAAAAAGGATGCCTGGAAGGACCCCTAGGCCAAGAAGCTAAGGGCTGGCTCAGTCGCAGTTTCTCCCCTTAAAACTGGAGGAACAAATTGGATAAATTGAGGCTCTGCCCAGTCCTTTATTTGGGGATGAGACACTCCAAATCCTCCATCTCCTGTATAAGAGGAGAAATTTGAAGCAGTTTGCATTTGAAGCCAAATCTTTCAAATTTGCAGTATGCAAAGCACAGCTTCCCTTGGAAACCAACACTTAGCTGAATTTTGTGAAGCAGTTTTGCAACCGAAGAGCTTTTATAAAGAATGCATATTTAGGGGAAAGTGTGCATAAAGATGAAGGAGTTAGTGAAAATAACATACAGAAATGCGTTGCATTAGGGAAATCTTGCAAAAATGTGTACAATAGTCAAAACTGCATTACAAAGGTGTGTGTTAGAAGAAATGCACACTAAAATACTGATGAATTTAAAAGAAAGGATGAAAGGAGCAAATTGCTGGAAAATATGGAGAGCTGAAATTACGATGAAGAAGAATAAGAGACTGAGGGAACCGAGATTGACAGATCCTTCCATCTCTATTTCAGTCTATAAGAAGTGTCAGTTCCTGGCAGTTCTTGCAGGAGAGCAATCCGTTGCTTAGCCTGTAAATCCTGCTCCAACTCTGCTTCCTTCTGTTGGGGGGGGCGGGCAGATGGCTCAGAGGATGGTCCCAGGGCCTGCCTTCCAATTCTGTTGCTGAAGATGAGCAGGCCGGCCCTCTAAGCTGCTTGGCTAGGAGCTATAAGCAAGCTGCTCTGAGCTCCTTGAGGGAAAATCAGGGTAGAGCAATCAAACTAAATATATATAGTGGACTGTCCAGGGCTCCGGTGAGACTGATCAAAGCAGCAAACCCTGGGAGCCAGTTTCTGACAACGTCCTGTCATCTGCCTACAAAATCCACATGTGACTGGGGCTAAGAAGCGGGCATGCTGGAGAAATGTGCCAACTAATGAACGGCTTCAGATTACTCGAGTAAGTGAGCCAAGTCACTGCAAGGGAATTTAAACACACACACACACACACCTCGTTCTGCCCTGACCCCTCCAGTTCCTAAGCACATGTAAAATCCAGCATGTGCATCAGGGGGAAAAATTAGAGAAGTCTGTGGGTGGATGTGGGGGAGAAGAACACAAATTCTATGCTAGTCAGCAGAAACTTAACTGGAGGAAGAAGGACCACCAGCTTTCCTTCCAGGGAGCATCAAATTGCAGCAGCTTATGTGAGATGTCAGGAGTCTGGTATGGGGCTTAAGTACTTTGGAAGGTATGTAGGCATGCAGGACTTGAAAGGAAGTAGTCAAGTGCACCACCAGCTCCTGTGATTGGCCAGCAGTATGACCCACCTGGATTGGCTGGTCCAAGTATAAAGACTGTGAGAATCTTGGCTTTCCCCCCTCTTCACCTGGTCAACAGCATGGATCCAGCTGCCAACTGAAATCTGATTTGTTGGGCTGGATTTTGGTGTGTCTTTCTCTCTCCCACCCTTAATATGAGAGAGCACGGTTGACATGGTGAATTGGATGCCGCCTTGCAGGCTGCTCAGCCATCCTAAAGCAGATGTTTCTCTTTTTGGCATTTTTAAGGGCACTCTCCCTGACAACCAGCTCACAAGGGAAAAGTCATTGGCCTTTGTTTTAAGGTCAGGTTTACAGAAGGGTCTTTATTTGCCTGCTTTCCCTTCTCCCTGGGAGAAAACGCCGCTCAGTTATCTCGTAGAAGTATTGACAGATTTTGCTGAAACTCTGGAAAGGAGAGAAAATTCACAGAGGGTGATGCACCTTCCTTCTCGCCTCCAGTTTTGCTGGATTTTTAATAATCCCACTCAGCCACACACTCTGGAAACTGGAAAAGGTCCGATTGGTTCTTGGCCAGCAGCGGTTTGCAATTTTACATCTATATCATAAATGCCTGCTTCTAGATGAGACCATTTCTAATGGCAGGGGAGCATTCACTTCTATAACTGAATATTCCCCCCAAACAGAAATACTTTTTGCGCATAGAGAACTTTCAAGGGTTAGAACCCTTCTCCTTCTAGTTTTCTATAATATATTCCTAAGCTCATCGTCTCCAGATATTTTAGGCTAAAGCTCTCATGCTCCCTAACCACTGGCAGTGTGGGCTGGGGGCTGATGGGAGTTGTAGTCCAAAATATCCAGAGAGCATCAGGATAGGGAAGGCTGTGTGTGTATATATACATATAAATTTATATATTGCTTGATTGTAAAACAAAAGAAAACCTCAAAGCTGTTTACAAAAAGAAGGAAACAATGAAATTATTTTAACTCAGTTAAAAACAACTATTTAAAACATTTAAAAAATTAAAATCAACAATAAGCTAAAAAGCTGATTAAAGTACATGTCAACATTATTATGCATGTGCAAACAGGCTTCCCTAAACAAAAATATTCTTAGCAAACACTCAGAAGAATACAGCAAAGGTACTTGCCTGATGTTAATAGGCAGGGAGTTAGTAAGTGTAGGTGTTGCCATAGTAAAATACTAAGTTTTTACAAATGCAGAACAGGTATTACGTAGCACCTATAACTGCCAGATCTTCAGATCAGAGCAGTTGAGTAAGGTGTTGAGTATATGGAGTAAGGTGAGCTCACAGGTAAACTGGTTCTATATAGTGAGGAAACTTGTCCTCCAGATGTTTTTTGGACCACAACTCCTGTCATCCCTGAATACTGGGCCATTGAGGCTGGGGTTGATGGGAACTGTAGTCCAAAAAACATCTGGAGGGCCACACGTTCCCTATCCCTGATCTGCACAAACAGGCAAGGAAGTAAATGTCTTTCTTAGCTACGCCAATTCAGCTATGCTAAATCTATACATGAAATAGATTCCATGTACCCTTGGAGGTATATATATTTCACACATACAATCTATACTAAGTCTGCAGTGGCACAGCTGAGGCAGAGTTTTCCTTCCTTGCCTGTTGTTTGTGAACACCTGTCCTTCAGGGATTAAGTGGTGGAGTCGCTCCCTCTGGGTGGTGTGTTGAGCCTGCAGCTATAACTAGGTGAGAGACTTGGTTGCAAGGAAATTATTGTTCACGCCTGCTGCTACTTACCTTGCCCCGTGAGATACCTCCTCACATTGGAGAAGTGGCACACAACTAGATCCCTGCATGCTTCTGGGTCTGTTTGGCTCTCCTGCGATGCCTCCACCCTCTAGGCTTGAACATGTAAACCTGCTGTCCTTCCATTGGACTACAGCTCCCATCAGCCTCAGCATCGTATGGCCATTTTGGCTGGGGCTGATAGAAGCTGCAGTTCAAAACAGCTGGAGGGGGCACCAGCTTGGGGATGACAGGTACATAAGAACATACGGATAACCTGCTAGGTCAGGCCAATGGCCCGTCTGGTCCAACCTCACAGTGGCAAACCAGACGCTCCATTGGGAAACCTGCAAACAGGAATTGAGCAACAAGAGCACTCTTCCTCTCCTTCGGTTTCTAGAAATTGGTATTCATAAGCATTTCAGCCTCCAGCTGTGGAGGCGTCATGACTAGTACAGTGGTACCTCAGGTTAAGTACTTAATTCATTCCGGAGGTCCATTCTTAACCTGAAACTGTTCTTAACCTGAAGCACCACTTTAGCTAATGGGGCCTCCTGCTGCTGCCACGCTGCCGGAGCACGATTTCTGTTCTCATCCTGAAGCAAAGTTCTTAACCCGAGGTAATATTTCTGGGTTAGCGGAGTATGTAACCTGAAGCGTATGTAACCCGAGGTACCACTGTAGCCATCAGTAGCCCTCTCCACCATGAATTTGTCTAATCCTTTTTTAAAGCCATCTAGGTTGGTGTCCATAACGGCCTCCTGTGGGACTGTCCTGTTCTTCCTTCTACCCTGAATCCTAAACATTCAACTCCATTGGATGTAAATAAAAAGCAAAACACAGTAGCGGTGATAGGAGGTTTCCTCCTCCCCACAAGATAAGTGATTCTGGCCTAGTTTTCTCTGTGATAAATAAATCTTGCAGCTGTGGCTTTGCACCATGGCACGCTCCTCCGTTTGGAAAGCCCCTCCGTGCAGAAAGCTATCCTAGTCCTTTCCCTGACATGCTACCTCAATGAGTGCAGTCTGGGTTTTCTGCAAAGGATCATTCCATCGTTTATGTCCCCTCTTGTTTTGAAGTGGCCCAGCTCGGATGCAGGTTTCATCCGCCTCAGTGGACACTAGGCCTCTGCACTAGATTAGAGATCCCTCCCTCTCTCACACACACACGTTCTAAAAATAAAATGCAGTGCACTTCCTCTCCCCCCCACCTGACTCAGAGTTCCACCTCCAGATAGGATGTGAAGGTGGAACGGAAGTGAGGCTGAGGGGGCGTTCTGCTATTTATACCCTCTGTCTCTATAAGCGAAGGCCTCTCTTTCTGAATACGCTCTCTGCCTGTACTCCTCAGCGGCGCTTTCTTCCAGAAAAGCTTTTGGCTGGCTTGTGACGCCTACGGCAAGGAGTGGCGGGGTGGATTTTATTTGGGAGAGACGAGACACAGTTAGTAAACACCCTCCTGCCGCCGGCTCGTGGATGTTAAATCATCTAATAACTACACGGTGCTCTGTGGCTCAGCCTTCCCCCAAGCTGGTCCCTTCCAGCTGCTCTTGGACTACAACTCCAATCAGTCCCAGTTGCTGGGAGCCGTAGTCCAAAACGGGGGACTTTGAATGTCCAGAAGAAGAGAGCCTAGATCACCATGACGGTCACTTCTCTATAACTAGACTACAGTGGTTCCTCAGGTTAAGTGTTTAATTCGTTCCGGAGGTCCATACTGAACCTGAAACTGTTCTTAACCTGAAGCACCACTTTAGTTAATGGGGCCTCCTGCTGCTGCTGTGCCGCCGGAGCACGATTTCTGTTCTCATCCTGAAGCAAAGTTCTTAACCTGAAGTACTATTTCTGGGTTAGCGGAGTCTGTAACCTGAAGCGTATGTAACCTGAAGTGTATGTAACCCGAGGTACCACTGTACTGCAAAACTGGTTCTTTGTTTGAAACTCTGGGAAGCTGCTGCTGCTGCCAGTCAGTGTGGACAGTATGGAGCTGGGTGGACTGATGGTCCACTTCAGTATAAGGCAACTTGGGGAGGGATGGAGCTCAGGGGTAGAGCATCTGCTGTGAATGCAGAAGGTTCAATCCAAAGCAGGGCTGGGATACACTCCAGCCTAAAGATGGATGCCAGCCAGTGTAGAAAGTATTGTGCTAGATGGGTCAACAGTTCCTAAGCTTCCTGTGTTCCTAAGCTGTGGCGCTGACCCGTAGTCTGGTGGAACGGACTTGTGACTGAGCTGAGAGCTTTGCACAGTGTGTGCGAGGGCGGACAGGGCCTCCCTCGTAGGAGGCTTTTGTGTGCCTGGAGGAGGAGGAGGAGGAGGGAACGAGTGGCCCTGGCTCTCCCTCAGGAGGCCCACAAGGACCATCTCCTCCATGAGGAGGGTCTGTCCCCAGCAGGGATGCCTTTTGTGTGGCTGTTGAGAAGCGCTTTTTTTTCCCTGGGAGAGAGAAAGAGAGAGCATTAGAGCTGGCGCTAATCTGATCCAGCAGCTCGGATTGGAGGGGCCAGGGTTGCCACAGCAACCAGGCCCCAAGAGAAGCCATCCCCAGCCAGCCTCTTTTGTTCCGGGGCGTTGGCAAAGCCAGCCACTGCGGCGGCGGCGGCCTCCCTCCGGAGAAGAAAAGGGCTCTGGAGAATGGGGCCCAGGGGAGCAGCGGGGGGTCTCTCCCCCCCCCCAGCAGAGGGATCTGCCCAAAGAGGCACCCAACGGGCAGCCGCTACAATAGCCGCCCGCCGGGGGCTGCCACTCACACTTAGCGCTTGCCCGCCTGAACTTGGCGGCTCCGCCATAATCCCGCCTCTCCCCTGCCCTGGGTTTCCATGGACACCGGAGCCTATTGAGGACACACATTTTCCGCCTGTGAAATTGAATGCCCACCCGGTGTCAGGGAAGGCCTCCCTCGTCAATGGGGACGTGCTTGGAGAGCTCGAGGGGGGGGGAGAGGGGGAGACCGGCTGGCTGGCCGTTCCCAGGGATGCTCCTGTCCACCATCTTCTTCCCTCCTGGCTTTTCATCCCAGGCTTCTTTGATGCAGTGGAGGAGAGGGCCATTCATGCCTACCAGCTGTGATGGTTGTGCTCCACAGTCTGAGAGAGCAATGCTTCTGAATACCAGTTGCTGGAAGCCATAGGAAGGGAGAGTGCTCTTGTGCTCGGGTCCTGCTTGTGTGTTTCCCCCGTAATGGGCATCTGGTTGGCCCCAGTGAGAACAGGATGCTGGACTTGATGGGCCATTGGTTATGCAACCTTGAAGCCTGCCTCCATTTCTCCGGGGCTTAGTGTGCTCGCTGACCACTTTGTGGAAGATTTGGGGTTTTCTTAAAACTTGTCTTCCTGTGAATAAAACACCAGAGAAGTGTATTTCTGTGGCGGTTCAGTTCTTCGGCCTCTGCACTGGAACACAGGGCCCTTTTCTCATCATTATCAAGAACTCCTAACAAATTTTATGTCCTTAATTCAGGGTCCTTTGGTTCTGCAGAGTCTTTCTCCTTTGAGGGTTGGAATTGTTCCTTCTCTGCTGTTTTATGTGGTCTTCCCAGCCTACAGATTATGTTTTTTTAATACAGGAAGACAGTGGTTTTTTAGTTAGGTCCTAAGGAGGGTGACTTTTTCAAAGACAGAGTTTCCTTTCTACAGTGTTCTTGCCTCTCGTCTTGGGCTTGTTCTTTGAGGGTATCATTTTGCTACCTGAGCAAAGAATTTTAGTGAGTCCCCAGGAAATCAAAGAGGTAGACAAATAGGTGATAGTGATGATGATGATGATGATGATGATGATGATGATGATAATAATAATACCACCATATGTGAAGGAGTACCACTTCCTCCAGAACAGGACTGAGACCACAAAGGTGTTAGGCGACTAAATGTGCACAGTGTTGTGTAGTGGTTAGAGTGTTTGGCTAGACCAGGGTTCATATTCTCCCACTCAGCTATGAAGTTCACTGGGTGACCCTGGGCCATCCGCACGCTTTCTGCCTGACCTACCTCACAGGGTTGTTGTGAGGACAAAATATTGGGGACATGGAGGGAGAGCCTGGTATGCCACCTTGAACTCTTCTGGAGAGGGGCCCCCCCCCCAGCCTTGGCAGAATCCCCCGGTGGCACTGGAACCAGGAGGGTTTTGCCCCTGTCCTCGGCACACGTTAATGCCTGCTACCTCGGGGTTAATCAGGCCGGAACAGCAAGTGCCCTGTGCTCTATCCCTCTGCCAGACGCTTCTACTCGAGACGCCCGCTGGTAAAGTGGATAATCTCCTTTTCTCTCTTGCCCTGCTTTCTTTGCCCAGCGCACGTCAATCTTGAAACCCTTGCAACGTTGACTGCCAGGCTTGCCAATTGACAGCGGCCCTGACCCTGAACACAGAAAGCCCATTGTGAGCACCTTCTCCCTCTTTCCACCCCCCACCTCCTTCATCCCGGCCTGCTGACGTTATGGAAGGGCAGTTTCTGTGTCCTCCTGTGACACAAGGTAGACAAGGAAGCGGGGCACAGTTAGCAATCCTAGCGAGGCCCTCCTCAACTTCCTTAGCCTCCTCCCACGGGGATGGTGGTCTCAGGCCAACTGAACGGGCCAGCAACCTAGTTTTCAGGAACGGGCCCAAGGGTGCCAACTGTATAACTGCCACGCTCTGGTTCCTTGGTTCCTGATTCCAGGCTTTCGCCTCCATGACAGACCTGCTCTTTTGCAGAATCATACCACTTTTCAGAAGACCGTTTGGCCACTGAACACTCAGATATGGTGATTATTGCTGAGGGATAATTCATTAATAGTTACTTGCTTGGATAGCAAACTTGAGTGGGTCAATGCATTTCAGTTTGGAAACAGAACTGGGCTATCTATTTCCAGATAACTTCAACTGGACCTCCAGGTAGGGCTGGGAAATGTCCCTGACTTGAAACCCTGGAGAGCCACTGCTGGTCGGTGTAGATCAGGGGTAGCCAGCTGTGGTGGTCTCCAGATGTGGTTGTACTGTAACTCCCATTAGTCCCAGCCAGCCTGGCCAGAACATCTGGAGGTCACCACATAGGCTACTCCTGGTGTAGACAACACTGGGCTAGATAGACCAATGGTCTGACTCGGTATAAGATAACTTCCAGCAGTAGAGCACCAGCTTTTCATGCAGAACGTCCTGGTTTCGATTCCCAGCATCTCCAGGTAAGGGCTAGGAGAGACCTGAAAACCTGCCATGCCACTGCTGGCCAGTGTAGAGAATATTGAGCTAGAATGAATGGATGACCTGACTCATTAAAGGGCAGATTCCTATGTTTCTGCTTAAAATAAGGTCAATGGTTTCTACATAAATGTAGAGGGCTGCTTTGGCTTGCAGAAAGGATATCGGCTTTAATATTTTTTTTTTAAAAAGAGAGATTTAAAAAACAAATGACAACCACCCAGTATGGCCCAGCAAGAACCTGTGAGCTTTCAGGAAATAAATGGAATGTAAGGGTTACTTGCAAGTGTCAGCTTGGGTGGGAGGGAATAAGCGGAAGTGGGGGGGGGGGGGGTTGGAAGAAGGAATTAGCCTTCTCAAGATCCTAACAGATTATAGTAAGCATCCTGGATTGGGGAGGGGTGGGAGGGATTAGGGTGGTGAGAGATGTGTGCTGTGAGGTTAATAATACATTTTTTTTAAAAAAACAACAACAAACCCCTGTGCTGTACAGGGCTGTTTCAGGAAGAAAGACAAGGGGAATATGTATATTTTCCCTTTTCACACTCTGCAGAACCTTCCTGGCTGTGTAGATACCTGCCTTGAATGTGTGATAGAAATGGTTAGTAAAAAATGCAGGAAGCAAATGTCTTAGGGGTTTGGGGTGGCATTATTATTAATAATGAATGTATGAACAATCAGGGTACAAAATAAAAATAGAAGGAAAAAAAGTTACAAAACAATTATTTGTTATTATTTATTGAATTTACTGTATGTGCCACCCTTCCTTACACTCCAGAAACAATTGCAATTAAATCCATCTAAAAGCAGTTACAGTAGAGTAGATTTTATTTCTCCATTCAGTTATTCAATTGATATTGTGTCCTTCCTCCCAAAGGAGCCCAGGGTGGCAAACACATGCATAATAATTTGTTTAAGTGTTCTGAAAACAGTTAAAACATTCCAAAAAGCAGTTACAGTTAAAAACATCATTCTATCCGGTGATGTTAGGGTAGCCATGAACAGTATCCTACATCCACAAAATGCCTGGGTAAACAAGGATGATTTCAAATTCCTCTGAAAGATGATAATGAAGGAGAAAGGGTCAGCACACTGGGGAGGGCATTCCACAATTGGGGAGCCACCATAGAAAGGGCCCCGTCATGGGTCTCCGCCAACCACCAGTAAGGCCTTGCCTGCTGGCAGTAGGATCTGAGATGGTTGGTACTGGGGAATGCACTCTTTAAGGTCTTTATATGCTGATATTAACATCTTGAATTTAGCCCTGTAGCTCAGTGGCCACCTCTACAAATTCTAAATAAAACAATAAAACCATTTATACATGTGTTCAATTAATATTCCATAAATGGCTGGATCACATCTGGGAGAAAGCCTTATTCAACAGAAGTATCTTCCATAGGCATCATTTGGGAATAATCCTCACACCTCACACTGATGTAGAGTCTGAGGGGGACAGTTACTTGTCTAAGTTAGTGGTGTGATCATGGTGCCTGGACTACAACTGCCATCATCCTTGACCTTTGGTTGTGGCTGATGGGAGTTGGAGTCCAACAACATCTGGAGGCCACCTCTGCTTGAGCTCTTAACTGGGGTCATCCTAATTCAGAGCTCTGGTTTCTTTGTTACCCGACGAAAAGATCCTCTGCAGGCTGCTTACTACAGTGTCCTTGTGACAGCATAGATATGCTGGGCTTCCATCCTCTCCAGCCAAGTGGGGAACAACTTGCCTTCCTGGATTTTTAATCCGAATTGTGTTAGAATTCTCCTTGCCTCTTTGGAATGGCATTACGGATGAGCAGCTTACTAAGTGATTACATTTCCAAGTGGCATGTTAGCACTTGATAAACCATCATCCGTGTGTAACCGGAGTCTCTGGCCTGGAGGATTTTTCTGGATGCAGTCATAATGTTAGCAGTGTACAGGCTCAGTGGCAGAGCATCTGCTTTGCATGCAGAAGGTCTCAAGTTTAATCTCTAGGTAGGGCCAGGAGAGACATCCCCGCCGAAAACCTGTGTTGGAAACTCAAATATATATGCTAGACGCCAAATGGCTTCTTAAACCACAGCTACGGTTGCCAAAATGGAATGTCCAGTTGCCATTTTGGGGGCAAGACTGCTCTAATGTCTTATTTTTCAGATGATGGACTGACTGTCATTGATTCTTGGTTAAACATCTGGCTCGTTCAGATGACAACCTTGAGCTAGGTTAAGAGCTTTGAAAACTTAAAGAAGAAGTCGCTTGATCCAGGGACAGTCTACGTATATATTGGCCTATTCCAACCTCTTTTTCTTAATGATGACTGCTCCTGCTCAGGCTGCACAGAAGAAGCATTTTGGTTCCAGAAACTCGTTCCGATTGTGCAGATAAAATATAATTGATAGAATTCTACAGGATGGGGTCTGAGGATGTGAAAACAGTCCAGATCCAATGATCTCCCAGGCATGCACCTCCAGATGGTGGAGATGTCAGGCATCATCCTGGTGCCCAGGCATCTTCCCTTGGCTGCAAGTGGTCAGTAGCCAGGTGCAAAAGGCGTCTGGCACCTGGCTAATTTCAAACACTGCCTGAACCCCTGGAGAACTGCTGCCAGTGTATGTAGACAATACCAAACTAGACGGACAAATGGTCTGATTTCTGCCTAAAGGAGCTTTCTAGGTTACTATGGTTTTATTTGTTTCTTTGTTGAATGATTGATGGCCATTTAGGGCAGTTCCACTTCTTTGGCATTTGGGTGACCAATCCAGAAGTGCCCAACAAAGGGGCTGGTCTGCCTAAGGTTCGGGCAGGATGGGGGCGAAAGGCAGGGGCAGCACAGCCCGTCCCAGGACCTATCTCAACAAACCTGGGCGCTTGTGGTGGGAATCCTACAGGCGCCTCTCTCCCTTTAAAGAGACAATGAAACAGCTTTGGTGCTTGGCTGCCCTTTCGTAGCACCCCAAACCTAGATACAGTGGTACCTCTGGTTGCGAACGGGATCTGTTCTGGAGGCCTGTTCGCAACATGAAAAGAGCACAACCTGAAGTGCCGTATCTGCGCAGGTGCGCAGTGCGATTTGGTGCTTGTGCGCATGCGCAAGCGGTGAAACCTGGAAGTAACCTTTTCTGGTACTTCCGGGTCGCCGCGGGACGTAACCTGAAAGAACGTAATATGAAGCAAACATAACATGAGGTATGACTGTACCTGGATCCAGCTGCCTTGCTTTGCCTGATGATAGGCAGAGAAGACCTAAGGCTTCGGGGGATTAAGTCTAGGAACTGGTTCCCTTCCGACCCCAAACTCAATTTCACTCCCCACCCCCAATCTTTGTCTCTTGCAGGTGGACGACGCAATGCTCATGTTTGACAAGACCACGAACAGGCACCGAGGTGAGGCCCTGTATTTTGAGGAGCCAGGCTTCGGGGTGTTTGATGGGAACCCAGGCACCACTTGCGACTGCCTCCGCCCTCCTGCCCTGCCCCACCCTGCTTGCAGCTCCTTCCCACCCCCTTCCCTCCAGCCTCTTCCTTCCAGATCCACTTTCCTTCGTCAGCCGTGTCCTTTTACCCGATGCGTCCCCTCTCAGCACAGAGGGCTTTTTGTCTGCCTGCTTCCTGTGCCGTGTAACTCTTTGCCGGCGGGGGCAGCCTCTTCCCCTTCCCCTCCCTGGTCACCTACGTGGCTCCATCTGTCTGTGTGTCTTACCTTGTCCTGAGTAATTTGAGCCCCCGGGGAAGCTGACACGAAAGCCAGGAGGCTGCCTCTCCTCCTTTGCCGCAGCACGGGGGGTTGGGGCTGCGGCGGCGGCTGCTCCCACTCCTAGGTCACCTTTTCCCAGAGCCTCCCTTGGGGAGTTTGGTTACAGAGCAGGGAGCCTTCTGCAGGCTGCTGGCAGCAGACCACTCTCCTGCTTGGTGGTGGGTGGGTGTTGTGCCATTCAAGGCAAGGCTCGCCCTCTGGGTTGAAGATGACCGATGTTACCCAGTGCCCCCAGCCCCTAGATGCCTGACTCCTTTGGGAATTAAGAATAGCTCATCCCTGCTTTCATCTTTCACATTTTGTTCCCAAACTGTTTTGGCCAACCAGCCTCTTGGCTCCATAAACTCATCTCCATTCCCCTTACCTTACCCTGCAAAGAGTGTTGTTCAGAATAACTGTTTGCACGACTCACTAAGGAATATAACAGCACAATGAAATTCAAAACGGAAACAGTTGATTGCACATTTATTCAAAAATCCAATAAAAACCATTTAGTTTAATGAATTCGGGAAAATGGGTGGACTTGAGCCAGTGATACTAAGTTTTCAAAGTCCGGTGGTCATTTACATCCCATGCCACCCTCTTTCCTGCTTGGCACTCCCCTGGGTAATCCACTGCCCCCTTTGGGAACCACTGGTCTAGGATGCTGCTTGCTTTCCCTGATGTGGGACTCCGCTACAAAATGATTTAAAATAATAAGAAGTATTTATTGGTGTTTTCACGCTGCCTCAGCAGAGAGATAAAGGGTAGCTGCTTGTTGTTTTAAACACACACACACACACACACACACACACACACACACTCTGCCTCATATTCACTCTACCTGAAGGGGTTGCCAACTTCCCAGTCACTTCCAGTGCCTGTGACTTTTTAAACACGTTACCTTGCGATGTGGTGCCTCCCTCTTAGTGCTGTAAAGGCTTTTTTTGCCTGCTGGCTTCAGCAGATCAAACTGCTTATGGAGACCCAAGTGCAGACTTAAGCAGGTCCCCCATTGCCCCGCAGTTCCTCAGTCAAGTGACAACACTAAGCCTACCTGTAGAAATACTTTGGCTTTCTGCATGTGGCAAGGTTGAAAGCTATGTTTTGCACAGGAAGCAAATAAATTCCTTTCCCCCCAACCTGCCTGCCTTGCATTCACACATGTGGTGAAATCTGGTGGGGTAGCTTTTGAAAACCTGGTGCCCTCCAGAGGCTTTAGAATACACCTCCCATCAGTTCCTGACAGCTGATGGGAGTTATAGCCCAAGTCCAAAGCAGTAGTAGTACTCCTGAATACCAGTCGCTGGAAACAGCAGGTGGTTGAGAGTGCTCTTGAGTCCTGCTAGAGAGCTTCCCCATTAAGGCATCTGGGTGGCCACCGTGAGAATTGGACTGGATGGGCTACTGGCCTGATCCAGCAGGTTTCTTTGCATGTTGTGTTTGTGTCTTGACATTCTGACAGGACCTGAGCAGGGTAGGATCCTGGCCTGGCCTTCATTCTGCCATAGAATATGATTCTTCAGCATCTCGACCAGGCCATAACTGCTTTATTTCTCTTTCAGGTTTTGGATTTGTCACATTCGAAAGTGAAGACATTGTGGAGAAAGTCTGCGAGATCCACTTCCATGAGATCAACAACAAAATGGTTAGGAGGAGGAAGGTTGGGTTGTGGATTCTGCAATGTGTGTGTATATGAAGTGTTAGATGGGTCTCCCTTCCTATCGCACAGCACAGCCGCCTGTCTATGATCTATGTGGCCAGTGATTCCTAGTGTTGTCAACTATATGTGCACTGGGAAAACTTGACTAGATTGGAGTTGCTGATTTTTTTTATTATTTTATTCTGGCAGGACTTAACATGTCTTTAAAAGTTGCATGATGGGTGGTAATTCAACAGGTGCAGCCCCCACCACCCAAATATGGGGATGCAATGAAGGGGAACACTCCACCCATTGTGTTTCTGTCACTTGCACCACTTTTGAAGAGCCACAGGAGCCTTGTAAGGAGGAAGGAGGAGGAGGAAGTGGCAATGGGGTTCCACATTTAATAGGGGACGGGGTGGAAATGAGCAGGAAGAATCCAAGCAGGAAATGCTGTGTGCAAAGAACTGTTGGATCCAAACTAGTTTAGGGCAAACTTTTTTTTAAGTTGTCGTGATGGGAAACCAGCCTTTTGTGGCTTAGAAAGGAGACATAAAAAGAAAATAATGGAGCCGTCTTTGCCCTTTAGAAGTTTTGGACGGCAATTCAAATCGGCCACAGCCAGCACAAAGTTGGGGAATGGTTTTGCGGGCATGGTTATGGAAGGGAGGGGGGATACAGCAATTTTTACAGGGCTGGGCTTGAAGAAAGCTCTTCTGCTTGTAAATCTGACTCCGGGGTTGTGAAGTGAGGGGTTGCTCTACAAGCTGACATATCCTACATAGTTAGGGGAGCTGTCAAACAAGCTGTGTCCTTTCTGTGTCCCATGCCAGGTGGAATGTAAAAAAGCTCAGCCAAAGGAAGTGATGTCCCCCACTGGCTCTGCAAGAGGGCGGTCCCGGGTGATGCCTTACGGAATGGACGCCTTCATGCTCGGGATTGGCATGTTGGGTAAGGATGGCAAAGGAGCTCTCTTCAACTGCCTGCGCCCCCTTACTCTTTCTCTCTGTCCTTATTGCTCTGCAGCAGACAGCCTGTGTTAAGACCTGTGCCGAGTTGTGTAAGGATCAGCTCTCTGATGTCAGAGGTCTTGTGATGGGGGTAATGCATTTGGGCGGGCGGGCATTTGTCGTCCTACACTGCCCTCTTCTGGCAGAATGGGCGCGCTGCAGATAATTCCAGTGCTAGAGCAGAGTTTCCCCATGAAGGAGGTACACCTTCCCCTACAGATTAAAATTTGACACACACATTGCTCTTGCATATGAAGAGCATTCCTTTTGCATGGTGCAAAAGTAAGAACTGCACACACTGCTTCCTGTTTAAAGGAGGTGAGGCGCCTCCAGAGCACTTAAATCATGCAGAGCTGCAGCACGGAGATTTGCTCTGCTTGACGGTGTTTCGAACACAGCACAGGATCCTTTAATGACTGGACTAAGTAAATGTGTGCCTAAAGATTCTTTGTTCTTCTTATCTTAATTTTTCCACAAGTGCTGTTTTGCCATAATTTTGTTGTGACGACTTGTCAGAGAAGCAGTCTCTTAAGTTCTTCCAGTGTCTCATTATTGTGAGCCTGGCTGTTAGTAGAGGACAACCTATTAAAGGTTTGAACTGTAAGTGAATATTGTCTCCCATAAAAAGATTGAGGAGAGGCAGATTCGGACATTTAGAAGATCCCTTCTGTTGCCTCTCATGACTGAGGGACTCCGGAGGGTGAATCTGATGTGTGTGTGCCTTGCTGTGAAATAATCTAACTTTTCTCAATGCTTTTGTCTCTGAGAACAGGTTACCCAGGTTTTCAGGCTGCCACCTACGCCAGCCGAAGTTACACAGGCATTGCGCCTGGCTACACTTACCAGTTCCCTGGTACGTCTCTCTCCCTTTTCTCAGTTGTTGTGCCTTTGTGCTAAGGGTGGGCTCCCCAGTGACCCCAAAATTCATCCCTACAATCCCGGCGGGTGGTGGAGGATGGATGACAGACCTCAGTCTCAGAGTCCTAATGCAGCCCATGAGGACCTTCAGCCCTTGGGACTCTACCCTAGCCACACACCCTCTCACTAGTCCTTGAACTCTGATAATGCTTCATTCTCATCTGGATGGAGATAGAGGGGATCCATGTGAGTGTGTGTAGAAACTAGCCTACGGCACAAAGATAAAATTCACACTTGTTGCTCCGCCCACTTTTGCCTCTGGCCCCACCCACCAGCAACATGTGCCCCCCCCCCCCAGGTTGCCCAGATGGGAATGTGGCCCTATGGCTGAAAAGGGGATTCGCTGCCTCTTCTCTAAACTTTTGCCAATTGTCTCCACTCAAGAAGGAAGTGAGAGAAACCTCTGAGGTTTTAATAGGAGCAGGACGCTGATGTTGTGGTTCCCTCCTTGGTCCCCTTCTCCCTGGAAACTTGTTAGTCCTAGAAAGGGCAGCTTGCAAGCCTCTCTCTCTCTCTTAATCTGTTTTTCTAAGCCCCTCCTTCCCTCCCTGCTTCTGATCCTCAACACCCGCCTCAAACCCCCTCCCAGAGTTGCCACCTTCCTGAAAACCGGAACACAAAGCCCTCAACCCCACCATCTAAAAGCCGGATATTAATTGAGACTCTCAATCAAAAATCTAATGGGCTCCAAACCTAAAGGAATGAAAAATAATTTGTCACTTCAGTTTGGGGGGGTGGTATCACAAGAAGCCTGCAAGGCAGGTCACTGCTGCTGTTTGCAAAGGGGGAAAATCCTTTGTTCAGGCGGTCATACTGAGCCAGGGCATCTGGTGCCGGTTTTTAAAGCAGTGGTGGGTCTTTTCTCACCTGCTCCCTACTCTATCAAGTCCAGGCAGCAACTCTGAGGATTTGCCTCACCCAGAATATTTGTGTTTTCTGCTGTTGCGCCTCTTCTCTCCCCTGCCCCTTCCGCTCTGTTTGCTGGATCCTCTCTTTCGGAGACGAAACCGACCACATATCCTAAGTTGTCTTGCCTTTCGTTTTTAGAATTCCGGGTAGAGAGGACCCCCCTCCCGAGTGCCCCAGTCCTCCCTGAGCTGACAGGTCAGTCCCACCAATTTCCTAAACCTTGCAAAAAGCTGGAAGGGTGGGGTGGGGGCACAGAGATTTGGGCGGCTCCAGCCCAGTTACCGCCTTGCAGCTTGTTTTGGGGGAGCGGGCGGGCGGGAGGTTGGTAATGACCCTCGTTTCCTTTTCCATCTGCGTGAAAATTCAGGCTTTTGCATTGTTCTGCAACAGCTCCACGTTCAGGGAAATGCATTTATTGTTACATCCTTATTTGAAGGGCGCAGCCATTTAACACCACCGATAAGGCACCCACCACACAACGCTTTTGCTCTTTCTCTCGGCGCTTTTTCACCAAGCCTCACTCTGCAAAGCATAAGAGAGACACCGCTGGTCAGAATGAATGTTGCTGGTCTGCGTGGACCGAGGAGAAAAGGGGTCGCCTTTTACCAAGTGTGGGGGCCTTCAGCCCTCCCTATGTTGGCTGAGGACTCTGACTCCCATCAACCCCAGCAGCCAGCATGGCCAATGGGTAGAGCCAAAGGGAGCTGTAGGCCCGGAGTTTCCCCCTCCTCTGTCTTCTACCAAGGCAACTTCACATGTTCGTGGGCAGTTTGGAAATCCCTGTTCTGCTCCGAATTCTGGTGCCTCCTCCTAGAACTGTGAACTACTTAGCTATGCTTCCTGCATTGCAGGGGGTTGGACTAGATGACCCTCAGGTCCCTTCCAGCTGATTCTGCTGCATTGTTCCTTACTCTTTGCCCCCCCTGAGAAAATAGCCATGCCAATGCTGGAATGGCCCAGCACTGTTCCCCCCTATTTTTCTGGAGATGGAATGGGGTGGATTTTTTTGGGGGTGCTCCTTCCCTGCACCCACTGTTCACAAGGGAGCAGAGGGCACCTTCTCCCCACCCTCCTCCTCCTCTTCCTCCTCTCTGAGTCTAATGCCTCCCGCCGCTTCCTTCCCATGGCCCTTCCGCCCTTTGGCTTGGCCTCGCACTTGCATTTCAGGGCGCACCTCCTGCCCCCCGCTGCCATTTCCCCAAAGCTTTGTAGAAGCTGCCACGTGTGTCTCCTGCCCAGGCAGCACTCTGCTGTTCCTCTCTCTTCCTGAGCTAATGGACTGACAGGCCCGTCTCATCCTCCGTAACATCCCCTCACTCGTCACACTTCCCTCTCTTTCTTCTGAGGTTTGGAGCTTCAGGGGTGGGGGAGACCTTAGCCTACTTCGTGCCACAGCTTTCCAAGGTAATTTGTTATAAGCACCCAAAGACCCTGCAGCATAGGCATTTGGTACCATAGGTAATAATAATACAGTCATACCACTTGTTACGTTCGCTTCAGGTTACGTCTTTTCAGGTTGTGTCCCGCGGCGACCCAGAAGTACCGGAAAGGGTTACTTCCGGGTTTCACTGCTCGCACATGCGCAGATGCTCAAAATGACGTCATGCGCAGAAGCGGCGAATCGCAACCCGTGCACACGCATACGTGGGTTGCATTCTGCTCATGTTGCGAACGTGGCTCTGGAAAGGATCCCGTTCGCAACCAGAAGGACCACAATAATAATAATAATAATAATAATAATAATAAAGCCTTTCCCCAGGCTTAAAATCTTGCTGCTTCTGACCTATTTTATTTTCTCAACGTGGGTATCAAAAAGCTTTATTTCATTGTGGAACCCTCCCCGAGATGGCGTCTGTGTGGTTCTCAGGTGGTCATCCGTACAGGCCAGCCTGACCTGAGCCAGACTTACTTAGCTTCGTCAAGTTGGTGGCCTCGTGTGCCTTGAGACGGCGGCCACAGTCTGGAGCTGACAGGATGCTGAATCCAACCACGCTGGCTATCCCAGGTAGACCACAGTTCAAGGTCACCCCGCTCCAAAGAATTATGGGAGCCGTGGTTCGTTAAGAGTGCTGAGAGTTGTTAGGAGACCACCCCCACTCCCCTCCCAGAGCCGCTACCCCCTAAGTGGTTTAAAAATCAATCCTTTTTCCCAGGGAACTCTGGGAACGGCAGCTCTGTGAGGGGGCTAGGGGTCTACTAAGCAGTGCTTTTTTCCTAGAAAAATAGGAGCCCTGTACTCACCATGAAGCTGTTACAGTAAGTGCCATATTTTTTAAATTACAACCAAAAGAAGTGCCAGTACTGCATGCCCTTGAGTACACCCCCCGGGGGGGGGAGCACTGCTCCTAACCACTCTCAGCACCCTTAACGAGCCACAGCTCCCAGAATTCTTTGGGGGAAGCCATGCCTGCTTAGAGTTCTTTAAATATATGCTGTGGCCGTGACCTTGAACTGCTGTCTGCCTGGGGCAGGGAGAGCCGGCGTGGTTGGAACTCTGCCTCTTGCCAGCCCCAGCCAATATGGCCCAATGGACTACAACTCCCATCATCCCTTGACCAACATTGCAGCATGTTGACTATCCCTGATGTAATTAGACAGTGAAGTGGGAGGAAACCTATGAAAGCTTCCGAAGCCAGCAGAAGGCAGCTTGTCCCTCGCCATCCCTGAGATCTAAGAGGCATTATTCCCTGCGTGGAAATTCTACTTCTCAGAGAGCAGGGAATACCAGTGACTCCAACTCCCATCAGCAGGCGAGGGTCACCACCTCCCCTATCCCTGGCTCATGGGCACTGGGTGCTCTTCAGATTCACCAGCCACCACGCCTTCACCACCCCTGCGGGGAAGCCCAGGCCTGCTCTGATGTCTCTCCCTTTCCTTCCAGCCATCCCTCTCACTGCGTATGGACCCATGGCGGCGGCAGCAGCGGCGGCGGCTGTGGTGCGAGGGACAGGTAACTGCCGTGCTCCCTGGGGGGTGGCCACCTTGCTGGCTTTGGGGAAGCTCTCTATTTGTTCTGGGTGAGGGGTGGGGCGGGGGGACGAGGGGGCCTTCATTTTGGCATCTTCACTGGCTAGTCCTGCTTCCTCCTGTAGGGTCCACCCCGAGCCGCACCGGTGGATTCCTGGGCACCACCAGCCCCGGGCCAATGGCGGAGCTTTACGGAGCAGCCAATCAGGATTCAGGAGTCAGCAGCTACATCAGCGCAGCGAGTCCCGCCCCGAGCACTGGCTTTGGCCACAGCCTAGGGGTGAGTTATCAGCAGGAGGGCCCTGTGGGGCGGAGCAAGGAGCTCTCTAAAAAGCAGCCTCCCCCAGGCTGCTGCCCTGTGGATGTTTTGTACTACAGCTCTCATCAGCTCCAGCCAACACGGCCATTTTGGACTGCAGCTCCCGTTGTAGCTGTAGTCCAGAATATCTGGAGGGCACCAGTTTGGGGCTGGCTGAATTAAAGGATGTGAAGGGCTAAGCAGGACCCAACAGAACCACTGCCAGACAGGAAAGGCGGGCCAGTGACTTAGTAGCATAACATTCATTTATTTTTGCTTTTTAAAGAAATGTCGGGACTTCTTTAGCTTTGCCTAAAGTCATATATCCTTCAGTAACAATCATAATTATTGAATACTGCTAAAGCACGTAGCATTTTTTTTAAAAAAGCACTGTGCGTATATTAAATTATGAAACTGTCCCTGCCTTCCAGGCTCGCAATTCAATAGGTACAGCACGTAAGGAAATAGGAATGCGGAGGGAAGAGGAAAGCAAGCGTTAGAACAGCTGCTTTTTCACTGGCCGGTGGATGGGGCCAAGTTGGTCTCCCTATTGCTATGATTATCTTCCTAGAAGGCAGTATGTGCAGCCCTGCCGGTGGCCCTTTCTGATGACAAAGGCTGGAGAGCTCTGCGCTTCAATTCCGCAGCACCAGATAACTCAGTTGGGTCATTTGATGTATTTATTTAGTTCATAAAATTTATATACTGCATGATTGCAAAACAAAAAACCTTGAAAAAACCACACTCAAGGCGGTTTACAAAAAAGAACTCTTTTTTTTGTTCAGTATTTTACCCCCTTAAGGAGCCATTTTTTGTCAGTTGTGTTATGAATTATGTGTGTACAATAAAAATAAAACATTTTTTAATTTAAAAAAACAACAACCCCAGATTAAAATTTTCATCAACATTCTACGTATCTGGATAGGCCTTTCCTTAGCAAAAACGTTTTTAGCAAGCGCCAAAAAGAGTACAAAATGAGGCACCTGCCTGCTGGATGTCAATAGGCAGGGAGTTCCAAAGTCCTGCCACACTGAAAGTTCCATTCCTTACAAATGTGGAACGAGAATTTTGTGGCACTGTAACAGTGCCAGTTCTGCAGATTGAAGCAGTCAAGACTGCACATGTGGGGATAAGGTCATCTTGCAGTTTAACCTGATATAGTACACCCACACCCACCCACAAAATATGGTACATTGTGAGTGTTCAAAGCTCTGCGGATAATGTCCAATCAATGTCATGTCATTGTTTTGAAGGGACCTTTGATTGCAACAGCGTTTACTAATGGTTACCACTGAAGCTGAGGACCAAGGAAGGAGGAGGTAAGATGGCCAATGGGGACTCGGCTTCCACAGTGTGCTGTTCATAGGTCTGTCCTTGAAGACAGTTTTAGAACTCTTAGTTGAACTGTAGGGTGAAGTGGCCATAGTCCAAGATATTAGAGGGGGTGCCTCCTCCCATAGATACCTATCTGTACTTTGAAGTCACGTGGTAAGACCTGGGATGGTACTCTGCATCTTCTGACTTTAAGAGAGGATCGGGCAAATTTATGCTTTCAGCGGCCAATAGCCATGATGGCTGTGCTCTGCCTCCGTAGTCTGAGGCAGCAATGCTCCTGAATCCCAGTTGCTGGAAACCACCGGGTTGTGTGTCTGAGAGAGATGCTTTAGCGCTTGTGTCCTGTTTGTGGGGCTCTCACAGCCATCTGGTTGGCCACTGTGAAAACAGGAGGTTGGACTGCGTGAGCCATTGGCAGGCTCTTCTTATGTTCAGAGCCTGTTTCCTCTTTTCTACATGAGGGGAAAGGCATGCCCATTGTCTTGACACAGATGCTTGGCTGTGTGAGAAAAAGCCCTTCCATTTGTCTCTCGTGGGATGTTCCCATTGTGGAGTCTAGTATTATGTTGGGCATTGTAAAGGATTCTTTAGCTGTGATTCCTGCATTGCAGGGGGTTGGACCAGATTAGCTTTGGGAGTGCCTTTCAGCTCTATGCAGGTGGCGCTGTGGTCTAAACCACTGAGTCTCTTGGGCTTGCCGACCGGAAGATTGGCGGTTCAAATCCCCGCGACGGAGTGAGCTCTCGTTGCTCTGTCCCAGCTCCTGCCAACCTAGCAGTTTGAAAGCACACCAGTGCAAGTAGATAAATAGGTACTACTGTGGCGGGAAGGTAAACGGCGTTTCCGTGCACTCTGGCTTACGTCATAGTGTCCCGTTGCTCCAGAAGGGGTTTAGCCATGCTGGCCACATGACCTGGAAAGCTGTCTGTGGACAAACGCCAGCTCCCTTAGCCTGAAAGCGAGATGAGCACCGCAACACCGTAGTTGCCTTTGACTGGATTTAACCGTCCAGGGATCTTTTACCTTCCTTTTTACCATTGTAAGATTCTACGAGGAGGTGTGCCTACGCACTATTGAGACAGCTGTGAATGCAAAATGCAAAATTCTGGGGAGGCTAACCTTGCACAATCATTCCATAATTTCCATCTCCCCACACCCTTTATTCTTGCAGATTCCCCAGTGAGCAAACCAAGGACAAGCGACCTGGAGGATCCGGCAACACTTGAGGGATGAGCCAAGATTTCATTTTTAGTAAATAAAACTGCACACTCGTGGCTGTTTGCTGGGCTTCTCCCGGCCTGCCCTGATCTCTCCATTGACCAGATCTTGAGCACTGGATTTGAACGCAAGGAGATCTTGTCTCCTCTTCTTACTAATAACCGCTGACCGTTTACACTTCTCCCCAAACCCTCCACCCCAACAATTCTTCTTTTATTTATTTTGTTAGCTTGTTAGCTTTTATTTTTTAATCTTTTGGGGGGGGGGAGGGGAGGGAGAGGGGGGTGCTGGGGAAGGAGGACCGAGGAGGTGTGAAGTCAGTCCTCTCATTGTCATTCTTTTTCGTTGTTGTGGTTCTTTTTGCTCTTTTGCAGAGCCTCTCAGAAGAACCGTTTTTATGAATTTGGATTTTATTTTATTTTTTGTGATTGTGAGTAGGGGGTAGCTTTTATTGAGGAATATTTTTATTTGGCTTTGAAATCTTTTTGTTTTGTTTTGTTTTTAGATATATATTATATAAATATATATTTTGGGGGGTGGGCAGGGCAGGAGGAAGGAACAGGACTCGGTCATGAGAAAGCAAAAGGTTATCTTGGAAAGGACGCATTGCGATGTCAAGTGAAGGCAGTTCCGAAGGGTAGGCAGAGAGCAGGGAGATGTCGCTGCATCGGGCAGATTCTCTTTCTCTCGGTCTCTCTCTCTTTTTTGTGTGAAAAAAGAAACCTTTTCTTTCTACCAAGGTGAGGCTTTGAGAAACGTGCCGAATTAGCAGAAGGCAATTGCTGTGGAACGAATAATGAACTGTATATTTTGCTAAGTGGACTAAGAGGAAGAAGAAAACACTATTCCTGATGACTGAATTCCCCCCTCCCCTCCTTTCCCCTCCCCTAGATTTTAGGTTTCTGTGGGTTTTTATTATTGTTATTTTGTTCTCCGCCCCCTTCCCTTTGATCTTTCCTGTATCATATGTAAATATTGCAGGGCGGTCTTCGGCCTTGTTGTGCACCAAGCAAACTCTGGGTTTCTTAAGCTTCCTTTCTTTTTCCTCTTCTCATTCTGGGCCTCTTGATGCCGAAAACGTGAGCAATACTCTCTCCAGTTGGACCGTGACGAACCTCTTTTCCCTCCCCCTTTTTTATACCTTTTACTGTATAAGATTTTAAGACCTCTGGGAGTCTGGTGGGGTGGGGAGCAGGAGGAGGAGGAGGGCGCTTGGGGGGTGTTGGGGGGGACGGGGGGGAGGGCGGGTTTGGAAAGAGTTGGGTGAGAGCTACTTGCATCATCTGGTGCAGAGGGGGGGCTGCTGTGTTGCTGAGCGGCTTGCACCAGGCTCAGCATGCGGGTGTCGTGCCCCCCTCTCATGACGGTGCCAGCGCCCGCTTTAGAAAAGGGCTTCTTCAGCCACCACTGCTGGTCTCTGTTGACGCTTTGGGTGGATGTAACTCTCCCAATATTTACTGCTTCCTGCCAAGAGGGTGGGCAATCGCTTGCCGGGAGGCCGGGGGTGTCGAGGGCGTCTGTTCGCGCCCCCCCCATCTCCCTCACTTTTTACTGTAAAGGTGGGTGGTGATTCAGGCAAAAAAGGTGTGTGTGTTTGTGTGTTTTGCTAGTGAGAGAGACTTAGGCTGTGATCCCACACCCTCCTAAACCCAGCCATCAAACCCAATGGGCATTATTTCTGAGTAAAGGCCACATCCATACCATACATCGAAAGCACATTGAATTCTGGGGACTGCAGTTTGTCAAAGGGCGCAGAGAGTTGTTAAGAGACCCCCTGTTACCTCCCCAGAGCTACAGCTCTCAGAGTGGTTGAACCATCAATCCCCTCTTCCCAGTGGAATTGGGAAGGGGAGGGAAGGTCTCAGCACCAAAACAAACTGTGGTTCCCAGGATTATTATTATTATTTTGTAGGGGCGGGGAATTCATGGCTGTTTCGAGTGGTTTTAACTGGTATGGTGTGAATGTGGCCCAAGATCTGCACCGGTAGAAAGGTTCTCAGGGATCCTGTGAGTTGGGGGTGGGGGGGAGAGAAGCCCTGGATCCCCCCCTTGTTTTACTATGCCAGGATACCGTTTGTTTTAAGAAAGGCGCATTTGAATCATAGAATTGTAGGGCTGGAAGGGCCCCGAAGGGTCATCTATAGTCCAACCCCCTGCAATGCAAGGATCACAGCTAATTTTGCTGAGACTGACCCCACTGGGAAACCCGTCTTCCCGTCAGGGGCGAGGTGAGCAAAGTTTGCCTCCTGCGGTAGAAGTGGAAAGTGAAGGGCCACTCTGCACACATTCAGCGCTCTCTTTGAAGCAGAAAGTTAAATCCCCATTCATTTCCCCTTGCACACGGCCCTCTGCATCTTCCTTCGACTCATCTCGCGGGGGCCTTTCTTTGTCTTCCGCACACCTTCTATCAAGATTTGCTACTACAGTGGTACCTCTGGTTGCAAGTGGGATCTGTTCCGGAGCTCCGTTCGCAACCTGATAGGAATGCAACCCGCATCTGCGCACACGTGCGGGTCGCGATTCGCCGCTTCTGTTCATGTGCGAGCGGCGAAACCCGGAAGTAACCCTTTCCGGTACTTCCGTGTCGCTGCGGGATGCAACCTGAAAAGACATAACCTGAACTGAACGTAACAAGAGGTATGACTGTACACAGCCAGGGAGAGACTGGGAAGTGTGATGTGTGTCTCCCCTTGGAACAGGCATAGCCAGTCATGCTCTCTGGGTGTGACTGGACTACATCTCCCAGCTTTGGCCTGGCTGGCAGGTGGGGCTGTTGGGAGTTGGAGCCCAAGAGCAGCTACGCTGGCTATCCACTCCCTAGGCCACATTTGCATGCCTCACCTGCACGCCTCATTTTCAAGCTACTTGCCTTTTTGCGGGACTCTTCCTTCCCCGCTCTTCTCGCTACCACGAGGACGGGCCGTAGCTCAGAGGCACAGAGTGCCTGCTTTAGGTGCAGAAGGTCCCAGGTTCATACCTTGGGGTCTATGTAGACAGGAATAAGCTAGATGACCGATGAACTGACTTGTGCAAGGCAGCTTCTTTGTATGTGACATTCTGTGTGGTGAGTTGCTGCCCAAGAGTGGGCTTTTGGATTGCTTCTGACTACCATACTTGAATTCCGCCCCCGCCCCCCAGGCCCGTTTTTGGGGAACCAGTGCTCTCGCAGAGACGAGCCATGGCTCAGTCCAGATGTAGATGTGGCCTTTCCAATGGATTTTGGGCATCACTAAGGTGGGAAGCAGGCAGATCCGACCCCTGTGAGGCCTCCTCCAGAGAGCGAAAGTGTGTGATGCGAAAGGATTCAGACATGCTGCAGCCATGTCCCTGCCTCTCTGCTTCAGCCTTTCAATAAGACAACATTTTGGTGCCCGAAGGGGAAGATCCCAGTGGCGCCACTCCCTCTCCCCACACGCCTATCAATGGAGCTATCAGTCCAGTGTGATGATCTCCCATGCAACCTCCACTGAAATGAACGGCATATGTGCAAGAGTATCATAGTTCGTGACATCACAGGCACTAGCCACTGCGTTCTGCCTACTAACTGAAGGGCTCTTTCACAGCTGTTCCTTTCAGGGAGGCTTGTGCCATGGACCTTCCTTCTGGATCGATTGCATGTAGGTGTGGATGGGTGTTGTGTCATCTACTTTTTGGGGGGACGGAAATGCCTTGGGCCCACCCTTCAAAGAATTGCCACTTTGGCAAGGAAGGAAGCTGTGGGATCTGCTGAGCCTCTTTGAGGTGGCAAGAGAAAATCGATCTATATATGTTTGGGGGGAATGTGCAAAATCCCACTTGTCTCAGGTTCCTCTGTCCTGGCCCCTGTCTCCCGCACAGCCAACCAGCAGAGGGTCTCTCTGCCCATTGCATTACTTAGGCAACGTTAAAAGATGCCTCCACATCGTGCAGGTGTGGCAAATGTGCAGTTTGGGTAAGGGCCGTGGTAGAGAGCATCTGCTTTGCATGCAGACGGTCTCGGGTCCAAATCCCCCCCCCATTACCAAGTAGAACTAAGGCTCCTGTCCCAAACCATTGAGAGCCTCTGCCTGTCAGTGCAGACAATACTGAGCTACATGGACTAAGGGTCTGACTCTGTTTCAAGCATCACTCCATCCATCCCTTGCTTGCAGCTTCCTCTTGGCGTGTGCATACTTAGTTGCAGGCTCCATTTCCTCCTTACATGTGTAATGCAATACTTCATGGGTGAGAGTTTCCAGTTGCAATAAATCAATACCCTTTTGTTGCGGAGGCGGGGAGCTTAAATTTTCCTCTTCCGGGGCTGGGTCTGAAATCTGTTTAAACTTGAACCAAAGACCTTGTCTGAGCCTTTTCTTAAGATGCAGTCTGACACTTATGCCCAGGGAAAATAAAACACAGCTTCATCTTAAGTCAAATAATAATAATAATAATAATAATAATTTTTTTAGCGCCTTTCCTCAAACTTAGCCCCTATGAGCAAGAGACAAATCCAGCCTTCCCCAACCTGGTGCCCTCCAGATGTTTTGGGCTGCGTCAGCCCTCGGCCAATATGACCACGGCATCTACTCGAGCATGTCCATGCTGGCTGGAGGCTGATGGCAATTTTCGTCCAAAAGAAATGCAGAGCACACCAGGTTGTGGAAGTCTGGACACACAACAACGCCCAAAACAGAATCTTTGCTTCCTCAAGACTGGTGACTAGTGACCATTTCCCAAACAGCGTTGAAAGTAGCAGAAAAGAGCCGGCGTCATTTCCTGGGGGGTTCCTTTGTCCTGCTATAACAACTTCGGTCGAGCAGGTTTTTGAAATGACCAGAAGCCTGCAGAACCTCTTTGACCAGGATCAGCTTAAACTTCATGCAGCCTGCAGGGGCTGCTCAGAGTTGGGAGTCCAGCAACATCTGGAGGGAAACAGATGTCCCTTATCCCTGCACTCACTTCAGAGTGCATGTTTTAATGCTGCTTTATTTGCGGGGGGGACTCCATGGAGGATAAAGCTGTCGATGACTATTAGCTGCTGTGTTCTACCTCCACTGTTGGAAGCAGTGAGCGCAGGTGAGGAGAGTTATTCCTGCGCTCAGGTTCTGCCTACGTGCTTCCCCAAAGAGGCACCTGGATGGCCACTGTGAGGGCAGGAGGCTGGACCAGATGGGCCCCCTTTGGCGTGATCCAGCAGGGCTCTTCTTATGTTCTTATGGAGCTTCCAGGTCCAGAGACAGTCTATCTAAATTATTAGGTTCTTTGGGGCATTTGGCTCTACTGTGAGAACAAAGAGGCCAGACTAGACGAGCCTTTGGGCCTGATCCATCTGCAGGGCTCTTCATACATTCTTATGCATATAGAAAACCAGTGCGCCGTGCTTTGTGATGTACCCCAGCCCCCCTTCACCTGCTGGTTTCATGTCACTAGGGAAGATTTCCTTAACTGGAACCTCCAAACCCAAGCGGCAGAAGCATCCACTTTGCATCCTTGGCATGTAATCCTGCGGGGCAGGGCTAGGAGGGACTCCGCTGCCAGTGTGGACAGTACTGAGCTAGACGAACCAATGGCCTGACCTGGAATAAGGCAGCTTCCTATGCTGCTATTTAACTCGGAACCATGAGGACTAGCACCTTGTCAAAAGAAGGGCCCTAGGTCACTGGCAGAGCACTTTGCATGCAGAAGGTTCCAGGTTCTGTCCCCAATGGCATCTCTGGGCAAGACTGGGAGAGACCCCTGCCTCAGACACTGGAGAGCCACTGCCAGTCAGTGTAGGCAATACTGAAGAGATGATTCTGTATAAGGCAGCCCCCCTGCATCCTGAAGTGGAACAGTCCAGGTGTGAAGCCTTTTGACTGCTCATCAGCGTCAGCCACCCCTTTCTGTTCTCTCTCTTTCTCTCTGCCTCATGCCCCCTCCCTCTCTTTGGGGTGATGTCCTTGCTGCCTTGTCCTCAAACCCCAAGTCCCCACCTGAAGCAGGTCATAAATATTGGGAGAGTTCTCTTTTTTTATTCTTTTTCTTCTTTTTTTGCGGGGCGGGGGGTGGAGAGGGAAGGAGCGGGGGTGGGGTGGGATAACTTAGCGAATTAGTACTGGAAACACAAAGCAATAATTTTTGTTACTGAGACGAGTCTGTATGTCCTTTTTTTAAAAAAAGAAGAAGCGAAAGTGCAGCCGCAATTTATTGGGTTTATTTTTATTCTCGAGTCTTCAGCCTTGGGGGGCTGCAGAGGGGGTGGGGGGGACACACACAGCCGTGCCTCCCCCCTCGGTACACGCGCTGAGCTGCTTCTCCGACCACGTCCCTTACCTGTGGCGCCACCAAGATCCGGAGTTTGCGACTCTCTTGGCAATAGCCCAGGTGTCGGGGGGTGGGAGGGCCTGTGATTTGGGGGGGGGGGAGCTACTGCTGCTGTGTCTGTTCTTTTTTTTTTTTTTAAGAGAAAAAAAATAAAGCTGTGGTTTTTATTAAGCCAGTTTTATTATACGTCAATGTTCTCTCTCCATACCTGTAACCCCTTTTTCCAGATTTTCAGTTTTAAATTCCTAATAAATTATTTGAAAACGGCTTTTGGCTTTGTTGGTGTGGTTTGGAAGTGGGCGAACGCTGCCATGGAAGTGTGCAGAGTTTGCATCTAGAAATCTCCCTGCAGGGAGAACGGGCTGCTGGGGTGTGGCTCAGTGGCAAAACATCTCCTCTGCATACAGAAAGTTCCCAGTTCGAATCCCAGCATCTCCAGGTAAACTCCTGCTTGAGATTCTGGAGAGCTGCTGCCAGTCAGTGTAAGCTCAATAGGCCAGTGGCCTACCTCAGCATAGGGCAGCTTCCTGTGTTTCTGATTGGAAAGGGCAATTGTTCAGTGGCGGAGTGCCTGCTGAAGGTCCCTGCTTCAATCTCTGGCACCTCCAGGTAGAGCTGGGAATAGATCTGAAACCTGGGAAAGCTGCTGCCAGCCAGTGTTGACATCACTGAACTAGACGAACCAACATGTTCCACTTTGTTCCTGAGCTTCTAGAAACCAGAAAGGATGAGGGGAAGGGCTGTGACAGAGCACCTGCCTCGCATGCAGAAGGCCCCAAGTTAAGTCCCCGGCAGCACCTTCAATGTCCCCTGTCTGAAGCCCTGGAGACCCACTGCCAGCCAGTGTAGGCAGCACTAAGCTAGCTGGATCAGTGATCTGACATGTAACAGGCAGCCTCGTTAAGTTCCTATGCTGTGGTGTGGTGGTGATGGTCCAATGACATTTGATATTTTCTACCTGAGACTCCAAAACCTGAAGAAAGCCAAGAAGCAGAAGAATCAGTCACAAAGTGGGAACTTGTGGGCCTCAGTTATCCTTGACCACTGGCCATGCTGGCTGGAGCTGATGGAAGTTGGAGGGCTGTGGTTTCCCAACTCCTGGGGCAGATCAAGGCCTCCATCTTTGACGATCAGCATATTTCAAAGCAGAAACACTGTATTAAAAGGCAAAACCCCACTTAATCCTCACAACAACCCTGTGGAGATGAGTGACTGGCTCCCAAGGTCACCCAGTGATTTGGGTGGGTGGGTGTTGCTGGTTGCTTTTCGTTTTGTTACGCATTTTCTGTCCTTGCTTTGTATTTTTATGTTGTGAACTGCCCTGTGGTTAGAGGGTGGTGCACCAGTTTAATAAATGAAAATATTCCGCCCCATTGAAATCAAGAGGCATTCATTTCAGCCTCCCCACAACAAACCCTTGAGCCAGCCTGCTCCTTCGCAAGTGCTGCTCTCCCAGGGCTTGGGGTCTGCAGATGGACTGGAACTGGATTGCTGCCAGTGTCCTGTTACGTCTTGGAAATCTGGGCAGCCGCCAATGTCCTGAGAGCAGGCCCTCCTGGCCACTCGAGCTGATGTGCTGTTTAGTACCGGGAAACGAGGACATTCTTGGAACTGAGGAATAGCCACGTGGTGGGTCTGCTGTTGACCCTAAGCTGGAGTGAGTTGCCCAATCGGAGGCGTTTTCAAAACAGCCGTTTCTCCTTCCCTTTTAGCCTGGCACAGCAGTGATGGGGGGGGGGCACCTGTTGATTTTCGCACAATCAATTTACGAATGATTTCCATTTGCACAGATGTCATTAGCCAGCAAAATGCAGTTTAAGTGCGCTCTCTCTCTCTCTCTCTCTCTCTCTCTCTCTCTGTGTGTGTGTGTGTGTGTAGTGCTTGCAAAGCACCCAAGCCATCTTGGGGTTGCTTTTGTAGCAGCCAAGGTCAATGAGAGCCAGCGTGGAATAGTGGTTAGTGCTGGACTAGGACCTGGGAGACACCAGAGCTCGGATCCTGACTTGGCCGTGAATCTCACTGGGTGACCTTGCGTCAGGCAGTCACTAACTCTAAAACCCACCCTACCTCACAGGGTTGTTTTGAGAATAGAAGGAGAACTCTGTAGGCCATCTTGAGCTCCCTGGATGAAAGGTGAGATAGACATGGAATTAACGAACAGATAAAATCTGTGATTCTGAAAATAAATTCTCAGATTGATGGCAGCCTATTTCATGTGGCCATGTATACTTGAAATGATTTTGCTGTGTTGGCGGTCGGATCCACAATATCATTTCTTAAGTGGCATGAATGGAAAAGTTCAAGAGGCCCCAAAGGTTTGTGGTAGAGTACATTTCTATCCATTCATTCATTCATTCATTCATTCAATGGATATGCCACCCTTCTTTCCAAAGGAGTCCAGCGTGGCAAACACAGCCATAGTAAAACATATTTTTTTAAAAAAATAGAGCATTCTTAAAACATTCTTGAAAACAGTTTAAAACACTTCATTCCATGATCTCAGAGTTTCCAGAAACAGTGCATATCAGCCATCAAATGCCTGGGCAAAAAGATGTTTTCAAATCCATCCTGAATGTCAGTAATGAGACAGGCATGCAGACCTCACCAAAGAGAGCGTTCCAGAACCGGGGAACCACCACCGAAAAGGCCCCGTCACAGGTCAGTGCCAACTGGGCAGCTCCTGGTGGCATCAAGGCCTTGCTTTTTGATTGTAGGTTCCAAGACTGTGGTTAATGGTTGAACATGTGTACCCACTTGTAATGAGGCCTTGGAGAGACTGAACAGACCATCCTTCTCTAGCCACCCAGAGTGGTTGGGGCAACCCAGTCAGATGGGCAGGGTACAAATAATAAAATGATGATGATCATTGCCTGACACCATCAGTGCCTTCCATCAGTTGGGAGGGCTCTCTTGTTCAATCCTGGCACCTCCACTTGGGTTAGGAAAAAACTGGGGGAGGCTAGCAGGGGCAACCTGGTCCTTATAGTTCTAAAACAGACAACCTGGGGCAGGAGGAATTTGGGATTTGCTTTGCCCGTTGCCCGGGAATCCTAATTTAAGCTGTTTTGCATCCAGCAACTGTTCTCCTTTGCTATTCCTTCCAAGATTAGTCGTGGCTGCAAAAACTGGCTATGTGGGTTGAGTCCCAGCTTGAATTAAGTGGTGAATAGAATAGAATAGAATAGAATAGAATAGAATAGAATAGAATAGAATTTATTATTTATACACGGCCCATCTGGCTGGGTTTCCCCAGCCACTCTGGGCAGCTTCCAACAAAACATTAAAATACAGTAGTCTGTTAAACATTAAAAGCTTCCCTAAAGAGGGCTGCCTTCAGATGTCTTCTAAAAATTTGGTAGTTGTTCTTCTCTTTGACAACTGGTGGGAGGGCGTTCCACAGGGTGGGTGCCACTACTGAGAAGGCCCTCTGACTGGTTCCCTGTAACTTGGCTTCTCGCAGTGAGGGAACCGCCAGAAGGTCCTCGGCGCTGGACCTCAGCATCCAGGCGGAATAATGGGGGTGGAGACGCTCCTTCAGGTATACTGGACCGAGGCCGTTTAGGGCTTTAAAGGTCAGCACCAACACTTTGAATGGTGCTCGGAAACGTACTGGGAGCCAATGTAGGTCTTTCAAGACCGGTGTTATGTGGTCTCGGCGGCCGCTCCCAGTCTCCAGTCTAGCTGCCGCATTCTGGATTAACTGTAGTTTCTGGGTCACCTTCAAAGGTAGCCCCACGTAGAGCACAGGGTGGTGGAAAAACCACCAGGGTTATGTTTTTAAAAGGGTGTTTGTGAAACGAGATTCCTCTCTAGCGAAGGCTAAGCTGCGTATTGGAAAGGGAAAGGGCTGCTTTTCCATTGGCCTTGCTTGACACTCAAGCCACCACCCCGGTCAACCTCTAATGGAAGAAGGATGCTTATAGAAAGGTAAACAGGGCACTCTTATCTCGGATCCAGGTGCCAAGGGGAGGGCAGGGTATAAAGATGCAGGGAAGTGAAGGACGGCCACTAGGACTTGGACGCCTGACGAAATGAACCTCGCCCTCCTCCTAGTTCTCCTGGCATCAGGTGAGTTGCAACCCAGTGAAGTTGCGAATTCCTTGCTTTGCAGATGCATTCTGATCGGCCTGGAAAGATGGGGTTTTTAGGGGTTTGGTTTTTTTTTTGCTATTTGGGTGGTTCAAAAAACTTGTGGATTTAGAGGAAACCATCTGTATGTCTGGTCCAGACAATGGGTGCCTTTAAAAAGCAAAAAAAGTCGTCTTGGTGGCTCCTTCCTCCTTTCACTTTGGAACTCCCCATTTTTTGCAAGTGAAATATTGCAATCACAAGTATTTGGAGTGTAAACTGCTGTGTGTGATTTAATCTCTGTAATATTGCACAAGCCCCTTCATGGGGGAAATTTCTAAAATGTTTTTGAGGTGGTCTGGAAGACAGTTTTCTTGCTTTTCTTTGAAATCATTGGATACAATTTGCCCCGAGCAAGAGTTTTATAATATTTAAAGCACCCTAGCCTATGAATGGTGTTCTGTGTACCTCTTGAAGCATGGGTGTATCCAGGATTTATGTTGGGGGGGGGAGGACTTTTGTTGGGGGTGCAGAATCTGCGATGCGATTGGTCAGTTAGTTATTTTTATTGTTTTACTTGTTTTAGGGGTGCAGCGGCACTCCATGTACCCAACCCTCTGCTATGCCCATGCTCTAAAGTCTTCTCTTTTGTTCCAGCATTGCATGCCTTCCCTTCTTGCTTGGCCAGCTGGGAAGCACAACTCTAGCCTGGTAATCCCCAGACTTGCACGCTGGGGGCAGTTGAAGCAAAGTGATGCATTAAATCTGCCAAAGAGCTCCTAGAAGCCCAAACTGTAAGCCACATCTCTGTATGAGTTCCTGCTCCAGCCCTCTCTCTTTCCAGTGAGTCTCTACCTTGAGCAGGCTTCCTCAACCTCGGCCCTCCAGATGTTTTGAGACTACAATTCCCATCATCCCTGACCACTGGTCCTGCTAGCTAGGGATCATGGGAGTTGTAGGCCAAAAAAACATCTGGAAGGCCAAGGTTGAGGAAGCCTGGCCTTGAGCATGGCTGGGCCCTTCCATTGCACCTGCTGCACAAGCTCAGCAGAGTCCTGTGCTTTTACAAGGAGTATGCCTGTCGCAACTCTGCATGTCCAGTGCAACCCTGCATGCCCAGGGTTCAGGCAGGAATATTTAGTTTGTTTCTGGCATTGTTCATGGCTTGGACAGCTCAGTCAGTAGAGCAGAAGACCCTTAGCTTCAAGGTGGTGAGTTCAAGCCACTGGAACAATAAATACATTTTAAAGAGCAAAGGAACTGAAATAAATACATTTTAAAGAGCAAAGGAATTGAAATGCGATAATGTGTAAAACGTGCAGGGGTAATCAAGGCAATAATAAAAGAATCAATTGAACAATGATTAAATTATAACAACACAACAAGACGGAAGAAGTAAAAAAAAATTGAGATCACACATGGGTGAAGGGGAACGGGTATAGGGGAATTTGAAATATTATTTATAATATAAAAGCTTTAACATAAAATTTATAACTGTGTTGTATTTGTACACAGCAAAGAGAAGTTTAGAGTAATTAGGTATACTTTAATTTAGTTAATTATGCAATAGGCTTATGTTAGAAAATGAATATGGATGTTGAATTTAATGTTTGTAATTTTTCTTTTTTTGGTTTTGGAAATAATAAAAAATAAAAAAATAAACAAGGAACTGAAATGCAAAGTTAAACATACAGCCATTGAAAAGGTGGGAATAACTACCTAAATCCAAAGAAAGATACGTACTCACAGGAGCTTTCGAAAGGCTCTCTGATCATGCATCGTCCTCTGAGAAGTTTTTGTGTGAGTGTGTGTCGCTTTGTTTCCTAGCGGGCACTGCCCATGCTGCCGTCCTCCGGAACCTGTGGCAATTCCGTAACATGATCAAATGCACCATGCCATCCAGTGACCCCCTCAGGGATTACAACAACTACGGCTGCTACTGCGGCTTGGGGGGCAGCGGGACGCCAATTGATGCCCTGGACACGTAAGCAGCCATCTTTCTTAAAGCACTCAAACCCTCTGCTCGGCATTGTGTATTCTCATTGTGATTTTGAGATGAGGTAGGTCCCGCTGGAGCAAACGTCCCCAACTGTCTGGCTTCCAAATGTTTTGGACTACAACTCCCATCAGGCCTGGCCAGCGCAGCACGATGGGAGTTGTAGTCAAAGCACCTGAAAGGCATTCAGTTGCAGAAGGCCATTTTCTGGGAAGAACCTGCCTTGCCACTCACTCACTCTTTTTTAAAAATATATGTATATATTGATGCTCTACAGGCTTATACATTTCACTAATTTTACGACCATTTTAACGTTTCAAAACTTGACTTCCTTCCCCGCCTCTTTCTGTAGTTCTTTAAATTTATTTTTAATATCTTCTGCATATCTGAAATTAACTCAATTTGCTCATTTATTTATCTGCTTCAAATATATACACTTATAAAACTGCAGGTGATTACAATAATCCTGCCAATGTTCTTATCTGTTTACAATTTATCTGCAAATATTCAGCAAACCATTTCCATTCTTTTATAAAAAGTCTGTTGTCTTGACTTCTTAATTCTTCCGGATGCCTTGCCACTCTCTGGATTAGGTAGAGAGCGTGGTCTCTTCCAGCAAGAAAGCTTTCTGAATTTGTGTCAGGCGCCGGGAGAACCGTTCTGAATCTTTTTCTTTTTCTTTCTGCTTCCTGAGCAGCTGCTGCCAAATCCACGACAAATGCTATTCCGCAGCCAAGAAGCACCCGGACTGCACTTTCATCCTGGACAATCCTTACACAAAGACCTACTCCTACACCTGCTCTGGCACCGAAATCACCTGTACAGGTAAATGCACTTCATATGCCATGCTTAGCAGAGGCTCTGGCACAGTTGGTAATGCACATGCTTTCTTCCCCGCAAGTGGAACAGATTCTCTTTCACTTGAGGTTTTGAAACATAGCTTGGATGGCCACTTCTCAGGGATTCTTCAGATACAATTCCTGCATTGTAGAAGACCCCTGGGGTCCCTTCTACCAACTCTACAATTCTATGATTCTATAACCCTGGATCTGGTCCCAGGCTTGTGCTGTCAGACCCCCCTTTCCCCAAGCTGGTGCCCTCCAGACATGGCTGAACTACAACTCCCATCATGCCTGCTCTGGCTAATGGGAGTTGGAATCCAGCAACACCTGGAAGGCCCGTTTCCTAATGCCTGGTATAGTTAAAGGTTTATGCCAGGGCTTCTCAAACTTGGGTCTCCAGCTGCTTATGGACTACAGTTCCCATCGTCCCTGGCCACTGGTCCTGCTAGCCAGGGATGATGGGAGTTGTAGTCCAAAAACCAGTTGGAGACCCAAGTTTGGGAAACTCTGGTTTATTTGTATGATTACAAATCAGATGTGGTTGGAAAATATGTGAGGACGATACAGAGACACTGGTGTGCGAGCGTTTAGGTCAACTGGATCTGCCTTACAAGGGGGGTGAGCGAATGAGGGCAATTTCAGGCTGAAGGGTTTGTGTGGATTAGTGGAACCACTGTTGAAGATCCAGGACACCTAAAAGGAAGCAGCTCTTTGTGCAACACATAGTTAATCTATGGAACTCCCTCCTGCAGGAGACAATAACAGCCACCAACCTAGACAGCTTTAAAACATGCAAATTCATGGAGGAGGCTATAAATGGCTATTAGCTCTATTGGCTATGCTCTGCCTTCACAGTTAGAGACAGTGATGCTTCTGGCCACTGTGAGAGCAGGATAGTGGACCAGATGGGCCATTGGTCTGATTCAGCAGGCTTTTCTTAAGTTCTCGTTCATTCATTCATTCATTCATTCAATTTATATTCTGCACTTCCTCCCAAAGGAGCCCAATAGCAAACACATCCATCCATTCTCTCTCCCAAACATGGGCATAGCCAGAATTTATTTCAGGGGGAACGATGCAATTGGTCAATTAGTTAAGTATTTTTATTTATTTGATTGGGGGGGGGCAGCTGCTCCCTCTGCACTCTGCTGGCTTTGCCCATGCTTCCAAACATTCTAAAAACAGTTTAAAACATTTTCTCATCCAGTGATCTCTCGGTTGCCAGGAACAGTATTCTTCAACCAACCAGCAGAGGACAGGGATGTTTTTAAATTCCCCTTGAAAGTCAGTAACGAGGGAGGCAGGTGCATCCTCACCAGAGGGAGGGCATTCCACAAACATGGAGCCACCACTGAAAAGGCCCTGTCAGGGGGGAGGGGGGTCAGCAACCACTCATGGCAGAGGCACCGCCACCAAGACCTCACCTGCTGATGGTTGTTATCAGGGAAGGGACCTGTTTGGTTAACTTGCGTCCCAAGACACTTACGACGTTATATGCTTGTGCTACCACTTTGAATCAAACTCAGAAGTCCCCTGGTAACTGACCTAAACTCTGGCAGTTTCAAAGGTATTTGGGGACTGTGTCCCCAGGAGGTCGTGGGCAGTATTTACTTTCCTAAAAGGGAGAGGGTGGGTTACCTGGGCTCAAGCGCACCTGAACTCCTGATTCCCCTGTCTTCTCCCAAATCTTCTTTCTCCAGAAAAGAATAACGAGTGTGAGGCTTTCATCTGTAATTGTGACCGCAGTGCCGCCATCTGCTTTGCGGGGGTTCCATACAACAAGGATTACAAGAACCTGGATACCAGCAAATTCTGCAAGTGATGAACTGGCAACCCAGTTCAAAAGGCCCTTTGCAAGCTCCTCAAGCAGGGGAGCTATCTGAGACCCGGCTTAAAAGAAAGCTTCGTGCTGCGTTTGTTTGCTGCTGCAAATTTAGGAGGATTGTTTCATGTGATTTTTTATGAAGGTGTGCTGGTGGGTGGGTGATTCCCTGAAATCCTTTAACTGTGCAAATAATAAATGAATGAATGAACGAACAAACAAACTGGGGCAGGGTGTGTTTTTTTGTGAATGGAGTCTTCTACGACAAGGGGGCTCCTGCCTCCACCCTGAGTAATAAAATAATTCCATGCTAGGGGTTATCCTTAGGAAAGGAATTGAAAATAAAACTGCTGTTATGAAAGGGTTGTCCTACAAATCTATGTTGCAGCTGCAGTTCTGGGTGCCTCGCCTCAAAAAGGATATAGTAGAGTTGGAAAAGGTTTAGAAAAAGGAAATGCAAATGATGAAGGGGATTGACTGCCCTGTGAAGAAAAGCTGTAGCATTAGAGGCTTATAGACTCATAGGTAAAGGTAAAGGTACCCCTGACCATTAGGTCCAGTCACGGACGACTCTCGGGTTGTGCACTCATCTCGCTCTATAGGCCGAGGGAGCAGGTGTTTGTCCACAGACAGCTTCCGGGTCGTGTGGCCAGCATGACTAAGCCATTTCTTTGCAAACCAGAGCAGCACACAGAAATGCTGTTTACCTTCCCGCCAGAGTGGTACCTATTTATCTACTTGCACTTTGACGTGCTTTTGAACTGCTAGGTGGGCAGGAGCAGGGACCGAGCAACGGGAGCTCACCCTGTCGTGGGGATTCGAACTGCCGACCTTCCGGTTGGCAAGCCCTAGGCTTTGTGGTTTAGACCACAGTGCCACCCGCGTCCCTTTAGACTCATAGAATTGCTTTAAAAGAAGATTGGACAAATTCACGGAGGAGAGGGATATCAGTAGCTACTAGCTGTGATGGGTGTGCTCAGGCTCCAAGGTTGGAGACAGCACCGCTCCTGAATCCTAGTTGCCAGAAACTACAGGAAATGAGTGTGTTCAGGTGTTCCAGTCCTGCTTGCTGGTTTCCCATGGAGGCACCTGGTTGGAAATTAAAATACTTTATTGTCACTTGTACAACTTGTATACAGTGAGATTACACGAGCACCCCCCACTCAGCTCTCTTAGTCTTAATTCCCCTCGTTTACTGACGCACACCCACCAAACCCGAAAGTCAGTTGCCCTGTTGTTATCTTTTCATTCAGCAGCCTAACAGCCCACGACAGAAGCTGTTAATCCTACTTCTATATCTTCTGCCTGAGGGCAGGAGATCAAGAAAGTGCTGGCCAGGGTGTGAATCATCCCTGAGAATTTCCGTCACTCTCCTGAGGCAACATTCTTCAGCTATTTCATGCAGCAGATTCACGGGCAGCCCATAATATCTTGTGCTGTATTCATCACCCTCTGTAGGCACTTCCTATCAGATGATGTCAAACCAGCGTATCACACCGTGATGCAGTATGAAAAGGACACTTTCTATTGTTGACCGGTAGAAGGAGATCATCAAATGTTGACTGACATCGTTCTTCCGCAATACAGTGGTACCTCGGGTTACATATGTTTCAGGTTACATACGCTTCAGGATACAGACTTTGCTAACCCAGAAATAGTACCTCGGGTTAAGAACTTTGCTTCAGGATGAGAACAGAAATCGTGTGGTGGCAGCGGGAGGCCCCATTAGCTAAAGTGGTGCTTCAGGTTAAGAACAGTTTCAGGTTAAGAACGGACCTCTGGAACAAATTAAGTACTTAACCCGAGGTACTACTGTACTCTGAGGAAATGGAGTCTCTGTTGGGCTTTCTTAACCATCCTGGCCACTGTAAGAACAGTATGCTGCACTAGAAATGCCATTGGCCTGATCCAGCAGACTCTTCTTATGTTTGTGTGGAGCATCAAAGCCTGTTTCCTCTTTTCTGCATAAGAGGAAAGGCACACCCATTGCCTTGACACAGATGCCTTTTCCAACTCCTGCAGAGGGATGCCAGCCTGCCCTGCTGCCACAGAGAGGACAGGAAGGGTCAGAGTGAAGTGGGAGAGCGTCTGCTCTGAATCCAGAAGGCCTCAGGTTTAGCCAAAATGGCATCTCCAGGTAGGACTGTAGATCTGAAAACCCGGCAAGTTTGAACCTGGGACCCTCCTGATCTGCCATGGAGCCAGGACCCTTTCTCTGTCTCAGTAAGCCGCCTTAACCCAGTCACACCACAGTCCATCTAGCTCAGTACTGTAAACACTGACTGGCAGCGGCTTTCCAGGGTTTCAGGCAAGGGACATTCCCGGCCCTATCTAGAGATGCTGCTGGGGGCTGCGCTTGGGACCGTCGTGGAAGGCAGATGCTCCGCCGCTGAGTTACAGCCCTTCCCCTAAAAATAAATGGGAGATTCTAGTCCTCATGGTTCTAAAAAAGACACAGCTGAATTAAATAAGCCTGACTCGGTATAAGTCGGCTGCCTGTTACTCCATCTGGCTGAGCACTGCAGACACTGGCTGGCAGCAGCTCTCCAAGTCCAGGGTTTCACAGAATCATAGAATTGTAGAGTTGGAAGGGAACCCCAGGGGTCATCTAGTCCAACCCCCTGCAATGCAGGAATCTTAGCTAAAGCATCCATGACAGGTGGCCATCCAACCTCAGCTTAAAAATCTCCAATGAAGGAGAATCCACAACCTTCCAAAGGAGACCGTTCCACTGCTGAACAGCTCTTCCTGATGTTTAGTCGGAATCTCCTTTCTTGTAACTTGAAGCCATTGGTTCGAATCCTACCTTCCGGAGCAGGAAAAAACAAACTTGCTCCATCTTCCAAGCGACAGCATATTTGAAGATGGCTATCATATCTCCTCTCAGTGTCAGGCATGGGATAGTCCCAGCCTTATCTGTTAATAGGGACGCGGGTGGCACTGTGGGTTAAACCACAGAGCCTAGGACTTGCCGATCAGAAGGTTGGCAGTTCGAATCCCCACGACGGGGTGAGCTCCCGTTGCTCGGTCCCTGCTCCTGCCAACCTAGCAGTTCGAAAGCACATCAAAGTGCAAGTAGATAAATAGGTACCGCTCTGGCGGGAAGGTATACAGCGTTTCCGTGTGCTGCTCTGGTTCACCAGAAGCGGCTTAGTCCTGCTGGCCACATGACCTGGAAGCTGTACGTCGGCAATAAAGTGAGATGAGCGCTGCAACCCCAGAGTCGTCCGCGACTGGACCTAATGGTCAGGGGTCCCTTTACCTTTACCTTTCATATCTCCTCACAGTTTCAGGCATGGGATAGTCCCAGCCTTATCTGTTAATGCCATTCAACCTACAGCGAGACGGCCTCGGAGCACACGCAGAGTGCATTTTGCCTCCTCTCCACCGATTGCAAAAACGGAGAAAGGGGCGGGGCGCAGGATCAGTCCACACATACAACCCCCAGGGGCGCTTTTGCGGCTGCATTCCCGGAGCCCCGGCACCTCTCCGTCTGGAGAAAAGAGAGGGTCGGGGTCATTGATTCTCCTCCCGGCCCCTTCCAACCTCCCCTGCCCTCGGGCCGGGGGGGCCTGATTTGCACGTGAGGAGGAGCGGACGGCAGGGAGAGCAGAGCCCCCCCCCCGCCCGCTCCTCCAGGTCTGTGTCACAATGTGGGGCGTCCCGACGGGGCAGGAGCAGCAGCCGTTGCTGGAGGAGGCGGAGAGGGCAGGACCGGGGCGGGCAGATGCAAGCCAGGCAGCGCCGCCCACCCATCAGCCGCCCACCAGGCACCAACCCAGGCAGCACACGTGGGGAAAAAGTAAGCCACGCCCCTCTCCTGGGAAAAGACCGATAAGCCACGCCCCTTGGGTTGCACAGGGCCCCGCCCACTTGCCAGGGTTTAAGCGGGGGCTGTGTGCAAGCCACGCCTCCTCGGAGCTGCTTTGAGTTTCAAGGAGCGCCACTCAGAACATTTTATTATTATTATTATTATTATTATTATTATTATTAAAAATTTGTTGCTCTCCCTTCAGCATCAGGTCCCAGGGTGCGTTGCAGCAATTTAAAATTAAATACAGTTTTTACAATGCTCAGCAGGGTTTCGCTATAGAATATTTTGTACCTGGAGCGTCTTGATTCTATTTTTTTTTTTTTTTTTTAATAAATTTTTATTAATTTTCCAAACATAAGATAAGAAAGCAAACAATACACAAAACACCGACATACAAACATATAAACATGTATAATTTCATAGCCATTTTTCATAAACCTTACTTCCGGACTTCCCCATACCTCCCCTTTTCTGCATCCTTGTTTTATATTTCTTCAGCAACTCCTCAATCAACTAATTATTCAGTTCAATTTCTTTAAGTTCTTCTAATATTATTAATTACAGCTGCAGTTCTCTGTTTCCCAACCCTTGACATTTTAACATTCCTGAATTTTACAACAAGTTCTAAGATAAACTTTAAATTTCTTCCAATCTTCTTCCACTGTCTCTTTCCCTGGTCACGGATTCTGCCAGTCAATTCGGCCAGTCCCATATAGTCGATCACCTTCGGTCTGCCATTCTTCCAGTGTGGGTAGTTGTTGTGTCTTCCAATACTTTGCTAGAAGAATCCTTGCTGCTGTTGTCGCATACATAAAAACGTCCTGTCCTTCCTTCTCACCAATTGGCCGACAATGCCCAAGAGAAAAGCCTCTGGTTTTTAGGGAAGGTCCATTTAAGAACCTTCTTAATTTCATTATAGATCATTTCCAAAAAGCTTTTATCCTCGGGCAGGTCCACCAAAGGTGATAAAAGTACCTTCAGTCTCATTACATTTCCAACATTTGTTATTGGGCAGATGATAAATTTTTGCAAGCTTGACTGGGGTCATGTACCACCTATACATCATTTTCATAATGTTTTCTCTTAAGGCGTTACATGCCGTAAATTTAATACCGGTGGTCCACAACTGTTCCCAGTCAGCAAACATAATGTTATGACCGATATCTTGTGCCCATTTTATCATAGCTGATTTCACCGTTTCATCGTCACTCCTTTTTCTTGTATTGTTGTTTCTACTGTTCCTTTCTGCAAGTCCTCCTGATATCTCTCCAGAAACTGTTCTTTATCTTGAACTGTTCTTATTTTAACCTTCCTTCCTTTGAAAGTAAAAGACAATCCTTGTGGAAACTCCCACCTGAAGGGTATGATATTTTTCTTCAGCAGGTAGACCAAATCTTTATAGAAGGCTCTCACCTCCAAAATATATTTAGGGATATCTTTAAAAATTTGTACTTGACTATTTTCAATCTCCAATGCCTTTTGATAATGCGAATTCAATATCTTATCTCTTTCTCCTTTGGATCTCAATGTGATCAAACAATCCCTTGGCTTCTACCCTGCCTCCTGCCGAGCCGGAAAGCTGTTGTTATTTCAAGTTCTTCTTCTTGCAGCTCCTCTTGCCAGAATTCCATAAAGTTCTGTGTAAGAAAATCCACAAGGCTGTCTCCCTCACTCTGGGAACCAATCTCAGTTTCAAATTTCTCTTTTCTCTGTAGTTCCAACAAAGATAGAGCTGCATCATGTTCATTCACTTTTTTGTAATCGGCACAAGCTCCTGCCTTGTCTCCTCCGCAGTATTTTTGCACTTTCAGCAATCTTTCGTGTTTCAGAACTTTCTTGAATTAGTTTATTAATAGATTCTGTATTAGATGTTACACTTGCAGTATTCAAGTCCAATCTTGCTGTCAGTTCTGTCAATTTTTTTGAATTTTCCGTAGATAACTTTGTCAGTGCTTCTAAAGATTGGTTTATTTTGAGCAGTGCCTGTGTCATTGAATCCATAGATGCTGTTGCCACTTTTCCTGTGCAGCTGGTGGTATGCTGGGTATTGAGGCCCTTTTCTTTTGTGTCTGTTTTGCTTTGGATCTAGTTGTTATCTCTTCTGCTGGGCCACTCATATCCTCAAGGTCGTTCTCACAGGAGAAACTTGCAAGTGGAAAATCCCACTGTTTCTTTTTCACTGTAACAGTTTCTCTTTATACCCTCTAGAGGGAGCATTTAATTGTATCCAAGTGAAAAGAGAAAAAACAAGGAAGCACAGAGCAATCAACAAAAAATCCAAGAGTCCACAGTAAAAGTTTCTGTCGCACTTTTTTCAGTAAATCACAAGTTCAACAAAGTAATTCCATTAAAGTCCCGTAACTTTGTCTCAGACAAGACCCCAACTTTGTATCCAGTCTAAACTGACAGTTCGCTTTGCCGGTGCCTTACTCAGGCAGTCCGTCCTGGGGTTTGGCAATGGAAGATGTTTTTTTTTCCTCATTTAATTTCAAGCAGGTTAACAGTGTCCAATTTTCTTCCCCCCCTCTCCTGCTTACTGGGGGGGAGGTTTAAGTCAAATGTCAGGTTTGACAGCTTAAAGGTAATTTTCTTTCAAATGCAGCTTTACTCTTTCGTTGCTTTACTTGCCATGCAGATCGGGAGGCAGACTTCCTTAATTTATGCCTTTCCCGTTTTCAGCCAAATTTCAAGATTTAAATTTAAATGTCCCTTTCAGTCCCTCCGTCTTACTCACGGGCTTTAGAGTCGAATTTCTGGTTCAGGAAGGAATCGGCGCTCTCCGCTCATGGCGACGCGGCTTCACTCCACGGGCTGGGTTGCGACTCTCAGCACCGCGCTCCCCCCGATGCCGCTCCGTAGCCTTTAAAAAGGCTCTTTCACAGTACCGGGGCGCAAAGGTGCCCACCGAGTCTCCTTGTTCACAGGCTTCCGCGCCTGTGATTTTAGGGGTCCCCCGCTCGCCGTAGCAGGTCAGACCCGAACTCGCGGAGCAGTCCTCCTCCGGAGCTCGAAGGGAGGACCGCCATTAAGCGCTGGCGCCGACCGGAAGTGCTGGAGCGTCTTGATTCTAGATAATGGCTTCTGTGGCCTTATCTGGACATTTTTATTTTATCCTGCAATGGGTTGAGCTAGATGACCCTCTGGGTCTCTTCCAACTCTACGATTCTGCAATTTGGCAAACCTTTGCTCCGTGGGCGGAATAGATTTGGGTTACTGGTTTTTTTTGGGGGGGTGCTCTCAGTGGGCCGAGAGGTACTTTCCCACCACCATCATTGCTTCAGTGCGCTACCCTGGGATGTCAGAAGTTCAGAAGCTGCTCCCCAGACTTGGTTGGACTACAACTCCCATCAGCCTCCAGCATCATAACACCACGTGAGCTGATGGGAGTTGTAGTGCAAAGCATCTGGAAGCTGCTAGGGGGTAAGTCCAATTTGCCGTGGCCAGATTGCAAAAGGTATTGGACCCTTTTAAACGCAGACTGGTGGTCCTGAGGGGTTTTGGCAGAGTGACAACAGACCTGAGGAGATGATTCATCTCAATGTGGCTGGCCTGGCCAGGGGGTGGGGTGCTGATTTATTTATTTATTTGGGGGTTTGGGATTTAGAGAAAAAGCAATAAAGAGGCGACAGGATATAGAAGTGTATTGAATTATGCATGGCGTTGAGGAAGGAGATAGAGAAAAGCATTTAGAGAAATGCTAGAACTTGATGGCTATCGGATGAAGCTGAATGTTGCAAGATTCAGGACAGTGCACAGTTGAGCTATGGAACTCACTGCTACAGGAGCAGTGGTGGCCAAAAGCTTAAAGGTAAAGGGACCCCTGACCATTAGGTCCAGTCGCGGACAACTCTGGGGTTGCGGCGCTCATCTCGCTTTATTAGCCGAGGGAGCCGACGTACAGCTTCCGGGTCATGTGGCCAGCATGACTATGCTGCTTCTGGTGAACCAGAGCAGCGCATGGAAACGCCGTTTACCTTCCTGCCGGAGTGGTACCTATTTATCTACTTGCACTTTGACGTGCTTTCAAACTGCTAGGTGGGCAGGAGCAGGGACCGAGCAACGGGAACTCACCCCATCGCGGAGATTCAAACCACCGACCTTCTGATCAGCAAGTCCTAGGCTCTATGGTTTAACCCATAGCGCCACCCGCGTTGGGTGGCTTTAAAAGAGAGTATGGGACAAACTCGTGGAGGGGGATTTGTGAGTCGCATTATCTTGCCCAAGGCAACTCAGAGCAACTTACAACCAGAAAACCTAGCCAGTTTGCATTGCTTGAAGTTCATACTGGTTTTCATTCAGCAATCATACTTCCTTTGCACCTGTTACATTGCCCCATTGATCCTCACCCCAGCGAAACACTCAGACAGCCACTAGCCAATAATCAGAGCTTTGCGCTAAATGGGATCATAGCTCAGTGGGTAGGCTCTCCATCTCAGGGTTGTGGGTTCAAGCCCCACACTGGGCATTGAAGGGGGTTGGACTAGATGACTCTCACGGTCCCTTCCAACGCTATGATGCAACAGGTTTCCGTTTTTCCTCTGCCTGAACTCTTGGCGTTCTGCCTCCTCCTCCTCCTCCTCCTTTTTTGGCCGAGTGCAGGATGGAGATCCTGGACGAGTTTGACAACGAGTGCCCGCTCCTCATCTCCTTCTGTGAGCGGATCTCCCCCCAGGACTTTGACAGCCAGGCTGTGAGCTACACCCAGAAATCCCTGCAGGACCTTTTTGCCCAGATGGAACAGAACCCGGGAATCTGCGAGCGGGTGGTGAGGAAGAGGAAGCAAGCTGAGAACGAGGGAGCCAGCTTGGCCCAATATCTGAAGGTGAGTGGAAGAAGGGATTCTCTAGGGGACCCTGGAAGGGAGTTATCACATGACCTGGCCAGGGCAGGGGGCAGAGAGCATCCCAGCCTGCTCCTGGCCCTTCAACTGCAGCGATCTGCAAGGAAAGCTTTTTATGGAGACAAAACATACCTGTTCGCATCTTCAGAAGCTGCTGCTGTGCATACAAAGGAGCAAAGTTGGCAGTCTTAGGCTAGTAAACCTACCCTCATGCCTCAGGGTAAAACATCTACCCTAATTTTGCAAGGTGCCCCTTTTATTGTGCATTCATGGTGATCTGTGCTCATGATCGTATTGAGGCGGTTATACACAATCCCATTTTCAATACGGTTTTCACCTGTAGAAGTTTCATTCCCCCACCCATCAGTATAATATTTATTTATTACAGTGGTGCCTCAGGTTACATACACTTCAGGTTACATACGCTTCAGGTTACAGACTCCACTAACCCAGAAATAGTACCTCAGGTTAAGAACTTTGCTTCAGGATGAGAACAGAAATTGTGCAGCGGCGGCGTAGCGGCAGCGGAAGGCCTCATTAGCTAAAGTGGTGTCTCAGGTTAAGAACAGTTTCAGGTTAAGAACGGACCTCCAGAATGAATTAAGTTCTTAACCCGAGGTACCACTGTACATCCAACAACTTCCCTTCTTCTCCTTATATGGTTCCTTATGAACTGCTTGTTCTATTTCCTCCATTTGGTTTGGTTTCCCCCTCTCTATTATATCTTAATCTAAATTATACTGTTGAATTTACAGTAATCCTGCTGGGTGTGACGTTGAGCCAGTCAAACTGCCTCTCGGCCTAACCCACCTCGCAGGGTTGTGGGAATTCAGTGAGGAGAGGCAGAGCCTTCCTTGAGTTCCTTGGAGGAAAGCAGGTGGGATGTACATCCAATAACTACAACATGTAAATGAAATGAATATATGAAACTATTTCCCTGTCAATAGAAATCTAGCACACCAGGGAGAGGGTTGGCCAGAACCCCCTCCCTGATGCGCTAATTTTCTTACTGCAGAGAGTTTCCTTTCTCAACACGTTTCAGAACGGAACTAACATCACCTTCCCATCTCAAGGAGCGCAGTCCGCTGTGTTACTGGGTCTCACCGCCTCAGGCAGGCAGCTATTTCCAGGCTCACAAAACCTGCACACCTTCCAAGCTTTCCCGTTCTGCACTCTTTTCCAGGCCAAGTTCTTTTCCATGCTTCAGGGAGACGTGAACAACAGCAACTCGCTGGGGGAAATGGAAATGGAGGAAAAGGTGGAGCAACTGAAACACGAGATGGAGAAGGTCAATGACTACGCTCGTGGTAAGTCTGGCTGTTTTCCTCGCTCTCTCCCTAGGCTCCTCCTGGATTTTGCCCCTCCAGCCAATTTCTCCCTGTGCTCCCCCCTGTTCATCCCACCCACCCAATCGGTTCCATCAATCCCTCTCACAGGGCCATCCAACCTCCAAGGAAGGAGAGTTCACCACCTTCTGGACTTGTCCGTTCAAACCGTTTTTGTGGTTTAAAACGAGCCTTGCTTCACAGCATGTTATTCTCTGAAGGAGAATTACCTGAAAATGATTTACAGATGGTATTTAACTCTGAGTAGACTTGCTAAAATGTATACTGTTGGGTTGAAATCACGACAGACGAATGGTGGGTGTCAAAGGAGAGACGTCTGCCCGGGGCAAGTCCCGGGAACTCTCTTTTATTGAATATTACAAACATTGCCACAGGTGTGCTTGTGGCTGATTGGCTGATACAAACACAAAGCATCTTGTTGCTGATTGGTTAACATAGGTACAAGGCGGGCATTACATATTACATTAATCAGTGATAGTTCAAAAGACTGGGAGCGGAGCTGGAACTAGACAGGCATGAATCCTCCTAATTAAATTATAACTAAAGATTGATATTGAGAGAACATAACATGAAGGAATACAACAATCACGTTCCGTAAATGTGGTCAGCAATGCATTAAGAACAGGTCAGGATACACTGTTTCATGAACTCAATGGGAACTGTTCAGAACATTCTCAGACTTATGTGCAGAGGCAAAAACTTCCCAGAATGTAAGAGAGAAAAGAAGGAAAAGTTCTAAAAGCAAGACTTTCCCACAATGCGACAGTTATGTGCAGTAAGAGAACTGCAGAAAGAGAACTTCACAGTGAGAGAACTGCAGAAAGAAAACTTCCCTTCATCTCCCCCTTTCTTTTCTTGTTTGCGAGGCATTCCAGGTGGATAAGGCAAAAATACTTCGGGATTAGTGGTGTGCCAGCGAATGCCCGAAATAAGCCTGCCAGGGTCGATGGGACAAAAGTACTTCAGGATACGTGGTTTGCCAGCGCATGCCCAAAATAAATCCGCCCACATCTCCCCTAAGGTTTACTGTTGGTGTTGCCATTTCGCAATGTAAGCAGCAAGGAGTTTACTGGGTGGTGGAGGGGGGGAGAGAAGCCGAGAGAAAAGACTCATGAGGCTGGGAACGCATTGGAGGAAACAGCATAGTAAAATAAAAATGGAAATTATGAAAATAGCATATTGAAAGAGACTACGAAGCCAAGTAAGGTTAGGCAACCAAGCAGTAAGCCACTGGGTGAAAGAATCCCAGAGGCCAGGAAATCCAACGTCCTGTTTAATGTGATGTGTAAGATTTTGCAAATGAGAGATTTGGCTTTGAATGGCTCTAGAATTGTCAGTAATATTGAAACAGCACATGTCATTCACTTGTTCACAGCCATAATGATGAAGCATCAGCAAGTAATCTATCGCGGCACGGTTCTGTAAAAGCCCATGCTGGAGTTCACTTTGCTCTTTATTCAGAAGGTGAAGGGCTTGAGAAGTATAGTTCAGCGCTTTTGCTGCAGAACAAGCTAGAGAATTAATATTTCTACTATTGCGTACAGCCAATCCAGGAACTCCTAAGAGAGAGACAGCTAAGGAGATATATTCAGATCTACTGGGAAGAGAAATTGAATCATCACAATCATTAGTTAATTCAATAGAGCGGCGATGTCGAGAAGGGGTCAAATGATGCTTTTTGGGTAATACAATAGACAAACGGCTTAAACAACAGGGTGTTCCATGGCTGATGTTTGCTGGAATGTAATTAAACGTATAGCCAGGACACGACCAGAAGATTTCCAGTTGAGGGGAAGTGCAAGCTTACTCATTAAATTGAATGGTAGCTTGTAATTGTTGTAGCAAGTCTCTTCCCCACAGATTGAGGTGGATTTTCAGCACACAGGGCTGGATGTAAGCAATGGTTTCAGAGCTGTCAGGCAGAGAAACAGGCAGCCACTGTACGCTTTTGGAAGAGGTTTTGGGGCCACCCACACCCCAGACAGCAGAGGCAGACTCAAGGGGCCACGTGGGGTCCCAGCAACTACTAGAAATTACAGAAACGTCTGCGCCTGTGTCAATCAAGCCTTCCAGCACAATACCATTGATTTTATACTTACGAAGAAGCTTCTTCTCACCAATCCTCTGGACTACAGCTAACAGCTGTGGAGGGAAAGAAGAGAGCTCGTGCAAATTAGTATCCATAATAGAAGCAGTAGGATGAGAAGGGAGCACCACCAAATGCGCCCAAGACTCACCCTTTTTAATTGCATGGGCATATGGCTCCAGAGTTGAACCATTATTGTGCCTACATAGTCAGGATCCAGAACTCCAGGAATAACCTGGATTCCTTCCTTTGCCGCAGAAAATTTGGGTAAAATTAAACCTGCGACTTTAGGAGGCAGGGGACCTGCCAATTGAGTGGGCATAAGCACAATTTCACCAGGTAGAACAGAATCTTTGGTCTCTTGATTGATCAAATCAATTGCAAATTCAGAGGGTGTGTTCTTTGAAAAGTTTGCAGCAGCAGAAATTAAAGGCGGAAATCTCTCTAATTTTCCTGGCCCGAGAGCGAGGCCGGGATGGAGTTTCCCGAACTCCTGCATTGATTAGCCCAATGATAGCCTTTGCCACATTTCGGGCATTTTTTAGAAGGTTTAGCCTTAGAGGCAGAACCATCCTTGTGTGCCCCCCCGCCTGGGGCTCTGCATTGCTTGGCAAAATGGCCTGGGCGCTTGCAATTAAAGCAGTTACCAGTAGGCTTAGTGGTTGCTTGGATTGCGCCGGCAAGCAAGGACATCGCATGGCTCTGGCTACCGACATCCGCACAAGCTTGAATCATATCGGCCAGTTCATATTTAGGGCGATGTATGATTGACTGCAAAGCTTTCTTGCAATCAGTGTTTGCGTTTTCAAAGGCCAATTTTTTCATCAATTCATTTTGAGCAGTGGTGTTATCAATCTGCCTAGTGACTGATTCTTTCAATCTATCTATAAACTGATGGTATGGCTCCGAATGCTGTTGCTTAATATTCACAAAGGAGCTCAGCGGTTGCCCAGAAACAGGGACTTTCCGAAAGGCGCGTTGTACACAGGTCGCGGTGCGAACAAAATGTACAGGTGTCAGTGTTGCTTGGGCAGTTATATCAGCAAACTGACCAGCACCATAAAGTTCATTGGCAGTATGTTGAGGATCAGACAGGGCTGAAGCGCTATGTTTAAATTCACTCTCAAACACCACATACTGAGCAGGGGACAAAAGCATGCGCATAAGGTCTTTCCAGTCCTGAGGTAGCATAATGTAACCAGTTGCTATGCCTTCTAGCATCCCTGTCACATAAGAGGATTTCAGACCAGAATCAGCAATGGCTTTCCTTAATTCCCTCATTACAGAATAAGGAAGCGATTCATAATAAATCTGCTGTTGAGCAGTTCCAGGGTTTGAATAAGAGATAGGGAAAGCAGACGGCATTTCACCTGGCCACTCAGACTCCTCCTCTAAGGACATGAGCCCTTTTGCCTTGCCAGTGAGAGCGCACCACGCACAGCTCCTATCGCGAAAACCGGGGGTGTGGCTGGCGGAGGCGGGTTGGGGGGGTGTATGCAGGCTGAGGTGGTGGGATGGGGGGGAGGATGCAGGCTGAGGAGGGTGAGAAGCAGGGAGGGAGTGGCTGGGAGAAGGAGGCACACGGTTCGGGTAGGGTGGGGGATTGTCTGCAATGGCCAGAAGAGGAGACGCCTGGGGTCCCAATTGGGGCCCCAATTTAGCAACGGCATCAGCACATTTCTGCCAAGTGAGCAGACACTGAATCGGAGCCCTAGGTTCTGCCAAAAGGGTCTTTCCGATCTTTTGCCAAGTCTCTACGTCCAAAGATCCAGCCTCTGGATAAAAGATGCATTGGCAATTTATCTCACATAGCAATTGTTCAATTTCTTTTAAGGAAATATTAACACCCACCTCCCGCTGTCTAACTAAATAAAGCAACTCTTTAGCATGCTCTTTCTGGAGCTTAGTCAAGTCCCCTCCCATACTCACGAAGTAGCGCGCTGAGACTTTTCCAGTCGGGTGAAGTATGAGGTTTGGCTGCGTAAGGGATCTGGCACGTCGGGGGTCACCAGATGTTGGGTTGAAATCACGACAGACGAATGGTGGGTGTCAAAGGAGAGACGTCTGCCCGGGGCAAGTCCCGGGAACTCTCTTTTATTGAATATTACAAACATTGCCACAGGTGTGCTTGTGGCTGATTGGCTGATACAAACACAAAGCATCTTGTTGCTGATTGGTTAACATAGGTACAAGGCGGGCATTACATATTACATTAATCACTGATAGTTCAAAAGACTGGGAGCGGAGCTGGAACTAGACAGGCATGAAACCTCCTAATTAAATTATAACTAAAGATTGATATTGAGAGAACATAACATGAAGGAATACAACAATCACGTTCCGTAAATGTGGTCAGCAATGCATTAAGAACAGGTCAGGATACACTGTTTCATGAACTCAATGGGAACTGTTCAGAACATTCTCAGACTTATGTGCAGAGGCAAAAACTTCCCAGAATGTAAGAGAGAAAAGAAGCAATAGTGTCATAGAAGCATAGAAGACTTTCCCACAATGCGACAGTTATGTGCAGTAAGAGAACTGCAGAAAGAGAACTTCACAGTGAGAGAACTGCAGAAAGAAAACTTCCCTTCAGTATACGTCCGAATCAGATAAGTGCTGGAGATGTAACGAGGTTGAGCATATGTTTTATCATATGTGGTCGATTTGTAAAAGGGTAAAAAATTATTGGGAAATGATATATAATAAACGGAAAAAAATGTTCAAAATATATATAATGAACTTTCCTAAAACACAACAACAGAGTCCTTTTTGTGGGGGTAATTCAGAGGGAAATTCCCAGGTGTCAAAAAAGACTGTATGCCACTACTGCAGCCCGTGTCTTGTTAGCCCCAAAATGGAAAACGAGCGAGGTCCCAACCAAAGAAGAATGGCAACTTAAACTGATGGAATACGTGCAGCTTGCAGATTTAACATACAGTGGTACCTCAGGTTACATACGCTTCAGGTTACAGACTCCGCTAACCCAGAAATAGTGCTTCAGGTTAAGAACTTTGCTTCAGGATGAGAACAGAAATTGTGCTCTGGCGGCGCGGCAGCAGCAGGAGGTCCCATTAGTTAAAGTGGTGCTTAAGGTTAAGAACAGTTTCAGGTTAAGAACGGACCTCCGGAACGAATTAAGTACTTAACCCGAGGTACCACTGTATAGAATAAGAAGAACGCATGTTTAAAGAAGACTGGAAATGGTTTATGGAATATATGAGTAAAAACTGCGTTCATTTAAAAACACTGGTAGCATCAAGATAAATTCAACAGTGCAAATAAGTTTTGATAGATGTAACAATGGATTATTGAATGGTTTAGTTCATGCAAAATATGCAGGTTTGCATGGCATGCAAAATGAACCACTGAAAGAGAAGAAGGGAAGTCATTGATTTAAGATTGTTTAAATGAATATTTTGAAATGTAATTTAGAAAATTTAATTTTAAAAACCTATTAAAATAGATAAATAAAATAAAATAAAATAAAATGAGCTTTGCTCCGTTGCAGCTGCCAAGAGTGCTTCCTGGAGGTCGTCGACAATGAGGCCATCAGAGATGAAGCCCAGGAGGACTTTTCCATTGGGGGGATTCAGCCCCAGCCAGACCAAGCTTCTGGACTCGAGTGTTCCTCCCATGCCGAAGGTCTTTGGTTCCTTCCCAAAGCAGGTTTGTTCTTTTGTCTCGAGACCTCGGTATTCTCGAAGGCTGGACTGCTGCAATGTGCTGGCTGTGGAGCTGCCCTGGAGCCCGGGAGCTCCAGCTGGTTTCTCTCAGCCTATCCTACCTCACAGGGTTGTTGTGGGGGCATTAAAGGAGAACTAGGACCTGGGAGGGGACGAGGGTGGCGCTGTGGGTTAAACCACAGAGCCTAGGACTTGCCGATCAGAAGGTCGGCGGTTCAAATCCCCGCTATGGGGTGAGCTCCCGTTGCGCGGTCCCTGCTCCTGCCAACCAGCAGTTCGAAAGCACGTCAAAGTGCAAGTAGATAAATAGGTATCACTCCGGCGGGAAGGTAAACGCGTTTCCGTGCACTGCTCTGGTTCGCCAGAAGCGGCTTAGTCATGCTGGCCACATGACCCGGAAGCTGTACACCAGCTCCCTCAGCCAATAAAGCGAGATGAGCGCCGCAACCCCAGAGTCGGCCACGACTGGACCTAACGGTCAGGGGTCCCTTTACCTTTACCTTTAGGACCTGGGAGACCAGGGTTCCAGTGCCCACTCAGCCATGAAGCTCTCACTGGGTGATTTTGGACCAGTCACTGTCTGGTGACTACTTCACAGGGTGAAATGAGAAAGAAGAGATTCACGTGAGACATCTTGAGCTCCTTAGAGGAAAAGTGGAATATAAATGCAGTCAGTACAAAAAATGAACATGCCAAAGCGTTTCAGCCATTCCACATCAGGCTGAATGAGCAAGGGGACCTCACCTCCCATGATCACAGCATCTTTTTCCAGAAATATCCATCCCCAAAATGCTGCTGGTGGGAGGTGCCAGCAGCAGTCAAATTTCTTAGGAGGACAGTTTCTTGCAGCTCTTAATAAGCTTTTTAATTTTACTTTTCATTCCCCCTACAGATGGAGAGATCGATGGGATCCAACGTGGACTTGAAGCAACTCTGGGCCGGCATGTCATCCGTCAATCAAAAGAGGTGCAAGGGGCTTGAAGGCGAGGGGAGAGGGTGGATACACACTGGTTGCCCCCCCCCCCACTCTGGACTGGTTTCGTATTGGGGTGTGGAAGTGCTTTTTTCTGGGGGGACACCGGGGGACGCATACCCATAAACATTTTGTGAATCTTTGTACAGTCATACCTCAGGTTACAGCAGCTTCAGGTTGCATTTTTTCAGGTTGCAGACCACCGAAACCCGGAAGTACCAGAATGGGTTACTTCCGTGTTTCAGCAGTCGCGCATGCGCAGAAGCACTAAACCGCACTTTGCGCATGCGCAGAAGTGCCAAATCACAACCTGCATGTGCGCAGACGCGGGTTGTGAACGCTGCGGGTTGCGAACGTGCATCCCGCATGGATCACGTTCGCAACCCGAGCGTCCACTGTACTTTTGTCCATTTACTGTATTTATTTTCCCCGATTTGAACTATAAAATGGTGATTTTCTTGAGTCAAAATGAGAGTACCCCTCAACATTTTTTGTGGGGGGGGTGTACTGGGGTGTGGTCTGCAACATGCCCCAGGTACAAGAGTGGCATATTTATGCTGCTTTAGTTTTTTAGCTTGTGGTGTTGATTCAGATGGGTGACACCTGGCTTGAGAGCAGTACATGTGACAAGGATCTAGGAGTCTTGGTTGACCACAAACTTGACATGAGCCAACAGTGTGACGCGGCAGCTAAAAAAGCCAATGCAATTCTGGGCTGCATCAATAGGAGTATAGCATCTAGATCAAGGGAAGTAATAGTGCCACTGTATTCTGCTCTGGTCAGACCTCACCTGGAGTACTGTGTCCAGTTCTGGGCACCACAGTTCAAGAAGGACACTGACAAACTGGAACGTGTCCAGAGGAGGGCAACCAAAATGGTCAAAGGCCTGGAAACGATGCCTTATGAGGAACGGCTAAGGGAGCTGGGCATGTTTAGCCTGGAGAAGAGGAGGTTAAGGGGTGATATGATAGCCATGTTCAAATATATAAAAGGATGTCACATAGAGGAAGGAGAAAGGTTGTTTTCTGCTGCTCCAGAGAAGCGGACACGGACCAATGGATCCAAACTACAAGAAAGAAGATTCCACCTAAACATTAGGAAGAACTTCCTGACAGTAAGAGCTGTTCGACAGTGGAATTTGCTGCCAAGGAGTGTGGTGGAGTCTCCTTCTTTGGAGGTCTTTAAGCAGAGGCTTGACAACCATATGTCAGGAGTGCTCTGATGGTGTTTCCTGCTTGGCAGGGGGTTGGACTCGATGGCCCTTGTGGTCTCTTCCAACTCTATGATTCTATGATTAGAGATGGATGGTACCTTGAGAGTCGTCTGACCTCCTGCAACGCAGGAATCACAGCTGACAAATCCTCAACAGGTGGCCATCCTGCCTCTGTTTTACAACCTCCAACAAAGGAGGGTCCACCATCTTCCGAGGGAGTCCGGCCCATTGCCAAGCGGCTCTTACCATCAGAAAGTTTTGTTGCCATCTCCTTTCTGGCCATTTGAATCCATTGGTTCAGTTGCTAGCCCTCCAGAGCAGAAGAAAACAAGCTTGCTCCATCTTCCATGGGACAGATATTTGAAGATTGCCTATCATATGGGTAGGCAAACTAAGGCCCGGGGGCCGGATCCGGCTCAATCGCCTTCTAAATCCGGCCCACGGACGGTCCGGGAATCAGCGTGTTTCTACATGAGTAGAATGTGTCCTTTTACAGTGGTACTTCGGGTTACAAACACCTCAGGGTACAAGCACTTCGGGTTACAGACTCCGCTATCCCGGAAGTAGTACCTCGGGTTAAGAACTTTACCTCAGGATGAGGACAGAAATTGCGCGCTGCCGGCATGGCGGCAGCGGGAGGCCCCATTAGCTAAAGTGGTACCTCAGGTTAAGAACAGTTTCAGGTTAAGAACGGACCTCTGGAATGAATTAAGTTCGTAACCAGAGGTACCACTGTATTTAAAATGCATCTCTGGGTTATTTGTGGGGCATAGGAATTTGTTCAATTCCCCCCCCCCAAATATAGTCCGGCCCCCCACAAGGTCTGAGGGACAGTGGACCAGCCCCTTGCTGAAAAAGTTTGCTGACCCCTGGCCTATCATATCTCCTCTCAGTCTTCTTTTGTCTAGGCTAAACTTGCTCAACCAGTGTTAGAAACTGAGATACGAAAGCTAGGAGCTAAAAGGCACCTTAAACCGAGGTTATGGGCGCAACAACGAAACCTCTAGGCGTGCCTTTTTTATAGCAAGAATACAAAGCTGAAAATGAATGAACCGCAGCTAAAATATTATGTTCATATTTCACACGGTCTAGTCCTTCCCCTGCCCACCCCCCTAATATTCTTAAGAGGGTCTCTTCTCCAGTTTTCAGAGAGTAGCTGGAAGTGGGGAGGTAGAAAAAGGTCCTTCTTTCCTTCCACGCTGCAGTTTTAATCTGGATTAATAGGCACAGCACTGTGCCCAGGCCTTGGAAGCTGCTCGCGCTAATGAAATTCCTAGTTGCAAAACACGCCTAGAGCAATGGGAGTCTCAAACGCTGTATTCAACTCCCTCAACTGTTCCTCATGAGGCCTGTCAACACCCTTCTTAAATTGCGGTGCCCAGAACTGGAAACAATATTCTAGGTGTGGTCTGACCAAAGCAGAATAGAGCAGTGTGGCGATCACACAGGGTCCCCGGACATTTGACGGTCTATTGATCCCTGTGCCACCACTTCCCCGCTGCCACCAACCCGTTTCTCTCGGGTACACACTGAGTCCAGACAGTTGTTAACATTAAAAACAAATAATCAAGTTTATTTTATAAGCATGAACAAGTTTATGGTTTCAGATAATTTTTCTTGTCAGTTTCTTATCCTTAGTTTCTATACCGGCCTATACCTTTCTAATAACTTCTAACTAATTATCCCAACTGTCTATCTGACTCCTCCTAACAGTTTCTCTCTTTCTCTCACAACAAAACTCTACCAACCCACAGACTTATCCTCCCTCTTCCTTCTCCAACACCCAACTGACTTCCACACAACTCTAACTCTAACTCCTCTCCTTGGGTTCCCACTGGCCAATCACTTCCCTTTCCTTATGACCCACCTAGGAGGGCAAACGCCACAAGCAGTACTATTACTTCCCTTGACTTACTCACATCAGGGAGGAGTCCAGAGCAAGGAGACCTCACCTCCCATGATCTCAGCATCCTTTTCACAATCTTTTCCCTTCCCAATGTCATCCTGAGTCTAATCCCCATTTTGTCTCTCCTCCGACAGCATGGTGGACCTGCGCCCTGTGATGCTGAACCCCGGCGGTTTCCGCCCTTCATTCCTGGGGAGCACCTCTGTCAGTAGACTGAAATACACCAGTTTCCCGAGGTGCAGAAATCCTTCCGAGACCTGGCGTGACACCTTTTGTTCTCACGGGGAAAATACACACACGCACGGAAGGGGGGGAGCATTTTATTCCAGGGAAGGGGCTGGAAAATGGGCCAGTGGTTTCCTGGAGGCAAACTTGCCTGGTTCCTCACGAGGCCTGAAGGTGTGGCTCTACAGAAGTTCGTAGAATCATAGAACTGTAGAGTTGGAAGGTACCCTAAGGTCATCCAGCCCAGCCCCCTGCAATGCAGGAATCACAGCTAAAAAGCCCCTCTCCCATGGCCAATCTACGCAAGAGAGAGAATTTTGTCCTCTTCAATCTCTTGCATGCTACATTTGGTTTTATCGCCTGGAAAGGCACACCCCAGTTTAACAGCACAGTTCAAGATTGCGGCCAAAAAATAATTTTTAAAAAGATAGGAAGCCGAGCAGTTCTGTCCTGTTTCCACTTGCTATTTTTATTTAATCCACTCCACTTGGGTTATTTAAACCAAGGACTTGTACACTGACCACTAATAATGATTCATATGTTGCAGATATCATTGCAAATTTATTATGCTATTTTTGCAATGTACAAATGACATTAAAAAAAATAATTGTGGCCACTTTTGTGGACAATCTTCAAACATCAAGTTTGCACTTGGGTCCTGCTGGTGGGCTCCCCTTGGGGGCACCTGGTTGGCCACTGTGGGAACAGGATTCTGGACCAGATGGGCCACTGCCCTGCCACAGTAGCTGGGTTCTCCTTATGCTCTTATGGAACCTCCAGGTCTAGGGGCAGTCTATCCTGATTCTTGAATTCCTGGGGGCATTTGATCCCTGTGAGAGCAGGAGGCTGGACTAGACAGGCCACTGGCCTGATGCAGTGAGTTTCTCTTTATGTCCTTTATGCTGTTTAGCTTTCTTTGCAGCATCAACCTACTGGGGGGGGCGAGGGGGGGCGGACGCACCAGCCTCACCACCTGCCATGTTTTTTCTCCTTCCAGGGCCGCTGCCAGCAACGCCGCCACATCTTCCCAGAGCTCATCCAGCCCCACGTCCGCTTTCAACACACCTGTGCTGGCCAAGTTCAGAGGCAGCAAAGATGAGGAGAAGGAGGACAATGAAAACCCGGGTCCTGATTCTCAGCCGACGGGGGCCTAAACAACTTTTGTGTACGGGGAGATGCTGTGTGAATTAAAAAGAAACCTCCGGTGCACGCTGCTTCCCGGGGTGTGGCTTCTACTGCGGATCTGGCAGAGAGGAAATGGCTACCGGTGGCCGGGAGAGGGGAGAAATCTTCATGCCTTAGCGGGAGGGTATGCCTCCAAATGCTCTTTTTCAAAAGGATATGGTGGTACTATAATTCCCATCATCCCTAGCTAGCAGGACCAGCGGTTGGGGATGATGGGATTTGTAGTCTGAAAAAAAAAGCTGGAGACCTCTGTTTGGGAAACACTAGGATAGGGGAGATCACTGCAGATGGTGACAGCAGTCACAAAATTAAAAGACGCCTGCTCCTTGGGAGAAAGGCGATGGCAAACCTAGACAGCATCTTAAAAAGCAGAGACATCACTTTGCCAACAAAGGTCCGTATAGTTAAAGCCATGTTTTTCCCAGTAGTGATGTATGGAAGTGAGAGCTGGACCATAAAGAAGGCTGATCGCCGAAGAATCGATGCTTTTGAATTATGGTGCTGGAGGAGACTCTTGAGAGTCCTATGGACTGCAAGAAGATCAAATGCATCCATTCTTAAGGAAATCAGCCCTGAGTGCTCACTGGAAGGACAGATCATGAAGCTGAGGCTCCAATATTTTGGCCACCTCATGAGAAGAGAAGACTCCCTGGAAAAGACCCTGATGTTGGGAAAGATGGAGGGCACAAGGAGAAGGGGACGACAGAGGACGAGATGGTTGGACAGTGTTCTCGAAGCTACCAGCATGAGTTTGACCAAACTGCGGGAGGCAGTGGAAGACAGGAGTGCCTGGCGTGCTCTGGTCCATGGGGTCACGAAGAGTCAGACACGACTAAACGACTAAACAAAAAAACAACAACAACAAAGTATAGGGGAAGGGCTGCAGCTCAGCATACGGCAGGTGCCTTTTGAAATCTGCTCTTAATGAGAGCCATGAGGACTAGAAACTTACTTCATTTTCAGTGGAAGGGTGCAGCTCAGTGGCAGACCATCTCTTCTGCATGCAGGAGCTCTTGGGGTTGAATCTCCAGATAGGGCTGATGGACCTGACTTGGTGTAAGGCAGATTCCTATTTAAATCTGCTATTTGTTTAGAACAATGAGGACTAGGATCTTACTTCATTTTTAGGGGCAGGGCACAGCTCAGTGGTAGAGCTTTGTGCACCGAAGTTACCGTAAGTTCAGTCCCTGGCATCTCCAGGTAAGCTTGGGAAGATCCCTTCCCTGAAACCATATGTTGTTTGGTTATGCAAAAAATAAGAACACCATAAAAATTGATGCATATATTAGGGGAAATGTGTATGTGAGTTAGAACTGCACACAAAATGTGTTTATTAGGAGAGATTTGCACTTAAAACACTGTTGAATATTCAAGAGAAAGAGAGAAAGATTGAGAAATGCGCCGGGAAGCCCCCCCCCCTAATTTGCAGCACCGGAACTCGTAGCTTTTCCGTTCATCCCACAAATAATTCTCAGAGGATTTTCTCCAGAATGTAGCTGTTGCCAATGATCTGGTCCACGACTCCTGGCAGCCAATCTCTGAGGAGCAGCACAGGTTTCGTGAGCCAGTAAGGAAAGAAAACTTCCCTCACCCTCATGACGCCGCCCCTCACGATTGCCTGGGCGCAGAGCTCTTTTGAACTTGCTTTCAGGGACATCTTGCCTTCTACCGACCTCACAGCTGTGTCTGTGGAAAAGAACACAGAAGGCAAGTCAGTGTGGAAAGGGCACCAGGCACCCCAGGACCTTGGAAGTTGCTGCTGGTCTGTCTACCTTGCTGCTGCTGATTCTAGTCCTTATGGTCCCCCCAAAAAAGAGAGGACTACAACCTTGATTTAGTTTTAGGGGAAAGGTTATGATTTGGTGGCAGAGAATCTCCCTTGCATGGAGAAGGTCTGAACTCCCCAGCAGCATCTTCAGGTAGGGCTGGGAATGTTCCCTGCCTGTATATCACGATGTTTAGCTGGTGTTATAAGAAAAAACTGCTCCTTTTCTTTTATGGGGTATCCAAGAGCCCGTACAGAGTCCTTAAGTGGGTTCCCTATCGGTAGGAGAAAATAAGAGAGGCCAACCAGAGAATATTGAGAAGCAAAGCGGCTAGTAAGCCTGATCTTTATTCAAGGAACTGTTGCAACAGGGTCCCTACATGCAGGAAGGAGGAGAACCCTGAACAATGGTGTTCAAACCCTTATACAGTCATACCTCGGGTTGAATGTGCTTCGGGATGAGCGCGTTCGAGTTGTGCTCCGCGGCAACCCGGAAGTAACAGAGCGCGTTACTTCCAGGTTTCGCCGCTTGTGCATGCGCAGATTCTCAAAATGATGTCACATGCACGCGCAGAAGCGCCAAAAAGCGACGCGTGCGCGCGCAGATGTGTGTTGTGGGTTACGTTTGCTTCTAGATGCTAACGGGGCTCCGGAACGGATCCCGTTCGCATCTAGAGGTACCACTGTATAGACTTTTGAAATTCACCACCCTGTTGCCCAAGACCATCCCCCTAAAACAGCATCCATCCATCACAGAAGGAGACGGTCTACAGCAGAAATCCTGTCTTCCAGGATACCTGAGAATGGTCACTGATTGCATTACTTGGGCAGTCTGGCCATTCTTTTGTGATGGTTAATGCTTTAGTTCCTGAATCCAGGGCACAGGCTCACCCTATTCATACACAAATACACCCTTAAGGCAGGATTTGCAAGCAAAATGACAATGGGAAGGCTTCCCCCATTTTCCTCCCTTACTGCAGAGGGATATTTGGTCATTGGGAGTGTCAAAATGGCTTCAGGATTGCTCTCCTGTACTATTTCAGACACGTGGTTCATATACATATGTATGTGTTTGCCTTGAACATTTATGAACATTTATTTTACATTTGAGACCTTAGAATTCTTATAACGCTGGTGATATATCACAATGTTGAACACTGGATTATCATCCAGCCCTACTAAGCGGCTGCCCTACCTGGGGCTGCTTACCTGTGTCAATGTACCCCAACACGGCAACCGTGATGGGCATGTTGATTTCCCGAAGGCGCAGCTCTGTGCGCAAGGAGCTGTAGAATCCTTCCAGCGCAGCTTTGCTGGCGGCATATGGAACGGAGAAAGGGGATGGAAGGCGGCCTGAGAGAAAACAGGAACATATTCTTACTTGGAAGGTTGCAGAATCTATTTCTCCAGAAACCAAAGGGGTTAAGGGGATGGAGCGACTGCCCCTCTGAGGGAACGTTGCAGCCTTTGGGACTTTTTAGTTTAGAGGAGAGGCGAGTAAGGGGGCGACATGATATTGGTTTGTACAACTGACATGGAGAAAGCGGTGACAGAAAGGATTTTCTCCCCCTCATGTTTTTTTCAGCAGAAGAATGGGGTGTGAGTGCTCTCCAATAAATTAACTAACAGAGGATTGGGAAATTTAGAGGCAGGAACCCTAGAAGGACCTAAGAAGAGCCCTGCTAACCAGGCCAATGGCCCATCTAGTAGTAGTAGTAGTAGTAGTAATAATAATAATAATACATTTATACGTCGTGCATCTGGCTGGGTTTCCCCAGCCACTCAGGGCAGCTCCCAACAGAATTTTTAAAACACGATAAATACATCAAACATTAAAAGCTTCCCTAAACAGGGCTGCCTTCAGATGTTGTCTAAAAGTCAGATAGTTGTTTATTTCCTTGACATCTGATGGGAGAGTGTTCCACAGGTCGGGTGCCACTACCGAGAAGGCCCTCTGCCTGGTTCCCTGTAACCTCACCTCTCACAGTGAGGGAACCACCAGAAGCCCCTCAGAGCTGGAGCTCAGTGTCCGGGCTGAATGATGGGGGTGGAGACGCTCCTTCAGGTATACTGGGCCGAGGCCATTTAGGGCTTTAAAGGTCAGCACCAGCACTTTGAATTGTGCTCGGAAAGTTTGGACCTCCCAAGATCACTTAGGCTGGGGGGGGGGTCTCCAGTCGCCTGCCCATACCACTTATGGATGATACCACGATGATGTTGCCATGGGACTCTTGCAACATGCTCAGGGCCGACACGGTGACCTGGACGTAGCTGAAGAAGTTGACCGTCATGGAGCTGATCACAGATTCCATGTCTCCTTGGTACGGGCCAAAACCGATTTTTCCACCGACATGATTCAGAACCAGCAGATCAAGCCCCCCTGCAAGGGAAAAGAGCACAGAGACCCTGAGTGGAAGAGGGAGAGCAACAACCATCTTAGGAGATGGACCGAGCTCAGCCTCTTCTCATGTCAACATATAGGCTACCCCTGAAAACCAGCCTGTGCCGAGCTCAGTCCTTTCATGATTTAGCTGCGGTTCCTTTGTTGTGGGGGTTGGACTAGATGACCCTTGGGGTCCCTCCCAACCTTACGATTCTCTGATACCAGCCTTCGCAAGCCTGGTGCCCTCCCAATGTAGGAACGCAAGGAGAAATTTGGTTAGGCTTGCATTAAGACAGGTTTTCTGAACTTTTTTCTCCTTACCCAATAAAAAGCATTATTCAGAAGCTTGATTTGCGCAAGCCAGTAAGGAAGATAGTAACGCAATGACATTCAAAATGGTAACTATGAATTGCCCATGTATTCAAAACCCACTTCAAACTATTTAGGTTAACCAAGTCAACAAAACTGATGAACGTAATCCGGTGACACCAGCTTTCACAGAATCACAGAGCTGGAAGATACACCCAATCAATGAGAAATTGGAAACAAGTCAAAATCTATTAATCTCAAATGACGGGCTGATGGGAGTTGCTGTCCAAATTATCTGGAAGGCCAATCAGGTTGGGAAATGCTGGTCAACCCCCTTCCTTCCTTCCTTCCTTCTCCCTCCCTCCCTCCCTCCCTCCCTGGCCAGGTTTAATTCAAATCCTTCAAACCTCCTATGGGGAAGGTTCTCAGGAATGGTAGAAGGAGAAAGAATTTGCACATGTGAAGACCATCAAGTGGAAACTCTTACACATATGGTTCGTAAATGTAAACTATATGTTGATCTCCACCAGCAGTTCCTAGATCAACTCTGCATCCCCAAATGGAAACCAGAGTTAGAGGTCATACATTTTCTATTATTGGGGAATAATCAGGAGCTCACCAGGTTAGTGGCTAAATATCTTTATCTGGTTTTTTGTCGTCGAAACACATTGCAGACGTCTGATTTCCCTGGAGACCTAGAGCTGTAATACTAGACTGCTTTGCCTCTTTCATTTGACAAACGTTTTGTGTCACTGGGAAGGTGGTAATTCTGTATTGATTTGCTATGGATGTTTGTATGTGATGCCAATAAAAGGTTTGATGATGATGATGATGATATACCATCCTTCATCAAAAGATCTCTGGGCTGATCTTTGCCAAGATGCAGGCAGACAAGGCCAATAGCTGAGGTGTCCCAGGGCAGAAGCCGGCAAATGCCTTTGGAGCTGTTCCCCTCAAGACGAAAGGGTTAAGGAGCCCTTTGCCTGCGCCTCAGGTAGCTTGTGTGGCAGCCTTTTGGGAACTGGAAGAACAGTTGCCTCCCCTCCAAGACTGGCTAGGGACTGGCCTTCCATCTTTACCCAAGACGTTCTTGGTTTCTTCCACAACATTCCGGGCAGAAGCCAAGTCACTCATATCTGAAACGACGTACGAAGCAGAGGCGGCTCCCAGTTTCAGACAATTCTGGACTACCTGGAGGAAACAAATAAATGGAAAATGAGCCCCAAAATAGAAAACGAGTGAGGTCCCAACTAAAGAAGACTGGCAACTTAAACTGATGGAATATGTGCAGCTTGCAGACTTAACTTATAGAATAAGAGAACAAGAAGAGTATACGTTTAAAGAAGACTGGGAAATGTTTGTTGAATACATGGGTGAAAATTGTCTACACTTGAAAAGGTTGGCAGCTTTAAGATAAATTCAACAGTGTAAATAAATTTTGATGGATGTAAAAATGGAATATTGGATGGCTTAGTTTATGTGAAATATGCAGGGATCTATGGCATGCAGTTCGAAAGCACCCCTAAGTGCAAGTAGATAAATAGGTACCGCTTTATAGCGGGAAGGTAAACGCGTTTCCGTGTGCTGCGCTGGTGCCGGCTCGCCAGAGCAGCTTCGTCACGCTGGCCACGTGACCCGGAAGTGTCTTCGGACAGCGCTGGCTTCCAGCCTCTTAAGCGAGATGAGCACGCAACCCCAGAGTCGGTCACGACTGGCCCGTACGGGCAGGGGTACCTTTACCTTTACCTTTTATGGCATGCAAACTGAACCATGGAAAGAGAAGAAGGGAAGTCATTGATATTTTAAGGTTGTTTAAATGAATATTCTAAATTGTAAAATTAAAAAAAACTTAATAAAAATTATGCAAAAAAGAGAAAACAAATAAAAATAAAGAGGGAAATTGAAAATGGCTTCTAAGTGGTTTTCAAGTATAAAATCCATTGTAAAATACTACAACGCACAATAAAACAATCCTATCTGAGCAGTAAAAAACAGCCACAAAATTTATTATACAGCGAGCCAGTTTAAAAGCACCATTATTTTTAAAAATCAAAATCAAAACAGTTGGATCAGGAAGTTCAAGTTTAGGGGAATGTTCATTGGAAACAAGTGTGTCTTTAAAAACCAGTAGAATAGCAGTAGTGATGATGAGTCATAAAATCATAGAATTATAGAGTTGCAAGAGACCCCAAGAGTCATCTAGTCCAACGCCTTAGAGCAAGGAAGGCGTTCCATAATGCTGGTGCCATCAGGAAAAAAGCCTCCATGTTCCCACAAGCCAATGGTCACCATCAGGGCATGGCTAAACTAAACTGGTTTCCATTATTGAACAACGGATTCTTGTGGGAGGGGAGCTTGGTCAGAAGGAGGGCCAGATGAGGAAGGAAGAGATGAGGGGGGTATTTTTGAGAGGGGAGGGGAGGCTAAGGGTTGTAGCCAAACTAAGACTATTGGAATCAAGGAACCTGAGTTTAACTACATTGGGGTCAAGGGATTAACAGTTTACCTTCTGGAGGCGTGTCGCGTTCCTCGCTGTCAGCATCAAATGGGCCCCCATCCAGGCGAACTCATAGGCCATTTGTTCCCCTATCCCTGTGCTTGACCCCGTCACCAGGACCCGTTTCCCTCGCACCATTTCTGGAGAGAGAGAAGGAGATGGTCAACATCAGCCGCCCGCGATCCAGAATGTTTTGCACTGAAGTTCATAAGAACAGAAACGTAAGGATAGAAGGAGAGTCTGGCCAAAGGGGCCCCCATGCAGTCACAGAATCATAGAGTTGGAAAAGACCCTTAGGGTCATCTAGTCCAGGCATCCCCAAACTCAGCCCTCCAGATGTTTTGGGACTACAACTCCCATCATCCCTAGCTAACAGGACCAGTGGTCAGGGATGACGGGAATTGTAGTCCCAAAACATCTGGAGGGCTGAGATTGGGGATGCCTGATCTAGTCCAACCCCCTACAATGCTGGGATACGCAGCTGTCCTCATACGGGGATCGAACCTGCAGCCTTGGTATTATCAGCCAACTGAGCTATCCAAACTATCCTGTTCTCACAGTGGATGACTAAATGCCCCAATGGGAAGCCCACAAGCAGGATCTGAGCGCAGCAGCATTCTCCCGTTCAGTGGCTTCCAGCAATGGGGATTTAGAAGTATTACTGCCTCCTCCCTAGTAATTGATTTCATTTCACAAGATCGATATACGGCTGGATTGTAACAGAACGTCGACACCATTACGAAACAACAAAGTTGATGAAAGCAATTCTTTAAAACGTTCAAATATTAAATCAGAATAAATGATCATTACCCCAGAGTCTCAGGGGTGGTGGCAGCCCAAGGGAGGGTCTTTTCTGTGGTGGCCTCTAAGCTGCAGAACTCCCACTTCACAGAGATGCACTTTCGTTATACAGCTTTCAAAAGACGCACCTCTTTCCCCTGGCACCTGTGTCTTTAGGATCCACCTTTCCCCCCAGTGATTGTAATTAAACTGTTTTTAAAGTTGTGTTTTGTTGTAACCCGCTCTGGAACCTTAGGGTGAAGGGATAGTTAAATAACAACAACAACAACAACAACAACAACAACAACAACAAACACTAATGTAAAACATGGGCCAGGTTCTACGTATCTGGATAGGGTAGTCTAAACAAAAAAAGTTTTTAGCAAGTGCCAACAACAGACCCTCCAAGCTTCCCTATTTTCCAGGGACAATCCCATATTTACAGAAGCTCTCCGGGTTTCTGATCTGATCCCTGAATGTCCCGCTTTTCCTTAGGACTTCCCTATTTTCTTTGGAGAAATGTTGGAGGGTAGTGATCCGACCCCTGAGCCATCTGAAGGTAGCCCTGTATAGGGAAATTTTTCAATGTTTTATTATATTTTCATATATGTTGGAAGCTAGGTGGGTGAGGTATAAATAGTAACTTCTTTATTGTTGTTGTTATCATTATGATGATTATTATGGAACAGGAAGTCCCTATTTTCATCGGATAAATGTTGGAGGGCATGCAACAAGAGCAGAGCAAAGGTGCTTGTCTGGTGTCGCTAGCTATATGCAAACATCCCTGAGAACGGCAGAGGCATTTATGTGCAAGAGACGATCAAGGCCACGTTTCAGAAGAGGCAACCCTTCTCCCTTGGCTTACCTTCGGAGAAACTTTCCCAGGTATAGGCATAGTAAACGAGGACAGCGATGAGGACAGGCGCGACGATCTTGAGCACCGCCATGGTTGTCTCGGCAGCCAATCATTAAACTCGACTAGCTGGACTTGTTTGACGAGGTTCAGAAATCCACCCTTTGCCCTGTGGCCACCCAAAGCCTTTCCCTGCTTCAAATTGTGCAATTTCTCCTAGCCTTGGGCACACAGCTCCACCTCTCGGCTCCAGCGCCTTTTGCAACCGGCTGCAAAGTCTGAACTTGTGAAAGAAACATCCTTCGCCTCCTCAAGCGATCAGCACCTTAAAAAACTTGTGTGGTTGGAATCCGTCATATCATGGCATGCGTCACACTCCCCTCTCTGCAGGCTCAGGTGTGGGTTCACAGTGGCACAAAGTGTGTGTGGTGGCCTGGGATTCAGACTCGGATGCTGAACCAGAGGGATCCCAGCCTGCACAGGATTCCCCGCCTCCAGAAGCAGCTGAGCCGGGGCTGGGGGTTGAGCCTGAAGGGTCCTCACCTGTGTTGGATCCTCAGGTGCAGGCACCAGCTGAGCCTGCTCTGGCTCCTGAGGTGATGGAGGATCCATTGCCTGCAGGTGCTCCACTCTCAGCCCCGTCAGAGGAAGCTGAGGTTGCCTCTGGGTCTGATAACCCTTCAGCCTCTCCTGAGCTACAGAGGCTCAGGGCAGAGAGGCAGAGGGAACTAAGTTCCCGCAGGAGGAGTGCTCGCCTCCAGACCAGCACAGTGTGAAGCAGGGAAAGGCTTTTGGATGTGGGTGGGTGTTACTGTCAGCAGCAAACCTCACAAATGCTGTGGAGGCGAGTCTGTTGGTGCTAATGAGGTATTGGCCCACTACTGTCAGCTCATTGGGGACTTTTTATTATTGTGTTAAGTTGTGGGTGAACATATCACACGACACAGCGATTCTTCAAACAGCTATTGTTTATTCACAGGCCAGAACAGAACTGAAGTGAAGGGTTCAGCCAGCCTGCTTATATAGAGCTCCACTACAACACAACTGTAACAACTTTCTGTAACTGTCCAATCACCAAATGTCACTTTCAATCCCTTATTTGCATATGTGGACCTGAGTGAAAACTACTACATTATCCCCCTGCTGGCCCAGGGTGAGAACTTCAGTACATAACAGATTGCATTTGTACCCCACCTTCTCCTGTGAGGAGCTCAAGGTGGCCTACATGGTTCTCCTTCTCCTCCTCCTCACTTAATCCCCACAGCAAGCTGGAAAGTGTGTAGGGGAAGGCGACCAAGATGATCAAGGGTCTGGAAACCATGCTGTATGAAGAGCGGTCAAAACAGCTGGGTATACTTAGCCTAGAAAAAGGGAGACGGAGAGGAGATAGGATAGCCACCTTCAAATATCTGAAGGGCTGTCCCATGGAAGATGCAGCAAGATTGTTTTCTCCTGCTCCCGAGCGTAGGACTCAAGCCAAAGGGTGCAAGTTACAAGAAAGGAGATTCCGACTAAACATCAGGAATAACTTTCTGATGATAACTGTTTGACATTGGAACGGATTCCTTTGTGATGTGGTGGACTCTCCATCCTTGGAGGTTTTTAAGCAGAGGTTGGATGGCCATCTGTCATGGGTGCTTTGGCTGAGATCACTGCAGTGCAGGGGGTTGGTCTAGATCTAGATGACCCAGTGAACTTCAAGGATGAGTGGGAATTTGAACCCAGGTCTCTTCCAGGTCCTGCACTCTAACCACTAGGCTACACTCGCTTTCCTTTTTGTTGTTGTTGAGAAGTCTCCTCCATCACCTGTTTCAAAAGGTAAAGGGACCACTGACCATTAAGTCCAGCCATGGACGACTCTGAGGTTGCAGGCTCATCTCTCTTTACTGGCCAAGGGAGCTGGAGTTTGTCCACAGACAGCTTCCGGGTCATGTGGCCACCAGGACTAAGCTGCTTCTGGCGAACCAGAGCAGCGCACGGAAACGCTGTTTACCTTCCCGCCGGAGCGGTACCTATTTATCCACTTGCACTTTGATGTGCTTTCGAACTGCTAGGTGGGCAGGAGCTGGGACCGAACAATGGGAGCTCACCCCATCGCGGGGATTCAAACTGCCGACCTTCTGATCGGCAAGTCCTAGGCTCTGTGGTTTAACCCACAGCGCCACCTGCATCCCACAGCCGGTTTAGACACCTCTTAAAGGCAACCTCTTTTGCTTTGGCTTTCCACAGTTTTTAAAGCTGGACTGTGTTCCTTTAGGAACATAGGAAGCTATCATTGATCCAGGGTTTCAGACAGAGTTTTTCCAAGCCCAACTTGAAACCCGGGACATTCTTCATGCAACATAGATGCTGTACCCCCTGAGCTACATTGTGGCTTAGAATGTATTTTATAATGATGAGTTTAGTGGTTTGCTATTGATGGTTTTATTGCAGATTTCAATTTTCTGTACACCACTTCAGTATCTTAAAAATAAAAATCTTTAGCAGTCTACAAATGTCATTTAATATATAAATGTTGCACCCTCTGACCTATACAGGACAGTGAAATAAACCTTCCTCTCCACTCCCTCTTTAAGAACTCAGGAAGGTTCACACAGATAGGAGACCATTTAAATAGCAAGACGTAACTTGAAAGTATCTACTGTTAACTAGCTCAGGACCACAATACCTCAAGGACTGCCTCTTCCCATATGAACCTACCTGGACCCTGAGATCATCTTCTGAGGCCCTTCTTCACGTGCCTCCTCCTTGAGAGGTGCGGAGGGCGGCAACACGAGAACAGGGCCTTCTCTGCAGTGGCTCCCTCTCTGTGGAATTCTCTCCCCAGGGAAGTTCGTCTGGTGCCTTCATTAGACACCCTTAGGTGTCAGGCAAAAACATTCCTTTCTAACCAGGCCTTTGGTTGATCTGATTTACATTCTGTGCCCTTTTAAAATGTTTTTGTGGGGGTGGGGCTATTGGGATTATTATTATTATTATTATTATTATTATTATTATGTATTTTGTGGTTTTATATCTTGATTTTATTCTGTGAACTGCCCTGAGATCCCCGGGTATAGGGTAGTATATAAATTCAATTAATAATAATAATAATAATAATAATAATACCTTCCTGCAGCAGCGGTACCTATTTATCTACTTGCACTGGTGTGCTTTTGAACTGTTAGGTTGGCAGGAGCTGGGGCAGAGCAACAGGAGCTCACCCCGTTGCGGAGATTCAAACCTCCGACCTTCTGATTGGCAAGCCCAAGAGGCTCAGTGGTTTAGACCACAGCGCCACCCACTGTGTAGGGGGACAGCACCCAGCCTGTAACTCAGCCTTCATCCATCCTGTGTCATCTTGATTTCCTGGACTTCAGTGTCTGCTGGGGACTGATGGGGGTTGTATTACAAAACCTCAGGAAGGTTGTCAGAAGACAGATGCAATGTCCCCCTTGCACTTGTCCCAAATCTCTCCCTCTCGCTCTGCATCCCTGCAGAACTGAAGCCCTATTTGGAAGATTGGGAGAGCATAAGAAACTGCCTTATGGTGAGTGAGACTTAGCTCAGTATTGTCTACACTGACTGGCAGTGACTGTCTGGAATTCCATACTGGGTGTGTTCCCAGCTGTACTGCAATGTGCTCTATGTGGGGCTACTTTTGAAGGTGACCCAGAAACTACAATTAATACAGAATGCCGCAGCTAGAATGGCGACTGGGAGTGGCCGCCGAGACCATGGAACACCAGTCCCGAAAGACCTACATTGGCTCCCAGTACATTTCTGAGCACAATTCAAAGTGTTGGTGCTGACCTTTAAAGCCCTAAATGGCCTCAGCCCAGTATACCTGAAGGAGCGTCTCCACCCCCATCGTTCAGCCTGGACGCTGAGGTCCACCTCCGAGGGTCTTCTGGCAGTTCCCTCCCTGCAAGAAGTGAGGTTACAGGGAACCAGGCAGAGGGCCTTCTCAGTAGTGGCACCCGCCCTGTGGAACGCCCTCCCATCAGATGTCAAGGAAATAAACAACTATCTGACTTTTAGAAGACATCTGAAGTCAGCCCTGTTTAGGGAAGTTCGAACGTCTGATGTTTTATTGTTTTTAATATTCTGTTGGGAGCTGCCCAGAGTGGCTGGGGAAACCCAGCCAGATGGGCAGGCTATAAATAATACATTATTATTATTATTATTATTATTATTTATTATGCCAATAGTTGTTTATTTCTGGGAAAGGCTTTGGGTGGCCACAGGTCAAAGGGTGGATTTCTGAACCTCGCCAAACAAGTCCAGATAGTCGAGGTTAATGATTGGCTGCATAGACAACCATGGCGGTGCTCAAGATCGTCGCGCCTGTCCTCATCGCTGTCCTCGTTTACTATGCCTATACCTGGGAAAGCTTCTCCGAAGGTAAGCCAAGGGAGAAGGGTTGCCTCTTCTTAATCGTGGCCTTGATCGTCTCTTGCACATAAATCCCTCTGCCGTTCTGGGGAATGTTTGCACATAGCATGCCAGCGACACCAGACAAGCACCTTCGCTCTGCTCTTGTTGCATACTCTCCAACATTTATCCGATGAAAATAGGGACCACCTATTCCATAACAACAACAACAACTATTTATTTATACCTCACGCACCTGGCTTCCAACATATATGAAAATATAATAAAATATTGAAAACTTCCCTACACAGGGCTACCTTCAGATGGCTCGGGGGTTGGATCACTACCCTCCAACATTTCTCCGAAGAAAATAGGGAAGTCCTAAGGAAAAGCGGGACATTCAGGGATCAGATCAGAAACCGGGAGAGCTTCTGTAAATATGGGATTGTCCCTGGAAAATAGGGAAGGTTGGAGGGTCTGTTGTTGGCACTTGCTAAAAACTTTTTTTGTTTCGATTACCCTATCCAGATGCATAGAACCTGGCCCATGCGTTACATTAGTGTTTTAAATTATTATTATTATTATTATTATTATTATTAATTAATTAATTCTCCCTTCACCCTAAGGTTCCAGAGCGGGTTACAACAAAACACAACTTTTGTTGTTTTTTAGTCGTTCAGTCGTGTCCGACTCTTCGTGACCCCATGGGCCAGAGCACGCCAGGCACTCCTGTCTTCCACTGCCTCCCGCAGTTTGGTCAAACTCATGCTGGTAGCTTCGAGAACACTGTCCAACCATCTCGTCCTCTGTCGTCCCCTTCTCCTTGTGCCCTCCATCTTCCCAACATCAGGGTCTTTTCCAGGGAGTCTTCTCTTCTCATGAGGTGGCCAAAGTATTGGAGCCTCAGCTTCAGGATCTGTCCTTCCAGTGAGCACTCAGGGCTGATTTCCTTCAGAATGGAGAGGTTTGATCTTCTTGCAGTCCATGGGACTCTCAAGAGTTGTTGTTGTTGTTGTTGTTGTTGTTGTTGTTGTTATTATTATTATTATTATTATTTAACTATCCCTTCACCCTAAGGTTCCAGAGCGGGTTACAACAAAACACAACTTTAAAAACAGTTTAATTACAATCACTGGGGGGAAAGGTGGATCCTAAAGACACAGGTGCCAGGGGAAAGAGGTGCGTCTTTTGAAAGCTGTATAACGAAAGTGCATCTCTGTGAAGTGGGAGTTCTGCAGCTTAGAGGCCACCACAGAAAAGACCCTCCCTTGGACTGCCACCACCCCTGAGACTCTGGGGTAATGATCATTTATTCTGATTTAATATTTGAACATTTTAAAGAATTGCTTTCATCAACTTTGTTGTTTCGTAATGGTGTCGACATTCTGTTACAATCCAGCCTTTTATTGATCTTGTGAAATAAAATCAATTACTAGGGAGGAGGCAGTAATACTTCTAAATCTCCATTGCTGGAAGCCACCGGACGGGAGAGTGCTGCTGCGCTCAGATCCTGCTTGCGGGCTTCCCTTTGGGGCATTTAGTCGGCCACTGCGAGAACAGGATAGTTTGGATAGCTCAGTTGGCTAGAGCGCGGCGCTGATAACACCAAGGCTGCAGGTTCGATCCCCGTATGAGGACAGCTGCGTATCCCAGCATTGTAGGGGGTTGGACTAGATCAGGCATCCCCAAACTCGGCCCTCCAGATGTTTTGGGACTACAATTCCCGTCATCCCTGACCACTGGTCCTGTTAGCTAGGGATGATGGGAGTTGTAGTCCCAAAACATCTGGAGGGCTGAGTTTGGGGATGCCTGGACTAGATGACCCTAAGGGTCTTTTCCAACTCTATGATTCTGTGACTGCATGGGGGCCCCTTTGGCCAGACTCACCTTCTATCCTTACGTTTCTGTTCTTACGAACTTCAGTGCAAAACATCTGGATTGTAGGCAGCTGGTGTTGACCATCTCCTTCTCTCTCTCCAGAAATGGTGCGAGGGAAACGTGTCCTGGTGACGGGGTCAAGCACAGGGATAGGGGAACAAATGGCCTATGAGTTCGCCTGGATGGGGGCCCATTTGATGCTGACAGCAAGGAACGCGACACGCCTCCAGAAGGTAAACTGTTAATCCCTTGACCCCAGTGTAGTTAAACTCAGGTTCCTTGATTCCAATAGTCTTAGTTTGGCTACAACCCTTAGCCTCCCCTCCCCGCTCAGAAATACCCCCCTCATCTCTTCCTTCCTCATCTGGCCCTCCTTCTGACCAAGCCCCCCTCCCACAAGAATCCATTGTTCCATATTGTAAACCAGTTTAGTTTAGCCATGCCCTGATGGTGACCATTGGCTTGTGGGAACATGGAGGATTTTTCCCTGATGGCACCGGCATTATGGAACGCCCTCCTTGCTCTCACGTGTTGGACTAGATGACACTTGGGGTCTCTTCCAACTCTACAATTCTGTGATTTCATGACTCACCATCACTACTGCTATTCTACTGGTTTTTAAAGACACACTTGTTTCCGATGAACATTCCCCTGAACTTGAACTTCCTGATCCAACTGTTTTTATTTTGATTTTTTAAAATTATGGTGCTTTTAAACTGGCTCACTGTATAATAAATTTTGTGGCTGTTTTTTACTGCTCAAAAAGGATTGTTTTATTGTGCGTTGTAGTATTTTACAATGGATTTTATACTTGAAAACCTCTTAGAAGCCATTTTTAAGTTCCCTCTTTATTTTTATTTGTTTTCTCTTTTTGCATGATTTTTATTAAGTTTTTTTTAATTTTACAATTTAGAATATTCATTTAAACAACCTTAAAATATCAATGTCTTCCCTTCTTCTCTTTCCATGGTTCAGTTTGCATGCCATAGATTCCTGCATATTTCACATAAACTAAGCCATCCAATATTCCATTTTTACATCCATCAAAATTTATTTACACTGTTGAATTTATCTTAAAGCTGCCAACCTTTTCAAGTGTACACAATTTTCACCCATGTATTCAATAAACATTACCCAGTCTTCTTTAAACATATACTCTTCTTGTTCTCTTATTCTATAAGTTAAGTCTGCAAGCTGCACATATTCCATCAGTTTAAGTTGCCAGTCTTCTTTAGTTGGGACCTCACTCGTTTTCTATTTTGGGGCTCATTTTCCATTTATTTGTTTCCTCCAGGTAGTCCAGAATTGTCTGAAACTGGGAGCCGCCTCTGCTTCGTACGTCGTTTCAGATATGAGTGACTTGGCTTCTGCCCGGAATGTTGTGGAAGAAACCAAGAACGTCTTGGGTAAAGATGGAAGGCCAGTCTCTAGCCAGTCTTGGAGGGGTGGCAACTGTTCTTCCAGTTCCCAAAAGGCTGCCACACAAGCTACCTGAGGCGCAGGCAAAGGGCTCCTTAACCCTTTCGTCTTGAGGGGAACAGCTCCAAAGGCATTTGCCGGCTTCTGCCCTGGGACACCTCAGCTGTTGGCCTTGTCTGCCTGCATCTTGGCAAAGATCTGCCCAGAGATCTTTTGATGAAGGATGGTATATCATCATCATCATACCTTTTATTGGCATCACAGACAAACATCCATAGCAAATCAATACAGAATTACCACCTTCCCAGTGACACAAAACGTTTGTCATATGAAAGAGGCAAAGCAGTCTAGTATTACAGCTCTAGGTCTCCAGGGAGATCAGACGTCTGCAATGTGTTTCGACGACAAAAAACCAGATAAAGATATTTAGCCACTAACCTGGTGAGCTCCTGATTATTCCCCAATAATAGAAAATGTATGACCTCTAACTCTGGTTTCCATTTGGGGATGCAGAGTTGATCTAGGAACTGCTGGTGGAGATCAACATATAGTTTACATTTAAGAACAATATGTGTAAGAGTTTCCACCTGATGGTCTTCACATGGGCAAATTCTTTCTTCTTCCACCATTCCTGAGAACCTTCCCCATAGGAGGTTTGAAGGTTTTGAATTAAACCTGGCCAGGGAGGGAGGGAGGGAGGGAGAAGGAAAGAAGGAAAGAAGGAAGGAAGGAAGGAAGGAAGGAAGGAAGGGGGTTGACCAGCATCTCCCAACCTTAAGCCTTCCAGATAATTTGGACGGCAACTCCCATCAGCCCCAGTCATTTGAGATTAATAGATTTTGACTTGTTTCCAATTTCTCATTGATTGGGTGTATCTTCCAGCTCTATCATTCTGTGATTCTGTGAAAGCTGGTGTCACCGGATTACGTCCATCAGTTTTGTTGACTTGGTTAACTAAATAGTTTGAAGTGGGTTTTGAATACATGGGCAATTCATAGTTACCATTTTGAATGTCATTGCGTTACTATCTTCCTTACTGGCTTGCGCAAATCACGCTTCTGAATAATGCTTTTTATTGGGTAAGGAGAAAAAAGTTCGGAAAACGCTGTCTTAATGCAAGCCTAACCAAATTTCTCCTTGCATTCCTACATTGGGAGGGCACCAGGCTTGCGAAGGCTGGTATCAGAGAATTGTAAGGTTGGGAGGGACCCCAAGGGTCATCTAGCCCAACCCCCTGAAACGAAGGAACCGCAGCTAAATCATGAAAGGACTGAGCTCGGCACAGGCTGATTTTCAGGGGTAGCCTATATGTTGACATGAGAAGAGGTTGAGCTCGGTCCATCTCCAAGCACGGCTGTTGCTCTCCCTCTTCCACTCAGGGTCTCTGTGCTCTTTTCCCTTGCAGGGGGGCTTGATCTGCTGGTTCTGAATCATGTCGGTGGAAAAATCAGTTTTGGCCCGTACCAAGGAGACATGGAATCTGTGATCAGCTCCATGACGGTCAACTTCTTCAGCTACGTCCAGGTCACCGTGTCGGCCCTGAGCATGTTGCAAGAGTCCCGTGGCAACATCATCGTGGTATCGTCCATAAGCGGTATGGGCAGGCGACTGGAGACCCCCCCCCCAGCCTAAGTGATCTTGGGAGGTCCAAACTTTCCGAGCACAATTCAAAGTGCTGGTGCTGACCTTTAAAGCCCTAAATGGCCTCGGCCCAGTATACCTGAAGGAGCGTCTCCACCCCCATCATTCAGCCCGGACACTGAGCTCCAGCTCTGAGGGGCTTCTGGTGGTTCCCTCACTGTGAGAGGTGAGGTTACAGGGAACCAGGCAGAGGGCCTTCTCGGTAGTGGTGTCTGCCCTATGGAACGCCCTCCCATCAGATGTCAAGGAAATAAACAACTATCTGACTTTTAGACGACATCTGAAGGCAGCCCTGTTTAGGGAAGTTTTTAATGTTTGATGTATTTATCGTGTTTTAAAAATTCTGTTGGGAGTTGCCCTGAGTGGCTGGGGAAACCCAGCCAGATGCACGACGTATAAATGTATTATTATTATTATTATTATTATTATTATTATTATTACTACTACTACTAGATGGGCCATTGGCCTGGTTAGCAGGGCTCTTCTTAGGTCCTTCTGGGGCTCCTGCATCTAAATTTCCCAATCCTCTGTTAGTTAATTTATTGGAGAGCACTCACACCCCATTCTTCTGCTGAAAAAAACATGAGGGGGAGAAAATCCTTTCTGTCACCGCTTTCTCCATGTCAGTTGTACAAACCAATATCATGTCGCCCCCTACTCGCCTCTCCTCTAAACTAAAAAGTCCCAAAGGCTGCAACGTTCCCTCAGAGGGGCAGTCGCTCCATCCCCTTAACCCCTTTGGTTTCTGGAGAAATAGATTCTGCAACCTTCCAAGTAAGAATATGTTCCTGTTTTCTCTCAGGCCGCCTTCCATCCCCTTTCTCCGTTCCATATGCCGCCAGCAAAGCTGCGCTGGAAGGATTCTACAGCTCCTTGCGCACAGAGCTGCGCCTTCGGGAAATCAACATGCCCATCACGGTTGCCGTGTTGGGGTACATTGACACAGGTAAGCGGCCCCAGGTAGGGCAGCCGCTTAGTAGGGCTGGGTGATAATCCAGTGTTCAACATCGTGATTTATCACCAGCGTTATAAGAATTCTAAGGTCTCAAATGTAAAATAAATGTTCATAAATGTTCAAGGCAAACACATACATATGTATATGAACCACGTGTCTGAAATAGTACAGGAGAGCAACCCTGAAGCCATTTTGACTCTCCCAATGACCTCAAATATTTCTCTGCAGTAAGGGAGGAAAATTGGGAAAGCCTTCCCATTGTCATTTTGCTTGCAAATCCTGCCTTAAGGGTGTATTTGTGTATGAATAGGGTGAGCCTGTGCCCTGGATTCAGGAACTAAAGCATTAACCATCACAAAAGAATGGCCAGACTGCCCCAGGTAATGCAATCAGTGACCATTATGAGGTATCCTGGCAAACATGATTTCTGCTGTAGACCGTCTCCTTCTGTGATGTATGTATGCTGTTTTAGCGGGATGGTCTTGGGCCACAGGGTGGCCAATTTCAAAAGTCTTTTAAGGGCTTGCGCACCATTGTTCAGGGTTCTCTCTCCCTCCTGCGTGTGGTGAGTGGGGACCCTGTTGCAACAGTTTAATAAAGATCAGGCTTACTAGCCACTTTGCGTCTCAATATTCTCTGGTTGGCCTCTGCTATTTTCTGCTACCGATAGGGAACCCACTTAAGGACTCTATACGGGCTCCAGAATAGCCCAGAAGGGGAAAAGAGCAGTTTTTTCTTATAACACCAGCTAAACATCGTGATGGGACGTGGGTGGTGCGGTGGTTTAAGCCACTGAGCCTCTTGGGCTTGCCGATCAGAAGGCTGGTAGTTCAAATCCCCGCGACGGGATGGGCTCCCGTTTCTCAGTCCCAGCTCCTGCCAACCTAGCAGAGCAGGTAATCCCCGGAAGCATCTTCAGGAAGGGCTGAGCGAGACTCCTGAGCCTGCAGCTCTGGAGAGCCACCGTCAGCCCCTGTAGGCAGCAGCAAGGCAGACAGACCAGCAGCAGCTTCTAAGGTCCTGGGGTGCCTGGTGCCCTTTCCACACTGACTTGCCTTCCGCGTTCTTTCCCGCAGACTCAGCTGTGAGGTCGGTAGAAGGCAAGATCTCCATGAAACCAAGTTCGAAAGAGCTCTGCGCCCAGGCAATCGTGAGGGGCGGCGTCATGAGGGTGAGGGAAGTTTTCTTTCCTTACTGGCTCACGAAACCTTTGATGCTCCTCAGAGATTGGCTGCCAGGAGTCGTGGACCAGATCATGAGCAACTGCTGCATTCTGGAGAAAATCCTCTGAGAATTATTTGCGGGGGAAGTGGATTATGAAAAGAATTATGAGTGGGAAAACAGGCACTGGCCAGGCACTGGCCACATTCTTTAAAGCAGGGGTTGGCAAGGCTTACCGGGCATGGGCCGGATCACTCCCGCAGAGATCCTCTGTGGGCCGAGCTGACGCAGCGTGACGCCAGAAATTACATCTGCACACATGTCCGCAGGTGCTGCAAATTATCGGGGGCTGCTTTCTGGTGCATTTCTCAATCTTTCTCTCTCTCTCTTGAATATTCAACAGTGTTTTAAGAACAAATCTCACCTAATAAACACATTTTTGTGTGCAGTTCGAACTCACATACACATTTCCCTTAATATATGCATCAATTTTTATGGTGTTCTTATTTTTGCATAACCAAACAACATATGGTTTCAGGGAAGGGACCTTCCCAAGCTTACCTGGAGATGCCAGGGACTGAACTTACGGTAACTTCGGTGCACAAAGCTCTACCACTGAGCTGTGCCCCGCCCCTAAAAATGAAGTAAGATCCTAGTCCTCATTGTTCTAAACAAATAGCAGATTTAAATAGGAATCTGCCTTACACCAAGTCAGGTCCATCAGCCCTATCTGGAGATTCAACCCCAAGAGCTCCTGCATGCAGAAGAGATGGTCTGCCACTGAGCTGCACCCTTCCACTGAAAATGAAGTTTCTAGTCCTCATGGCTCTCATTTAGAGCAGATTTCAAAAGGCACCGGCCTTATGCTGAGCTGCAGCCCTTCCCCTATCCTAGTGTTTCCCAAACAGAGGTCTCCAGCTTTTTTTTCAGACTACAAATCCCATCATCCCCAACCGCTGGTACTGCTAGCTAGGGATCATGGGAATTGTAGTACCACCATATCCTTTTGAAAAAGAGCATTTGGAGGCATACCCTCCCGCTAAGGCATGAAGATTTCTCCCCTCTCCCGGCCACCGGTAGCCATTTCCTCTCTGCCAGATCCGCAGTAGAAGCCACACCCCGGGAAGCAGCGTGCACCGGAGGTTTCTTTTTAATTCACACAGCATCTCCCCGTACACAAAAGTTGTTTAGGCCCCCGTCGGCTGAGAATCAGGACCCGGGTTTTCATTGTCCTCCTTCTCCTCGTCTTTGCTGCCTCTGAACTTGGCCAGCACAGGCGTGTTGAAAGCGGACGTGGGGCTGGATGAGCTCTGGGAAGATGTGGCGGCGTTGCTGGCAGCGGCCCTGGAAGGAGAAAAAACATGGCAGGTGGTGAGGCTGGTGCGTCCGCCCCCCCTCGCCCCCCCAGTAGGTTGATGCTGCAAAGAAAGCTAAACTGCATAAAGGACATAAGGAGAAACTCGCTGCATCAGGCCAGTGGCCTGTCTAGTCCAGCCTCCTGCTCTCACAGGGACCAAATGCCCCCAGGAATTCAAGAATCAGGATAGACTGCCCCTAGACCTGGAGGTTCCAGAAGAGCATAAGGAGAACCCAGCTGCTGCGGCAGGGCAGTGGCCCATCTGGTCCAGAATCCTGTTCCCACAGTGGCCAACCAGGTGCCCCCAAGAGGAGCCCACCAGCAGGACCCAAGTGCAAACTTGATGTTTGAAGATTGTCCACAAAAGTGGCCACAATTATTTTTTTTAATGTCATTTGTACATTGCAAAAATAGCATAATAGAATTGCAATAATATCTACAACATATTATTCATTATTAGTGGTCAGTGTACAAGTCCTTGGTTTAAATAAACCAAGTGGATTAAATAAAAATAGCAAGTGGAAACAGGACAGAACTGCTCGGCTCTGTTTTGTTTAAAGCTTCCTATCTTTTTTAAAATTATTTTTTGGTGAAGTGGCCGCAATCTTGAACTGTGCTGTTAAACTGGGGTGTGCCTTTCCAGGCGATAAAATCAAATGTAGCATGCAAGAGATTGAAGAGGACAAAATTCTCTCTCTTGCGTAGATTGGCCATGGGAGAGGGGCTTTTTAGCTGTGATTCCTGCATTGCAGGGGGCTGGATTAGATGACCTTTGGGTGCCTTCCAACTCTACAGTTCTATGATTTGAATCCATCGGTTCAGGTCCTTTCCTCAGAACAGCAGGAAGCAAGCTCGCTCGACCTTCCATGTGACAGCCCTTCAAATATCTGAAGGTGGCTATCCTGTCACCCCTCAAAGCTGAAGGACCATGGAGAGCTCCAAGTGAGCCACTTGCTCCAGCAAAACTTGAGCTCGGACTGAGCCTGTACATGAGGGATGGAGAAGCTGTAGCCCTCCAGGTGTGGTACTCCAGTTCCCATCAGCCCCAGCCAACATGGCCAGTGCTCAGGGATGATGGGAGTCCAGCAACATCTGGAGGACCACAGCTTAGCACCTGTTGATGTGTGGGTTGAACAGATTGAGGAAATGTGCATCAGTGAGGCAGAACTATGGAACTCACCGCCGCAGGATGCAATGACCTTCACAAACTTGGATGTCTTTTGAAAAAAGGATTGGATGGAGGAGAAGGCCAGCAATGGATGTTCCGCCTAGGCAGTGGGAGGCAGTAATATTTCTGGATACAAGCTGCAGGGAAACACTGGACGGGAGAGGGCTCTTGTGCTTGGGTCCTACTTGAAGGTTTCCCAGAAAAAGCATCTGGTTGGCCGCTCTGAGAACAAGGTGCTGGACCACTGGTCTGATCCGGCACTCTCTTCTTAAATTCACATGTTAACTAATTTTGATTAGGGGTTTTTTTCTGGCCTTCTAATCATATGAAGGGACAAGGAACGAAACCCCCTTTGGAGTCTCATTCTGCCCTCTTCTGAGACTTCGCCAGGCACTGGCCACATCCTTTAAAGCAGGGGTCAGCAAGGCTTACCGGGCATGGGCTGGATCACTCCTGCGGAGATCCTCCATGGGCCGGGCCGACGCAGCGCAACGCCAGAAATTACATCTGCACACATGTCCACAGTGCTGGAAATCACTTCTGCGCATGCCCAGACACTGAATTTTGTGCCTGCGCAAAAGCAATTTTTGGCATCTGGGCATGCACAGAAGCGATTTCTGGAGCTGCAGAAGAGAGTCCCCACGCCGCGCCGGTTTAGCGCAGTGTGCAGGGACTCGCTGAGCGGGCGGCTTGGTTCAGGGGCGGCTTGTGGGCCAATTAAACGGCCTCCATGGGCGGCTTCCAGACCATGGGCCTTAGGTTGCCCGCCCCTGCTTTAAATTCCTCCATGAATTCATCGAATCCTTTTTTAAAAAGACATCCAAGTTGGTGACGGTCATTGCATCCTGCGGCGGTGAGTTCCATAGTTCTGCCTCACTGATGCACATTTCCTCAATCTGTTCAACCCACACAGCAACAGGCGCTATGCTGTGGTCCTTCAGATGTTGCTGGACTCCCATCATCCCTGAGCACTGGCCATGCTGGCTGGGGCTGATGGGAACTGGAGTACCACACCTGGAGGGCTACAGCTTCTCCATCCCTCATGTACAAGCTCAGTCCGAGCTCAAGTTTTGCTGGAGCAAGTGGCTCACTTGGAGCTCTCCATGGTCCTTCAGCTTTGAGGGGTGACAGGATAGCCACCTTCAAATATTTGAAGGGCTGTCACATGGAAGGTCGAGCGAGCTTGCTTCCTGCTGTTCTGAGGGAAGGACTAGAACCGATGGATTCAAATGACAAGAAAGGAGATTATGACTAAACATCTCCTACTTGGCTACTGTAATGCACTCTACGTGGGGCTACCTTTGAAGGTGACTTCAAAGTTGTTGTTTCCAACTAATTCAGAATGCAGTGACTAGATTGGCGACTGGGAGCAGCTGCCTGGATCACATAATACCGGTCCTAAAAGACCTACATTGGCTCCCAGTACGTTTCCGAGCACAATTCAAAGTGCTGGTGCTGACCTGTAAAGCCCTAAAGAGCTTCAGCCCTATTTACCTGAAGGAGCATCTCCACCCCCGTCGTCCAGCACAGATACTGAGGTCCAGCACTGAGGGCCTTTTGGCAGTTCCCTCATTGTGAGAAGAGAAGTTGCAGGAAAACAGGCAGAGGGAATTCTCTGCAGTCGTGCCCACCTTGTGGAACGCCCTCCCATCAGGTGTCAAGGAGATAAACAACTACATAACTTTTAGAAGACATCTGAAGGCAGCCTTTTGGGAAGCTTTTAATGTTTGATGTTTTGCTGTGTTTGATGTTCTAATTTGTTGCAAGCCGCCCAGAGTGGCTGGGGCAAGCCAGTCAGATGGGTGGCATATAAAACAACAACAACAACAACCTTAGAAGACGGTGGGCTCTCCATTGTTGGAGGTTTTTAGCGAGAGGTTAGATGGTAGTGGCACCCGCCCTGTGGAACCCCCTCCCACCAGATGTCAAAGAGAAGAACAACTACCAGACTTTTAGAAGACATCTGAAGGCAGCCCTCTTTAGGGAAGCTTTTAATGTTTAACAGACTACTGTATTTTAATACAGTGGTACCTCAGGTTACATAAGCTTCAGCTTACATAAGCTTCAGGTTACAGACTCCGCTAACCCAGAAATAGTGCTTCAGGTTAAGAACTGTACTTCAGGATAAGAACAGAAATCGTGCTCCGGCGGCGCGGCAGCAGTGGGAGGACCTATTAGCTAAAGTGGTGCTTCAGGTTAAGAACAGTTTCAGGGTAAGAACGGACCTCCAGAACAAATTAGGTACTTAACCCGAGGTACCACTGTACTTTGTTGGAAGCCGCCCAGAGTGGCTGGGGAAACCTAGCCAGATGTGCGGGGTATAAATAAATTATAATTTATTATTATTATTATTATTATGGTTACCTGTCATGGATTCTTTAGCTGTGCCTCCTGCATTGCAGGGGTTGGAATAGATGACCCCCAGGGGTCCCTTCCAGCTCTACTATTCTATGATTCTGAATTCTGATTCTTCCCTGGCCTCATGCCCTTTGGGTTCCAGCACCAGACATGACCAACTGAGGGCCTAACTCTGCTGGGCTGCAAGAGTGTGGGGACACTTACCTACCCCAGAGAGGGGTTGCTCCCCTGGGGTGTCGATTTGGGTCACTTTAGGACAATCAGAGGCAGCAGCTCCCCGCAACGAGAATTCAGTTTCAGAGTCACAAAGGAATCTGCCCTGGTCGGGCCAATGTTGACAACAGCCATCGGTAGCTTCCCGTCGCGGGCTGCGAGTGCAAACTTGTACGCTGAGTATACCTGTTGAGACACGTGGCAGGAGATGGTCAGGCAGCCCTTTGATCCTCGGTTTTCAAATGTTTCGGAAGTCAAACGGGCTTCCGGAACAGATTAAGTTCGAAAACCGAGGTTCCACTGTATTTGCTGATATTTAATTTTAATAGTTACTTTTAGATTCCAATGGATTATTGAATGTTGCTTTATTTGACATAAGTTGTTTATTTTAAAGTTATTGTGACATTTTTTGTATTGGATCAGACTGCTATAATTAATGTTCAATGTTTTATTATGTTTTTATATGTATTCGAAGCCACCCAGCCAGATGGTCGGGGTATTAATAATAATAATAATAATAATAATAATAATAATAATAATAGAGGGAGGAGAAAGAACAGGTGCATTGCAGCAAGCTGGGTCCCACCAACTTTACATTTATATGATTCTATGAAATAATACATGGTGGCAGACAATTAAATTAACATATATACGTTCTATGGAAAGATATCATCTGCTACTTTGTCATTCCAGAATTGCATGAGCAAAGGCATGGATAATTATTGTAATTTTTATCTCTATTATGTGCTTGCTTTATATACAAGGCTGTTTCCCTGGTTTTCTTCTGTAATCGTGGGTGATTGATTCTTTTAATTGATTTTTTTTATTTACATTTCCAAGATTGGGCAATGCATAGTTTTGCTGCTGTCAGCAAAGTTTGCAGTAGTTGGAGATCAACAGCCGGGACCTTGAACAGAAAACTCTTTAAACAAATTGGCCCAGTGGGGACTGAGCATGCACAGCACCCGTGAAACATTGGCTAGCAATCAGAACAGTCCTCAAACTTTTTGGAGCTGGGCACACATTCGGAAATCTAAGCCACTGTCCTGGGCACTGCAAAAATACCCATTTCACAGAAGAGAGACTGATAATGGAGAATATTGCTCCCTGCCCAGAAAAAAGCATAGAAAATGCCAGATAAAACACAGACAAAAAAATAAAAAAGGAGGTGGGCAACAGCATTCCTTAACCAGGCAACACCCCCCCCCCGATCAAACAACAAAAAGTTATAATATCTAATTTTTAAAAATTGGAAGAGGCAAAGGCCTTGGGGGACATAGTCTGTGTGTATATATGTGTGTGTATGTGTGTGTGTGTGTGTGTATATATATATATATATGTGTGTGTGTGTGTGTGTCTGTCTGTGTGAAGGCGGTGTGGTGCCCACAGCTGCTACGTTAGGGACCTCAGATGCTATGTTGGAGACCTCAGAGTTATAGAGAAGAGGGAGGTGTGGAAGAAAACCAGGGTGGGGGCAGGGAGAGATTAAAGAATAAATTGACCTGCCCAGTCCTCTAAAGCAGAAGGGGCTGTTTAACTGGCTGGCAAAAGCTCCTGAATGTGAGATAGGGAGTGTGGTTGTTGTTGTTGTTTAAACAAACAAACAATTAAATCGGATCTGTTTAAAACAGTTTAAAACAATGACAGAAATAAGGTGGGTTCTAAAAATATACACCCAAATGTCCAACGACAGGGTGAAGAGGTGTGTGTTTCACAGCTTAGGGGCCACCACAGAGAAGGCCCTCTCCTGGGCTGCTGCCATCCTGAGCCTCTGAAGGTGGAGGAACTACCAAGAGGGTCTCCTCTGCCCATCTCAGCACCCGACAAGTTCTGTGGGGAAGGAGGTGGCCTTTCATATATTGGGGGCCTGAGGGCTTCAAACACTAATGTGAGCACCTTGAATTGAGCACGAAAATGAGCTGGCACGTTAACACTGCAAGGTTTCCTGGCAGATCTCACCTGCATATAATTATACTCTGCAGCCTGAGAGCCAGTGTGGTGTTAGAGTGTTGGACTAGGAGACCAGAGTTCAAATTTCCCACTCCACCACAAAGCTTACTGGGCAACCTTGAGCCAGTCTCTGCCTCTCTCAGCCTAACCTACCTCACAGGGTTGTTGTGGGGACTGAAACGAGAAGGGGGGAGAACGACGAAAACGTCGCCTTGTGCTCCTTGGAGGAAAAAGGCGGGATATGAAAGCGGTAAGAAAATAAACCTCACAAGGTTTTTGTACAGATAAGGTAAAGGTAAAGGGACCCCTGACCATTAGGTCCGGTCGTGGCCGACTCTGGGGTTGCAGTGCTCATCTCGCTTTATTCGCTGAGGGAGCCAGCATACAGCTTCCAGGTCATGTGGCCAGCATGACTAAGCTGCTTCTGGCGAACCAGAGCAGCACACGGAAACGCCATTTACCTTCCCGCCGGAGCGGTACCTATTTATCTACTTGCACTTTGATGTGCTTTCGAACTGCTAGGTTGGCAGGAGCAGGGACTGAGCAACGGGAGCTCACCCCGTCGCGGGGATTCGAACTGCCAACCTTCCGATCGGCAAGCCCTAGGCTCTGTGGTTTAGACCACAGCGCCACCTGCATCCCACAGCCTGTTTAGACACCTCTTAGAGGCAACCTCTTTTGCTTGGGCTTTCCACAGTTTTTAAAGCTGGACTGTGTTCCTTTAGGAACATAGGAAGCTACCATTGATCTGTCTAGCTCTGTACTGTCTACACTGACTGGCAGCAGCTCTCCAGGGTTTCAGACACAGAGCCTTTCCAAGTCCAGCCTGAAACCCCAGACATTCTTCATGCAACGTAGATGCTGTAGTCCCTGAGCTACATTGTGGCTTAGAATGTATTTTATAATGATGAGTTTAGTGGTTTGCTATTGATGGTTTTATTGCAGTTTTCAATTTCTGTACACCACTTCAATATCTTAAAAATAAAAATCTTTAGCAGTCTACAAATGTCATTTAATATATAAATGTTGCACCCTCTGACCTATACAGGACAGTGAAATAAAGCTTCCTCTCCATTTCCTGTTTAAGAACTCAGGAAGGTTCACACAGATAGGAGACCATTTAAATAGCAAGACGTAACTTGAAAGTATCTACTGTTAACTAGCTCAGGGCCACAATACCTCAAGGACTGCCTCTTCCCATATGAACCTACCTGGACCCTGAGATCATCTTCTGAGGCCCTTCTTCATGTGCCTCCTCCTTGAGAGGTGCGGAGGGCGGCAACACGAGAACGGGCCTTCTCTGCAGTGGCTCCCTGTCTGTGGAATTCTCTCCCCAGGGAAGTTCGTCTGGTGCCTTCATTAGCTTCATTAACCCACAGCGCCACCCGCGTCCCATTTTGTACAGATAACCGAGACAAATTTTGGGAACATGGTATATAAACACCGCGGTTCTGATTCAGAGAACTGTATGCTCCATGCAGCTAAATCTGAACCTGCCTTTGTGGGGTGGGGGTTGGGGTTGGGGGGAGAAATCGACCGCCGCTCCTCTGCTCCCAGGTCCAGCTCCTCGCTGGCTGTGGGCACCCACCTGCAAAGAGGACCCCGCCACCAGGACCGAATCGGCCTCGCCCAGGCGCTGGTACACAAAGTCCACTTTCTCCTTGCTCACGGAATCCCCAAAGAACGTCACGTCTGGTTTGAGGTTCCCGCCGCACTTGCAGCACGGGGGGACGAGGAAAGTGCGCACCTCTTCTTCGGACAGGAAGACGTCGCCGTCCGGGGCCACCCCATGCGCCTCGGCTCTCCAGGTGGGGTTCAAGGCCTCAAAGCGCTCCTGGAGGTCAGTGCGGGGCGTCCGGTCTCCGCAACTGAGGCACAAGACCCTGCGAGGCAACATAAAAACATGAGGGCCTGCTGGACAGAGCCAAATGGGGCATTCTGTTTTCACAGCAGCCTATTGTCTCGTTTGATTCAGCTCTGAGTTTTTTGTTAGAGCCATAAGGACTAGAACAGGGACCAGCAAACTTTTTCAGCAGGGGGCCGGTCCACTGTCTCTCAGACCTTGTGGGGGGCCGGACTATATATTTTTTTTGGGGGGGAGGGAATGATGCAAGAGCACCACGAGCCCTGTGGCTGCTTACCTGTGTCTTTTGAGCGGCAGGGGCTGGTAGCGTGTGAAAGGGCTCTAGAGAGGCGCTGCTTAAAATGGCGGTTGCTCAAGCGCTGCTGCTGGCACCAACAAAGCCCAGCCCCCTTCCTCCTCTAGGCAGGGCAGGGAGAAGCCAGGAGGAGGGAGGGAGGAGGCGCCACCGCCGCTGTGTGAGGGAGAGGGGAAAAACGTGTATACTGGCGATTCACGCAGTGATTCCCAGACCGTCCGCAGACCGGATCCAGAAGGCAATTGAGCCTGACTGGGCCCGTGGACCTTAGTTTGCCGACCCATGGACTAGAATCTTAATTTATTTTAGGGGAAGGGCTGTAGCAGTACAGACAACACTTCCGTTCAATGGACCGGTGGTCTGATTCAGCCTGGGATAGGTTCCTATTTAAATCAGCACTTTATTTATAAGAATGTAAGAACAGCCCTGCTGGATCAGGCCAATGGCCCAACTAGTCCAGCGTCCTGTTCTCACAGTGGACAACAACATGCCTATGGGAAACTGGCAAGCAGGATTTGAGCACAAGGATTCTCCTTCCAGCAAGCAGTATTGAGAAGTGTTGCTGCCTCCCACTGGGGGGGCAGGGCCTGGCATTCACGGCTAGTAGGCATCGACAGCCCTCCCCTCCATGAATTTGCCTTTTAAACCCATCTAGGTTGGTGACTGTTACTGCCTCCTGTGGGAGAGAGTTCCATAGTTCAGAACCATGAGGACTGGAGTCTTGCTGAATTTATAAGAAAAGGACCACTGTTCTATAGCAGACCGCCTACTCTGCATGCAGAAGGTCCCAGGTTCAATCCCTGCCATCTCTAGGCTGTGGCAGACCTACATTTTGGGGGGCCCCGAAGCGCGAACTGTCATAGGGACCCTTTCACAACCAGCAATGAGGTCTGGGTAACCGTTGTTTTCTTCTTCAATGAGGTTGTTCCACCACAGATTACCCCACTTTTGCAACGTCTGTGCTAATGCCTTTCAAACTTTCGGATTGTTGAAATTTATGCAACAAAAAAATAATCAATTGTAGTCCTGCGACTCCAAGCACCCCCTCAGATGGATAGCATATAAATTGTTGTTGTTGTTGTTTTCATTCAAGATCAAATTGTAAAACAGCAACAATAACAACCACAGGATGCATTTTATTTTATTTTTAAATTTATTTATTTGGTTTCTCAACTTAAAATTTTATAGAGATATATCAAACATAAATCATAAAAACAAGATTCCAAGGAATCTCCTGGACTTCCACCCTCCCCTTTGTGGGTCCTATTATTAGTCACTTCCTCCTGCATCTTTTATGATAATCCAAACCCTTTACCTCTTCCATTGTGTCCAGAATTCACCATTAAACTACAAGTGATATTACAATCCTACTAAAGACTTTAAGTGTTTACAATGGTCTTTAACTTCATCTGCCATTCTTCTCTGGTAGATACTTTATCTTCTTTCCATCTCTGGGCCAGTAGCAGTGTGTATTTTAAAGGCACTTGCAGTGGTTACTTTTTATATCTCTCTATGGGACGCGGGTGGCGCTGTGGGTTAAACCACAGAGCATAGGACTTGCCGATCACCGCAATGGGGTGAGCTCCTGTTGCTCGGTCCCTGCTCCTGTCAACCTAGCAGTTCGAAAGCATGTCAAAGTGCAAGTAGATAAATAGGTACCGCTCCGTCGGGAAGCTAAACGGTGTTTCTGTGCGCTGCTCTGGTTCGCCAGAAGCGGCTTAGTCATGCTGGCCACGTGACCCGGAAGCTGTACGCCGGCTCCCTTGGCCGATAAAGCGAGATGAGCACCGCAACCCCAGAGTCAGCCACGACTGGACCTAATGGTCAGGGGTCCCTTTACCTTTACCTTATGGTCACGGCAATGCAGACCAATCACTCGCCCCTTTTATTTTTCAGCAAGGGGATTTGTGGGGCCAACAATCCCCCCCCAACTGCTGTTCACATCTCCAGGAATAGCTCATCCCAGTTGCAAAGTTGCACTCCCCTTTTTCCATCAGCCAGCCTCCCCATCGCCACTCTCCCTAACCTGTGGATGCAGCCGTGCAGCTCGGTCAAACGCTGGCTGCCAGCCTTGGCGTGCAGGGCATCTACGTTCTGGGTCACCAGCCAGTGCAGTTTCCCCAGTGCCTCCCAGTTCCTCAGGGCCAAGTGGGCGACGTTGGGCTGGTGGGCTGAAAACTGGGGCCAGCCGACAAAGTTCCTGGCCCAGTACTTCTGGCGGGCCCGGGCACTCCGCAGAAATTCGGCGTGCTGGACGGGACGCCGATCTGTCCGGGAGTAGAGGCCCACGCCTTCAGAGCGATAGTCCGGGATTCCAGATTCGGTGGAGATTCCTGCTCCGGTCAACACAAACAGCCTCCGGGCCCTGCTCACAAACTCTTGCAGCTTCTGGACTTCTGCCGGGTCCAGGGGAGGACTGGCGGGAACAAAGGCCAGGGTCTGGTCAGCCTTGGCCACGGAGGAGTGGGAGCCACGGCAGTGAAGTCCACGCATGGGCCATCCTTCCAAGACCTTCAGGAGAGAGGTAACGCTCATCTAGGTGAGGACAGAAGGGGACAGGTGAGGACTGCTGTTTTCAAACTCTGTTCACATGGCTTTTTGTTCGGAGCCGGCCTGACCTTTAGGCAGACTGGATACTTGGGGTGGAGGCTCCTGAGCTTCATCTCAGGCAACAAAACACATTGGGCTGGCCCTGTTTTTTGCCTCAAAGGCTTGGGGTGGTCCCAAGAATTTAAATTCAGAGTTGGGGAACGTCCAGTGCTATCATCCCCAAGCACTGGCCACATTGAGAGTTGAGCCGTATCTGCAGGGCCACAGATTCCTCACCCCAGCATTAGGCTGAAAAAATGACAAGCTCCAAGCTCACTAAGTGGCCGAGGGTGGGCTTGGACCATAGGTGTCAACTTTTACCTTTTCTTGCGAGGAATCCTATTCGGAATAAGGGAATTTCCCTTAAAAAAAGGAAAACGTTGACAGCTATGGCTTGGACCTGGGTTTCCCTGAACCACGACACAGCACTTGTTTAACTGTGTGGCACAAGAGGACCACTGTGATCTCCTAGCCTGGATGGGCATCTCACTGGAGGGCATCTGGTTAGGGGAAGGTGCTCAAAGCTTTAAAACGGTTTTTAAGTTCCAAAATCGGACTGTGTTCTCAATGGGAGGTGCTGAGCCCATGCAACTTCGATTTGTTCGTTTGTTTTATTGAATTCATCTCCTAGCTTTTGCTCCAAGGAGCTCAAAGTTGCGTATATACTTTTATCTTGACAACAACTCTGTATGGTAGGTCAGATTGAGAGCAAATGACTGCCCCAAGTGAGCTTCATGGCTGAGTGAGGATTTGAACTCTGGTCTCCCAGATCCTTGCCTGATGATCTAGCCACTAAGCCACAATCGTTCTCTCATGCCTACTCAGATTGCAGCTTAAATTGGCTATTATTATTATTATTATTCATAGCTCTGTTGGTTAGAGCGTGCTGCTGATAATGCCAAGGTTGCAGGTTTGATCCCCATGCGGGACAGTTTTATATTCCTGCTTTGCAGGGGGTTGGACTAGATCAGTGTTTCCCAAACCTGGGTCTGCAGCTGATTTCGGACTATAATTCTCACAAACCCTGACCACTGGGGTTGCTAGCTAGGGATGATGGGAGTTGTAGTCCAGAAACTGCTGGAGACCCAAGTTTGGAAAACATTGGACTAGATGATCCTCAGGGTCCCTTTCAACTTTACTATTATTATTATTATTATTATTATTATTATTATTACATCATCACCCTCCTTCTATAGATTGGCTAAATCGAGGGGACAGAGAGACACCCCCTGTTTCAAAGTTCTTTTATGATAATGTTACCTATTCCATTTCTTCACTGCTTTGCACAAGGAAAGGTCTCCGAAACCCACTTGATAATCAATTAAAAACACTTAAGAGGGAGAGGGAATGAAATGAAAGATTCCTAAAAGTGCTCATCCAACCAACGAGAACTATAAAAGGGCTTAGGATTTTTAAAAGACATGCCCCTCGGTAGCTTACGCAAAGGTTATAGGGCAGCCACCCCATTAAATCTAATGTTGCCTCTGGGGCGCTTGGGGGAGGAACCTCAGAATTTCCCTTCTCAATCCCCCCAGCTGCATTCTGGACTTGGATCTATTTTTGTCGGTGCAGCAGCTTTCTGTGAGTGCAGAGGATCGCCGCCTCGTTATGTAACTCTCGACCCTATACATGTAACCAGCCGGGGGAGGGGCAAGCAGGAGAAATGGGCATCCTCTGCAAAGGGGACCTCGACCATTTCTCTCCCTCCCTCCGAATGGCGCGTCCTGGGTTTCACCCCGCGGTAAGCGACACGCGACCCTCACCTCGCGCTGCACCCCAGAGGGTGCAATTGACCTCTTTCGCAGCCGCGCGGAGAGCCGAGGAAGCACAGCCTGCTGGGGGATGCAGTTCCCGCAGGAGGCAGGGGGAGGGAACTACAACTCCCACAATGCACCGGGTTCGTGAACAGCTGCAAGCTGGTCGGGCTGGGAAAACCTGTTTTTGCCCGGGTGTGGTTTTTGATCGCATTTCAAAGCCCGGTTGCATTGTGAGATCAGAGGAGCCGCCGGGTTCTGTGGAACTTGGGGAGGTTCTGGAACGAGCTTTCCCGACCTGGCGCCCTCCGGACTTCACCTGCCATCACCTCCAGCCAGCATGGCGAGGGGGTGGTGGGAGTTGCAGTCGACAACATCTGGAGGGGAGTTTAAATTTGTTGATTTAATGCATTCGCAGCCTCCACCTTTTCTCTCTGAGGAGGTCGAGGTGGCGTGCATGGTTCTTTGTTGTTTAGTCGCTTAGTCATGTCCGACTCTTCGTGACCCCATGGACCAGAGCACGCCAGGCACTCCTGTCTTCCACTGCCTCCCGCAGTTTGGTCAAACTCATGTTTGTAGCTTTGAGAACACTGTCTAACCATCTCGTCCGCTGTCGTCCCCTTCTCCTTGTGCCCTCCATCTTTCCCAACATCAGGATTTTTTCCAGGGAGTCTTCTCATGAGGTGGCCAAAGTATTGGAGCCTTAGCTTCAGGATCTGTCCTTCCAGTGAGCACTCAGGGCTGATTTCCTTCAGAATGGAGAGGTTTGATCTTCTTGCAGTCCCTGGGACTCTCAAGAGTCTCCTCCAGCACCAGAATTCAAAAGCATCAATTCTTCGGCGATCAGCCTTCTTTATGGTCCAGGTCTCACTTCCATACATCACTACTGGGAAAACCATAGCTTTAACTATATGGACCTTTGTTGGCAAGGTGATGTCTCTGCTTTTTAAGATGCTGTCTAGGTTTGTCATTGCTTTTACCTATTTATCTTTCACTTGACGTGCTTTCGAACTGCTAGGTTGGCAGGAGCAGGGACCAAGCAACGGGAGCTCACCCTGTCGTGGGGATTTGAACCGCCAACCTTCTGATTGGCAAGTCCTAGGCTCAGTGGTTTAACCCACAGCGCCACCTGTGTCCTGTGCATGGTTCTACCCCCTCCTTATTTAATCTCCACAACGACCCTGTGGGGTAGGTTAGGTTGGGATGGACTAAGGGAGACGAAGGTTCAAATCCCTGTTCAGCCAGGAAGCTCACTGGGTTACCTTGTGGGCCAGTCACTGCCCGTCAGCCTAACCTACCTCTCAGGGGTGCAAACTTAAATAAAATATGGTGGGCCCCCACATAATTGCCCCGCACCACATAATTGATCACAAGACTCTTCGCAGACACACCCTTTGAATGGCAATGCCCATCAACTTTGGTGGGTTTGGCCCTCTCAAATATTTTATTGAGGGGCAGCTGAAGAAGGGACCTCGGCCCCTAGGAGTTGGCTCCTGTGCTACCTCACAGGGTTGTTGTGAAAATGAAATGCAAACAGGATGGGATGGGGGAAGGCAGAGAACTGTGTACGCTCATCGGAGGAAAAAGGGGAGATGGAATGAAAAACCAGCTCATTAAAAATATAGGAGAGACACTGGCCTTGGAGGGTGCCAATGTTTGTGTGGGGTGTCTGAGAGAGCTACGATACACCACTTTGGGGAGCCCAAGTGCACTGACTGGAGGCAACCCAGAGGGCATTTTTGGGGTACATCAAAGGCAAATCAGCAAGGGATCAGAGCACAGCTTTGGGGACTGGCTCTGTTTTATATATACATATATATATATATAATTTTTAATCAAATTTTCTGTTTTACAATTTCAAATACTCATTTTACCTCCTTAAGATATCCATGACTTCCCTTCTCCTCTCTCCATGGTTCATTTTACATATCTTAAATCCCTGCATATTTTACAAAAAACTATACCAATCAATATTCCATTATTGCATCCATCAAAACTTATTTACACCGTTGAATTTATCTTAATGCTGCCAATTATTTTCCGCATATTCAATAAACGTTTTCCAATCTTCTTTAAACATGTGTTCTTCTTGTTCTCTTATTCTATATGTTAAGTCTGCAAGTTGTGCATATTTGGTCAACTTAAGTTGCCTTTCTTCTTTGGGACCTCGCTTGTTTTCCATTTTTGGGCTAAAGGACTGGCTCTGTTTATTTTAGGTGTGCTCTAAGCCTGAGGAAGAAGCTGTAGCTAAGTGACAGAACAGCTGCTTTGCATGCACAATGTCTCAGGTTCAACCCCAAGCAGCATCTCCATGGAGGGATGGGAGAGGGAGGATCCCTCTCCAAAATCCTGGAGAGTTGCTGTCAGTCAGTGTAGACAGTGCTAAGCTAGATGGACCAGTGATCAGACTCAGTATAAGGCTGCTTCCTGTTTAATTCAGCTCTGGGTTTTTTGTTATAACCATAAGGACTAGAATCTTAATTTATTTTAGGGGAAGGGCTGTAGCAGCACAGACAACACTTCCTTTCAAAGGATCAGTGGTCCGATTCAGCCTGGGATAGGTTCCTATTTAAATCAGCACTTTGTAAGAACATAGGAAGAGCCTGCTGGATCAGGCCAATGGCCCAACTAGTCCAGCATCCTGTTCTCACAGTGGCCAACCACATGCTTGTGGGAATCTGGCAAGCAGGATTCTAGCACAAGAGCATTCTGCCCTCTGGTGACTGGGAGCGGCCACCGAGACCACATAATACTGGTCTTGAAAGACCTACATTGGCTGCCAGTATGTTTCCGAGCACCATTCAAAGTGTTGGTGCTGACCTTGAAAGCCCTAAATGGCCTCGGTCCAGTGTACCTGAAGGAGCATCTCCACCCCCATCGTTCAGCCCGGACACTGAGGTCCAGCTCTGAGGGCCTTCTGGTGGTTCCCTCACTGCGAGAAGCCAAGTTACAAGGAACCAGGCAGAGGGCCTTCACGGTAGTGGCACCCACCCTGTGGAACACCCTCCCACCAGATGTCAAAGAGAAGAACAACTACCAGACTTTTAGAAGGCATCTGAAGGCAGCCCTGTTTCGGGAAGCTTTTAATGTTTAACAGACCACTGTATTTTAATACTCTGTTGGAAGCCGCCCAGAGGGGCTGGGGAAACCCAGCCAGATGGGCGGGGTATAAATTATAAATTCTATTCTATTCTATTCTATTCTCCTGCAGTTCCCAGCAACTGGTATTCAGAAGCATTGCTGCCTCTGCCGGTGGAGGCAGAGCCTGGCCATCTTAGCTAGTAGGGATTAATAGCCTTCTTCTCAATGAATTTCTCCAATCCTCTTTAAAAGCTATCTAGATTGGTGGCCATCACTGCCTCCTGTGGAAGAGAGTTCCGAAGTTCAGAACCATGAGGACTAGAGTCTTGGTTTATCTTTACGAAAAGGACAACTGTTCTATAACAGACTGCCTACTCTGCATGGAGAAGGTCTCAGGTTCGATCCCTGCCATTTCCAGACTGCGGGGGACCTACATTTTTGGGGCCCCTGAAGCTTAAACCGTCATGGGGGCCCCCTTAGCAACCAGCAACGACGTCTGGGTAGCTGCTGTTATCTTCTTCAGTGGGGTTCTTCCACGACAGATCACCCCACCTTTGCAACATCTGTGCTACCATAGGAAGCAACTCCTAGGGTCCATGGTCCCTTCCTCCCCCCATAAAATATTTGAGGGCCCCGGGCCCCCCCAATTTGATGGGCATTTCCATCAAATGGTGTGTCGTGTCTTGTGATTGATCATGTGGGGCGGAGCTTACCTGAGCGCCCCCCCCCAATGTTTTATTCAAGTTGGCACCCTTGTGTGCTACTGACTCGCAGACTTTGGGATTGCTGAAATATACGGTATACAACAACAAAATTAATCAATATGAGTTGTGCGACTCCAGTTGAGTCTACTAGACCCAGTGCTTTTTTTCTATATAAAAAAGAAAATGTTTAGGTGTACTCTCATTTTTCTACTCAAATTGAAATAATGCTCCTGGATGAGGCCCAACTTAGATTCACAAAATGTTTAGGGGTATGCATCCCCCTGCGTCCCGCCCCCCCAGAAAAAAAGCACTGACTAGACCCAAAAATGTTAAGCCATGTGGACTTAAGTTGCTTCTGGGGGTCCTCTGGGATCGGGGCCCTGAAGATTAAGATTCATTAAAGGTAAAGGTAAAGGGACCCCTGACCATTAGGTCCAGTCGTGACCGACTGGGGTTGCGGCACTCATCTTGCTTCATTGGCCGAGGGAGCCGGCGTACAGCTTCCGGGTCATGTGGCCAGCATGACTAAGCCGCTTCTGACGAACCAGAGCAGCGCACAGAAACGCCGTTTACCTTCCCCCTATTTATCTACTTGCACTTTGACGTGCTTTCGAACTGCTAGGTTGGCAGGAGCTGGGACCGAGCAACGGGAGCTCACCCCGTCTCGGGGATTCGAACCGCCGACCTTCTGATCGGCATTCATTAGATTCATTAGTTTCCTAGTAAAACTGCCCCTGTCTCCAGGAGACTCCCGAAATCACCGGACCAGTCAGCACAGACTATTTTGAGCCCTATGGACCAGGGTTGTGACTCAGGCAGCTTCCTGTGGCCTTATGTAACCTCTTGTCTCCCTCTCTCTCTGTGTCCTGTGTTCCTCTTACGATCTGATCTTCCTTGCCAAGCACCAAGGGATGCTCCCTCGCTCCCTGACTGTCCCGCTGCAGCGGTGAAGCGGTTAAGTCACAGAGAGCACTCCTGGGTCCGCTTCTGACCCTGGAGCCTAGGGCTGTCTTCTCAGCCACCGCCAGGGGGGCTCTGAGCTGTCAACAGCCTCTCTCTCTCTCCCTCTCCCTTTCTCTCTCTGCCTGCAGGTGCCTTGGAAGTTTCATGCAGGACCCGGAGTCTCCCTCCGTCTTTCCCCAGCCTAAAGTTTTCGGGGGCTGCAGATGAGCAGCAGCTGCTGGCGCCGGAAGGAAGCCTTGCGGGACTCCGGCCAAGTTGGCACCTCCTTGGCCCATTTGGATCAATACTGCAGGGCTGGGGCGGGGGGGGGGGGGAGAGGAAACCCGGCCTCCCTCTCTGCAAAGACCCAGAAGTCCAGGCAGGAACGAAAGCAGCCTCTTCCACAGCCTCTGCCTCCATCCGGCAGCTGATGCCAAGACTGATGCCCAGTTCCTTGCGCGCCTCACTGCTCTCCCTGCCCAGGTAAGGCGAAACCCTCCCAGCTGGAGGAAGCAGGAATTAAGCGGGTAGGTGGGAAGGATGCAACCAAGAGGCTTTTCCTTTGCACCCCGGATTCTTAGTGTGTGTATGGGGAGCGGGGGAAGGTGGAATCTAAGAAAATGATTCATTTCTTTTTGGAAATCTCAGCTAAAACACAGCTTCTGTGGTGCAAATGATGAGAGATGCCTTGATTGAAATCTTCAGCTGCTGGTTGGGAGGAATAATCCAGCCTTTCTCTGTGTGCGCTCCCAAAAAGCTGCAGTGGTCCCCCCTCCCGTTGTTTGGGCTCAAAACCTCCCCTGCGCTGCAAACAGCTGTGCTGCAACAAGGACAACATTTTAATTGCTTCTCCCACCCCCCGCCACTTTCCTCCTTTTCTTTTAGTCCTCTTGCTCTCTGCTTTCCCTCTGACGGACTGGCAGGGACTCTGACCCGTCCGCTTCCAGCCGGGTAATAAACAGGATCCCTTGAAAGGATCTCTCTCTCTCGCCTGCGGTTCATGATGGACTCCGCTCCTGCGTAAATCATCCTTGGTGTGTGTCACGAAGTAGGAGCACAGGAAAGCTGTCTTGTACGGACTCAGAGCGCTGGTCTATCTAGCTCAGTATTGTCTACACTGACTGGCAGCAGCTCTCCAGGGGTTTTTTTTGGGGGGGGGGTCATTACCTGGAGATGCTGCCGGGGGTTGAACCAGAGACATTTTGCATGCAAAGCAGATGCTCTTCCGTTGAGCTACAGCCCTTCCCGTGATGCACAGATGCACAGGAACCTGCTTTGTACTGAGTCAGAGAGTGGTGATCCTTCCAGCTCAATGTTGTCTGCACTAACTGGCAGCAGCTCTCCAGGGTTTCAGGCATCCCTACCTGGGGATGCTACTAGGGATAGAACCTGGTTCCTTCTGCTCGAAAGGCAGATGCTCTACCAAGGAGCTACAGCCCTTTCCTTAAAGACAAATCAAGATTCTAGTCCTTATTATTCTTTTTTTTTTTTTTAAGAGCTGAATTAAATAGGAAGCTGCCTTATATTGAGGCAGACCATTGGTCCATCTAGTTCAACACTGTTTACTCTGTCTGGCAGTGGCTCTCGAGGGTTTCAGGCAAGGGACCCTGCCCTGGAGATGCCATTGGGGATGGGACCTGGGACCTTCTGCATGCCAAGCAGGTGCTCTGTAAAGCCTTTGCCCAGAAAAAAAGGTCAGGAAGGGAAAAGTGAATTAAAAAGTCTTCTTTTTCTCCTGCCCGCCTCCATCATCATAAATTATTACAGTGGTACCTCGGGTTAAGTACTTAATTCGTTCCGGAGGTCCGTACTTAACCTGAAACTGTTCTTAACCTGAAGCACCACTTTAGCAAATGGGGCCTCCTGCTGCTGCCGCGCCTCTGGAGAACGATTTCTGTTCTCAACCTGAAGCAAAGTTCTTAACCTGAAGCACTATTTCTGGGTTAGCGGAGTCTGTAACCTGAAGCGTATGTAACCTGAAGCGAATGTAACCCGAGGTACCACTGTATTCTTATTACTGTTAATAATAATAATAATAATAATAATAATAATAATAATTTAAAAGCCCACTCCACGGAATTGCAAAGTCTTGTATTCTTAAACATCTATGCATCAGCCCAAAATACATGACCTGATTTTAGAAAGATGCTGAGCATTCTTCTGCGTGTTTCCTTGACTCAATGATGCCTCTGGGTGTGCCAGACTTTAAGGAGGGCAGTGTGTATTTGTGTGTGTGTGTAGATTCTGGCTGAGTATTGAAAGGACTCGTGGATTTGTTTGCTGGGAATCCCACCACTCCACAAATAAGACCACTTTGCTTGCTTCAGCCTCAAATATGCTTCCATTACCAGAGGATAAGCCTGATCCTTTAATGTGCAAATGATGTTCTGGCTAGTGATGGGGGTGAAACTAGATTTAGTTTGCTTTTTGGAGGCAAAGTTTTTAATTATTATTCCATTTTACAACGTATATAAAACTGAGAGAAAGTTTTAATTTCTGAAATATGAACTTTCCTAAGTCATGCCTCAGGACTGCAATACCTCAAGGACCACCTCTCCCCTTATGAACCAACCTGGACCCTGAAAACATCTTCTGAGGTTCTTCTTTGTGTGCCTCCTCCATGAGAGGTCTGGAGGGTGGCAACATGAGAACGGCCTTTTCTGTGGTGGCTCCCCATTTGTGGAATGTTCTCCTCAGGAAGCCTTTGTTACATATCTTTAGATGCCAGGCAAAAACATTTGTCTTCTCCCAGGCTAATTAAACAATCTATGACCTTTTAAACTGTGTGTGTGTAGATTATTGTTTTTGTTTATTATGCATGTGCACGGGTGCCAACCTGAATCAAATATTTGGTGGGCAGGTAAGCCCTGCCCCACATAATCAATCACATGATGTGTTGCACACACAAACACCATTTAAATGGCAATGCCCATCAACTTTGGGGGAGCCCAGCCCCCTCAAATATTTTATTGGGGAGGGGGCAAAGGCATCTTGGCCACAGGAGTTGGCTCCTATGTGTACGTTTGTGATTTTATATTGTAAACTGCCCTGTGATAGTTGGATGAAGGGTGCTATAGGAATTTAAATAATAATCTTGATATTTCTTCATATTTGATATTTGATACTTGATCAAGTAATATCAAGTAAATATTAAGTACAGTGGTACCTCGGGTTACATACACTTCAGGTTACATACGCTTCAGGTTACAGACTCCGCTAACCCAGAAATAATACCTCAGGTTAAGAACTTTGCTTCAGGATGAGAACAGAAATCGTGCTCCGGCGGCACGGCAGCAGCAGGAGGCCCCATTAGCTAAAGTGGTGCTTCAGGTTAAGAACAGTTTCAGGTTAAGAACAGACGTCCGGAACGAAGTATCCGAGGTACTACTGTAAAAGTATCGGAGAGGAGATCTGTGTAAATGAAAACATGAGACTTATGGTTTGTTACATATGATTTTATTTTGGAGTTGTCTGCTTATTTTGGAGTTGTTTGCTGTGAAGAATGTATATTATGTGAATAAAATAAGAAAGGATTTGAGAGACAAAAAAAAGGAATTTAAATAATAATCATGTGCTATAATTGTGGTGGTCAGTCCCATGCAAGACTTCAGAGGGCCCACATTGCCTCTGCCGCCACTCAAAATAGCAGCAACTCATGCTGAGCTGCTTCAGGCAGCCTCCCTGAGGGCAGCGAATGCTTCTGAGTCCCTGTCTGGAAAGAGATGGCTTAGAGGCCCTGAAGGACTGCCCACCTCTGGAGGATCCCAGCGGAAAGGAGGTGGTCTCCGCAGGCCAGTGACTCATGCAGGAGGACTCCTCCTTGCCAGTCACAACCTCTGGGGTCTGCAAATGCTTTGGAGCTCACAGGAGGAGCCTTTAATTATTCAGCTTCTTTCAGCACATGACATATTCTCTCCAGGTGCACCATTAGGGTATCACGAAGGAAAGCAGGATTTATTTTCTCTTAATTGAGAAAAGTAGCGTTAAAAAGGACAATGTGTAAAGCCAAAGTCAAGGTAAGAGGGATGAGGGATCTAATAAGGTTTCAAATATGTTTTTAAACATAGAGGGTTTTTTATATTAAAAAAGTACAAAACCTCTCCGACAGAAATCCAATGTTTTGGGAAGGGTGCTCCATGTGAAATGGGTGCCTGATGTAGAATCATAGAATTGTAGAGTTGGCAGGGACCCCAAGGGTCATCTAGTCCAACCCCCTGCAATGCAGGAATCTCAGCTAAAGCATCCATGACAGATGGCCATCCAGCCTCTGCTTGAAAACCTCCAATGAAGGAGAGTCTACAACAGGCATAGGCAAACTCCGGCCCTCCAGATGTTTGGGACTACAATTCCCATCACCCCTAGCTAACAGGACCAGTGGTCAGGGATGATGGGAATTGTAGTCCCAAACATCTGGAGGGCCAGAGTTTGCCTATGCCTGGACAAATTCCCAAGGGAGACCATTCCACTGTCGAACAGCTCTGTCAGAAAGTTTTTCTGATGTTTAGTCGGAATCTCCTTTCTTGTAACTTGAAGTCGTTGGTTTGAGTCCTACCCTCCAGAGCAGGAGAAAACAAGCTTGCTCTATCTTCCATGTCAGGGGTGCTGATGTGGCCCCAGGTCACGACATCATGTGCCCCACAGCCTCAGAACCTGACTTCTGGTGCCACAGGAAGTCAGGTTATGAGGTTTTCGCAAGGCCTCAGGCAGCATCTCTGAGGTCTCATGAGACCTTGGATGTGACTTCTGGCATGTGGGGGCCCCTGCGGTGTGGGTGCTGAGCACCCACAACAAAAACTTTGTGGGTGCTTGGGCCCCTAGGCCCCCCTATAGTTGGTGCCCCTGGACTTTTTACAAAGGTTATCTTAAACATTTTTTTCAGTTCATTCTAAATCATTTCCCAATACTTTTTGATCAATTTAAAATTCCACCACATATGAAAGAACGTACCTTCTTTTCCCTTACATTTCCAACCCTTATTGGAGCCTGTTTTAAACATTTTGCCATCTTTTCCTGGTTCTCATGGAGAAGCCGTTTTCAAAGGAGCCCAGCGACGGAAGCACATGGCTGTGTTGAGGCAGCACTGGGTATTGAAATTTTGCACCTCTGAACAATTTTATGCCCAGGGCAATCGCCCCTGTGTCGGTCCCCCGCCCCCCATCCCCCCACTCTATGCCACTGACTTCAACTATCTTCACATAAGTTAAAGGTAAAGGGACCCCTGACCGTTAGGTCCAGTCATGACCGACTCTGGGGTTGCGGCGCTCATCTCGCTTTATTGGCCGAGGGAGCCGGCGTACAGCTTCCGGGTCATGTGGCCAGCATGACTGAGCCGCTTCTGGTGAACCAGTGCAGAGCACGGAAACTCCGTTTACCTTCCCGCCGGAGCGGTACCTATTCATCTACTTGCACTTTGATGTGCTTTCAAACTGCTAGGTTGGCAGGAGCAGGGACCGAACAACGGGAGCTTACCCCATCACGGGGATTCGAACTGCTGACCTTCTGATCAGCAAGTCCTAGGCTCTGTGGTTTAACCCACAGCGCCACCCGCGTCCCTATCCTCACATAGACTGGCTAAATATGTGTTCCAGTCAGGACAAAGAGGCAAGATTTCTTGATACCCTTAATGGTGTCGCTTAGAACAGCTGATGTTTGAACCGAACAGAGAGGCGTTGACCTTGGACCTTCTGGGTAGATGGTGCCTGTTTAGCTTTGGCTGCTAGCCTGTGACCTGCACAGTCTTGGATTTCACAGCTCCTCAGATAAGTGCACCATAACACTATGCACTTGTGAAAAACCCTTTAGCTATAATTCCTGCATCACAGAGGGTTGAACTAGATGACTCATTGGGTCCCTTCTGACCCTGCAGTTCTTTGATAGGATGCTGAGAGAGGATTTTACTCAGAGGCTTCTATCAAAATATCCCCACTGCAATATTCAAAATGGTTTCCCCCCCTTTAAAAACATCCTTGGGATAAATATTTGATTTTTTTAAAAAATAAAAAATATAGCATGAAAAATCAAATATTTAGGGTCATAAGAATTGCCCTGATGGCTAGGGACCCTTGCATGTCCTTGGCCAATGCGATCCCTCTTGGAAATGCATATTTATTTATTTATTGAACTTAAATGTGGCCCTTCCACCCCAAGGAGCCCAGGGCAGCAAACAGATACGCAGTTTAGAAAATAAAGCGGAAACATTCCGAAACAGATTTAAAACATTCTAAAAGTGCTAACAGTTAAAAACATCTAAAAGCAGCTTCTATTAAAAACATTCTAAAAGCCATTATAGTGGTACCTCGGGTTAAGTACTTAATTCGTTCCGGAGGTCCGTACTTAACCTGAAACTGTTCTTAACCTGAAGCACCACTTTAGCTAATGGGGCCTCCTGCTGCTGCCGCGCTACCGGAGCCCGATTTCTGTTCTCATCCTGGAGAAAAGT